AACATTTAGTAGATAACATTTCTTTAGACTATTAATTCTAATTTTTTTAATCCATATTTTTGAAACGTGATGAGTTCAGGAGGTTACACAGATATGGAGGTTAGAAAATATAGTTGGATGGCAAAAATTCAGTTCCTTTATCGACTCATAATTTTAAATATTTTAGAGGCACTCATTTAATTCTATATATTGTACATTTCACTTGTGGGGACATTAGTCATTATATATTGTTGGAGTGTTAGGGCAAAATATGCAAAGTAACTTTTTAAGAGCTTAATTCTTAAAATCTAAGCCGAGAAGGACTTATAAATCAAATATTTATTAAAGATGAACGATGATATATTTTGAAATTTAGAAATTATGTCAAAATAACCAGAGGTTGAAGTACGTTAATAGCACAAAAGAAATTTCTTCTTTGTAGTTGTCAAAAACAAATATTGAATTTTTTACATTTTTCCGACATAACTATTGTATTTTCTAAAATCTCCCTAGTCTAGCCATTACGATTTAAGTTAGAAATCTATTTTTTTTCTCAATGAACTTGCCTTAAAAAAATGCCATAATTTCAAACTAAATATGCAAAATGCACGAAATAAGTATTGTGTAATACGCAAGCGCATTTGCTAACATTTGCTTTCGATGGAAACCCTACAAAGTATAAAACTTAACTTAATATTTTTTTATTACTTGCACTCCCAGATATTAATTTTAATAATATAATTCGATATATTTATATTTCTTCAAAACTTCATCGTGATATTTGGTCAATCGAGAAATTTTCTATTGTGGAAATAAAAAAAAACAATTACATTGTAACCTCTTCAGTCCTCATCGAACCCGGAGCTAAGATGTAACCGGTGTGAGCTCAATAGCTCGGAATAGGGATAGTTCCATTGATGTAACCCCTTCAGTTCTCATACAAATCCGGAGCTAAACTCAGAGTGAATAGTTCTATTGACCTCATACTGACTTGGAGCTAAGCTCGGATTGCAAGTAGTCCGGTATATAAAGAAGACAACTTATTAGCTCTTTTTTTACATAGCTCTGTCAGACAGAAAGTGGGACAGATAGCAAGTCATCTCATCTATATCATGTAGGAAGATTCGGCCGTTTAAAAATGCCAACCCAGAGAATGCTTTGAACGCATGATTAATCACGAGGAGAACTCAAGCTGCCGTTGGACCAGGAATTATATTTTCTAAGTTTGAATTCAAGCCAATAGGCATAAGCAACGGCTTGACATGAGGCAGAAGGAAATAGAATTGGCTAAAACCGGAATAGGGTTAGCGTTCATGAAGAATCCGAAGATGGGAAGACTTTCCATGATTCATTAGTATCATTTTCATTTCTTCATTTTTTACTTGTAAATACATTTTTTCCTATACTCTGTAGATTTAATCACATCAGTTTTTAGGCTTTAGATCTCCTTTATTTTATACCATCTTTATATGGTAATAATAATTAAATATCTGTGAATTTGCGTGAAGGATTTGTAAATTGTCCAAAATGATCTTTAACAAACTATTCACAATTTGAAAAGTCCTTGGCTACGTAAAATGAAGATCAAAGACAACATTCATTCCAAAGTTTATTTAGTCCCCACTGTATCATTTGGTTTTTCCCTTTCAATGTGAATTCATATTTTTAAGTTTTATCGAGTGGCATGTCTGATTGAACTTAAATTCGGATCTTTTGCTCTCAGGATATAAGATTATTTTTAATTGCGGGTTTTCTACTTTTAAAAATCATTGAGGATTTATGGTTCAGAGAAATTGAAGGAATTTGTCAGAATTCAAAGGTTCAGTAAATTCTACAAAATTTAAAACATGTATTTATTATAATAGTTGCAATCTCCCCTTCAAGCTGTTTTCATCATTACATCATCTCTATCTATAGCAGCCATAGCCATAGATAGATCCATTGTCATCTGTCTACCTGCTGTAAGCAACTTCACAGCCAGGTTAGATGTCATATTATTATCTGTTTACCTGCTGTCAGCAACTTCACAGCCAGGTTAGCTGTCATATTATTATCTGTTTACCTGCTCTCAGCAAATTTACAGCCAGGTTAGCTGTCATATTATTATTTGTCTATCTGCTGTCAGCTATCATATAAGGAAACATTACAATACAATAATTATTCACTTTTTATGTTTTCCGAATTTTTTTTAGAAAGTGTCAATTGAAATTGCGCTAACACTTCCTGATTAGCTAAATCCAATTTCTAAAAACTTTAATTTATTTAATTTTTAATTTTAATTTAATGCTGTTGGTACTGGAGGGGGGGGGGAGGGGTGCTAATTCACAATCTCCCTCTGTTCTTACTTAAACCTATAAAGGCTTGGGGGTCTGAATCTATATTGTATAGACTTAGAGAATAGGTATAGGGTTGAAATACATGTTCATAGCCCAATTGTTCATGGCCAGCTCAAAGAAAAGATTAGACCGATAATAGTTTGGGTGCTAGGGAGGGTCGAAAAAAATTAGATATAAATTAAAAAAGATATTTTTTTAACAAAAAATCCTTTAAATTGCGATTCATTAAAAGTCACAAAATTTTACGGTGATAGTATCAAAAATAAAGTGCTAGGACAAAAAAATACAGGGGGGGGCGCCTGTTTAGGGTTAAAAACATAGTTAATAATACATATTTAATGGTTAAAAGTTAAAATATAACTAACAACATTAATAATTGTTAATATTAATATTACATCCCCTCTGCTGCAGCTGAATATGATTTCTAAAATATTTCTGATTTTATTTTCCAGTTCAAAGCTAAGATTAAATATTTCTTTGTGAATATTTCCTTTTCTCAAGATAAAAATCGATAAAATATCAGAACTTTTGCTCAGAAATGTTCAAAATTTAAAAAGAAACTGAACACTAGCATCGAACCTGAATTTTTCAATTCAATATTCATTTCAATTCAACATATTTTCAACCTGGTGTTATAAATGAGTTTTATTTTTTCAATTTTTTTACATGTTGCTTCAAATTTTCTATTAACACCATCACGTCTTTTTTTGAAAGACTGGTTTGATTGAAAAAATTCTCCTGTCCATACAACACTAAATTTTTCAGGGGATTTTTATTTTATAAGAACACTACTAAGATGAGAACTCTTGTATTGTTAATATCGAGATCAATGATTTTGTTTTTTTGTTTATCTGCGAATTAATTAAAGTTTTATTCGTAATAATCGGGTTTTTTTTATAGAACCTGTTTACTGATAGTTCCTGTTATATGGACGCTAGCTGGGGTCCTTGTTCTACCTTTAGGATTTTCTAACCGCCTCTACAGGTTTGGATAAGATTAAAGATCAAATTATAACATAATGTGTTTGCTATTTTTTATCTTTAATTTTTTTCCTATTTCTATTTATCTTTTTTTCCATCATGGGAAAATTAAAAACAAAAATTGGACGAGCTTTTGAATTAAAAATATGAACCATGATCAGAATATTCAACCACTTTTTGGAGACACCCAGAAATATCTTTAAAAAATTGGAGCCATTTTTCAATTTATTTTTTTAAATTTTCTTAATAGTTTTAAATTTTTCTTTTTTCCTAAGCTGTTTAAAGCAGAAAATCCAAAAACCCATAAAAGCAATGAAATTATTTTTAAAATTCAAAATTTTCTTTATTGAAATATGGACGTGTATTTTTTTTTGGAACAAAATGATTTAAATATTTGGTTTTTTTAAGATAAATTAATAGGTCTGAAATATGCAGAACAGTTATAAACGTTTAGATTTGATTAAAGCATGAAGACGACATTTTAAAAGTTCTCTCATTGCATACATATATATAAAGGGTTACCCAAAAAGGATGAGACTTCAGGGCCGATTGTACGGAATTTGTTGAGTCTGTTTCTCGCCTTTAAGGATGCTTGTAGGCCAAAACCGTCTTATTTCTGTGCTCAATCATTTAGTAAACAATTAAATACTTAATTAAATTCAGTAACGAAAAATCAAGTTTCAAATTGACGTTATTTAGAGTTTTGGGTCGTTTTTACAGACTCATCCTCTGTAAGTAACCCTATAAAAAACAAAATTTTTCAAGGATAACAAATTTAAATACTAATTTATTCATTATTTTCTCACTCAAAACTTGTTATTATCGTGTTTGGGTAAAATTCTGCATTTAATGAGTAAGAAAGTAAAGTTTTGCTGAAAATATAAATATTAAACTAATCTTAAGGAAATTAATTTTTACCGCAAAATAAATCCCTTTATCTCTGCAACCTATTGGTGTTTGTATATATCTTTGATATTTCAAACATAGATTATTTGTTCCAACGAGATTCTAATATTTGATCTTACAGAATTAGATGTTTGAAATACCTAAGGTTAACGGCATCGGGTTGCGAAGGTAAAGAAGTAACAAATCAGAGTTTGTAATAATTTATGTGAATATTTTAGTCCAAGTGAGTCTTTGGCTCTAACAGGTTTCAAGTTCTCCTCCATGGTAGACCTTTACAAGACTAATCCTGAGATGAACATATCCTTGTACAACCAGCTCAATCTTGTAAACAACTACATTACATGGTAATCTTATATATAGCTCAAGCTTGTAAACAACTACATAACATGGTAATCTTTTATCCTTGTACAACCAGGTCAGTCTTGTAAACAACTCAATAACATGGTAATCTATATCCTAGTTCAACCAGTTCAATTTTTTAAAAAACTCAATAACATGGTAATCTTTATCCTTGAACAACCAGCTCAACCTTGTAAACAACTACATTACATAACCAGCTCAATCTTGTAAACAACTACATTACATGGTAATCTTATATCCTTGTGCAACCAGCTCAATCTTGTAAACAACTACTTTACATGGTAATCTTATATCCTTGTACAACCAGCTCAATCTTGTAAACACCTACATTACATGGTAATCTTATATCTTTGTACAACCAGCTCAATCTTGTAAACAACTACATTAAATGGTAATCTTATATCCTTGTACAACTAGCTTAATCTTGTAAACAACTACATTACATGGTAATCTTATATCCTTGTACAACCAGCTCAATCTTGTAAACAACTACATTACATGGTAATCTTATATCCTTGTACAACCAGCTCAATCTTGTAAACAACTACATTACATGGTAATCTTAAATCCTTGTACAACCAGCTCAATCTTGTAAACAACTACATTCAATGGTAATCTTATATCCTTGTACAACCAGCTCAATCTTGTAAACAACTACATTACATGGTAAACTTCCATATAGCTCAAGCTTGTAAACAACTACATAACATGGTAATCTTTTATCCTTGTACAACCAGGTCAGTCTTGTAAACAACTCAATAACATGGTAATCTATATCCTAGTTCAACCAGTTCAATTTTTTAAAAAACTCAATAACATGGTAATCTTTATCCTTGAACAACCAGCTCAACCTTGTAAACAACTACATTACATTACAGCTCAATTTTGTAAACACCGACATAACATTGTAATCTTATATCCTTGTAAACCTAGCTCAATCTTGTAAACAACTACATTACATGGTAATCTTATATTCTTGTACTATAAGCTTAATCTCGTAAACAACTAGAAAAAATTGTAATCTTATATCCTTGTAAAACTAGCTCAATCTTGTAAAGAACCACATTACATGGCAATCTTATATCCTTTTACAACCATCTCAATCTTGTGAACAACTATTTGACATGGTAATCTTTCATACCTGTAAACCTTGTTCAATCTTGTAAACAACTACATTACATGGTAATCTTATATCCTTGTACAACCAGTTAAATCTTTTAAATAACTAAATTACATGGTAACCATATATCCTTGTACATCCAGCTCAATTGTATAAACAACTACACTTTATGGAAACCACTAACCATATATCCTTGTACAACCAGCTCAATATTGTAAACGACTACATTGTAACTATATATCCTTTTAACTTTATATTCAATTGTACTAACGCACAACCAGCTCAATCTATCAAAATTTACATTTTTTAGCTGTAGCTAAAAAATAGATCAATTTCTTCATCTTGATGATCTAATACTCTACAGATCAAAATATGTTTAGATCAAATTCCCTTTTTATCAAAAGGTTCATTGTCAAAATCATCAAAATCAATATAGTGTTCAAATTAAATGGGTCCGTTTGGAGAATTGTTATTGCTTCCCTCGGGAGAGGAATTATATTGGAATTGAAGTTTTTTTATCTAGAAACGATGCCCACCCCTACTTGTGTAATCGTTTTATATTTATTTAGGAGAAAGTGGACATTTTCAAATATTTTATAATAATTACTTTTTCCTAAAGACCCTTTAATACTTTAATAGTGGACACTATTCAGTCTTTATTTTATTTACTATATATAAGTCACCGATCATACAATTATTCATGACGTCACAAGTCTCAAATGTAACAAGGAAGACAACATTTTCTCCCATTAGTTGACATGTTTTTCAAGATAAAAAATATGTAAAAATATGAAAATTAAGACCACAAAATTGCACAGTAAGCAATTAATAATTAATAATTAATAATTGTGTCGGACATATAAAACTGAATTGACACTTATGACGTCAGAATACAGCTGTACTGAGAGTGTTCAAATTCTAAGTTGCCATCTACTATTGATAAACTATTTGGGGTATCTTATGTTTTAATTTTAATTTCAAATTTATTAAAAGACCAAAGACAAAAATCATACTGTTATTTGATGGCCATCACTGAACGAGCTTTCATCTGTGAAATATTATTTTGCTACGAAACAAGAATATATATATAACTTTGTTCTCTAATTGGCAATCTCGGGAGAGTTTTTAATTCCCAAATTAGATTAATTAGTTATTTACTTTTTCATCCTAATTATGACGAGAAATGAATACAAAACTTCGAATTTTACTTATTAGGAATTCTCATTGGTACAAATTGCCAATTACAGTGAGACCCTATGTCATTATGCATTGCCAATTGTGCAGTGAAAACTATTTGCTTTGCATCAAAAACACTTTATTAATGCTTTAATGTCGTATTCCTATTCCACAGTTTTCTCATTATCATAGTATCAAAGCTGTATATTTATATATTCTGAACTCTAACATAAATCAATGGGGCCTATGGTCTATAGGCATATCCATTACACATTTTCCCACAAACTCTTCTTTTAGAGGTTTTTAAATATTTTCTCCTGAAACACATCATTTTGTATGTTTTTGTTATATCTCATACATAAATAATTTGTTACTTTACTTTACTTCACACAACCAGGCGCGGATCCAGGGGGGGGGGTCAAGAGTATCTTTGACCCTCCCTTTTTCTGGAGACTAACCAAAATGTTTACTGTAACTTGTTTTTCAGCAGATACAAAACTAAATTGTTTTGTTCAAATCAACAATAGAGAGTTGCAGTTATTTCGTAATTTCTGGAGAAAAAAAAATAATTTAACTTTTCATCAATCTGATAGATTTACAGTTAAAACAACCCCTGTAAGTAATAGAATTTGATTCTTTCCTATCTTAAGAATTATGTTTATTATGATTTTAACATTGAAGCACATTTTAGTTGTATGTCACAAAAAAACGAAAACATCGACAGTATTTGATATAAAAGTCTTTTTTCTAAACTGTGATATCCTGGACCTAATTACCTTGCTATCCTATCCTTATGTATCATTTCCTTCGCTTGATGCTCTTCCCACTGAATCACAGTTTTATTGGAAGTTTGACTCCCCTTTAAACATGGAATTTAGAAAAAGTTAACGAAAACCCTGACTTTAAAAAACCTATAATTTACAAAAAAAAATAATTTACAATAAAAACCTTAAATTTACAGTTTAAAAAACAAATAGGAAATGCCCTGACTTTACAACAAAAAACCTTGAATAAAAAAAATTGAACTTACAACAAAAAAAACTTTGAATTTAAGAAAAGCGATTATAAACCATAATGCATGATGTTAAGGTCTAATGAGAGCAACACCTACGAGTACAATCAAGCTTTCTTCGAATTGGAGAAATCAGTAAGTTGAAATCTTTCTGGAACAGTTTAAAGGGACTGTGAACGGATTTAAATTTAAATGTGTGCAATTTACGACGGGATCATATGTTTTCATGTATGAAAAGTGAAAAATTGAAATTGTAATACATTAAAAAGTAAACACATTACAGGCTAGAAACACGATCAGATAAAAGTTTGAAGGTACTGTAGTGAATCAGGAAGGACCCTCATTAAATTAAGGGTCATTGAAATTACAAATTAAAAATACAGTCCCTTTAAGTAACAACTAAAAAGTATGTACATATGAAGGCAGATAAACAAAATTTTTTAAGTAATCAAGCACGTAAAAAAAATCAATCAAGGAAAAGATAAAAAAGTTTCTTTTATATTGTATTATTTTTTTGTTTGCTTGTGAAGTTTAATACCTTAGTAAATGTATACTACTGATATTATAGTTAGATATAACTAATCTATCTATGTATTAGTAATTATAACCTACTGATATTATAGTTAGATATAACTAATCTATCTATGTATTAGTAATTATAACCTACTATATTATAGTTAATATAGTTATAGTCTTGTTACGCGAGCCATGCTGCGTGTAGAAAGTCTGCTTGTCACCCCTGGGGATTTCTGAGTTCTCCCTGAAGATCTGTACAGAATGTATTGTGAAAGAACTAGTTTAGGAACTGTTTACAGTCCGACTGCGCAGACGCAAGATTTCTTGCGGAATAGTAACTAATTTATGTCAGTATATGTTTATTCGTTTTGCAAGTATTAGCCGTGTTCAGAATTCTGGGATCACTGTGGTAACTATTTTTATATATATTTATGCTTGTCGGTTTGATTATAATATGATTGATATTTGTATATGTGTTTATTGGTTCCTAGCCACAGTTTTTTAATGCCTGAGTGAATTATTTGTTGTAGTTGTATGATTTGTCACTCAAAGCTTTTTCTGTGGGTTTATTAAACTTATTTAGATTGAAGGCTCAGAGAAATAAACGTTCGGAACCTTACTATCATCCTTTTTATTATGAAGAGCGTTGAGAGAAGGGAGTCTTACGATCCGGTCCTGAGAAATACCACACGGTATATATATTAGGTCTTTAGGGAAATCGCTAAGTAGCGAAACAAGTCTATCTATGTATTAGTAATTATAACCTACTTATATTATAGTTAGATATAACTAATCTATCTATGTATTAGGAAATAGAACCGACTGATCTAATAGTTAGACATATCGAACTTCTGCTACAAGAAACAAGAATACCTAGAGAACAGCTGGGTTCTAGGTGCTTAGAGGTATTCTTCCATATTTTACAAAGACAGGAAACCAGATATATAGTTCCATAGTTTACATTGATATGACACCACATATATACTTCCATAGTTTACAGTGCTAGCTAGTAAACCAGATTTATACTTCCATACCTTACAGAGATAGGGTACTAGATATAAACTTCCTTAGATCACAGTAAATAGTACACCACATATGCTCTTTCATAGTTTAAAGAGATAGGACACAAGAAATATGCATTCACAGTTTCCAGAGATATATACTTCCATAGTTTATAGATACTAGCTATATACTTCCATAGTTTACAGAGATAGAACACCAGATTTATACTTCCATAGTTTACAAAAATAGGACACTACACATGTTCTTTCATAGCTTACAGAATTAGATCAACAGATATATACTTCCATAGTTTACAGAGATAGGATACCAGATATATACTTTCATAGTTCACAGAGATAGGACACCAGATTTATACTTCCATAGTTTACAGAAATAGGACACCACACATGTTCTTTCATAGCTTACAGAATTAGATCAACAGATATATACTTCCATAGTTTACAAAGATAGGATACCAGATATATACTTCCATAGTTACAGAGATAGGACATAGTTTACTTAGACAAGCCACATTGATTAACATCTTTTAGTATTATCGACAGAAACATTTTAAGGGGAAAGGTAAAATGTTGGTTAAATTTTACCGACTAAAAAATAGTTTTTGTCATTGAACCCTATCTTGACGTTATAGACAAATGGAATTTAAATTGCTTTTATTTAATCTATAATGATATTTAATCTTAACATTGGAAAACGGGGGTAATATTATAGCGTTAATTTGAAATTTAAAAAAAAAATTTATAGCGGTTTTTCAAAATTCGATATTAAAAAATTTCCCGGGAACTTCTGCTAGTGACATATATTATTCTACACTCTACAGATTGAGGAGAGAAAGCCGTTCTTCCGAACCTACGTTATTCTGATCCTGCTGATTCAATATATTGTACCTCTGCTCACAGTTCTTATTGCAAACTCTACAATATTCTCAAAACTCAGGTATATATAAAATGTTGAATATAAAGTTGGAAAACAACAATTTGAAAGATCGGCTGAGGCTGAAATGTATATCTGCCCACCATCGAGCAAGGTTGTGTAATAAAGTGGCTTACTCTCGATGTGCTCTATAATTGCCATGGAAATGTCGTCTCCTCAGCATAAATAGATAAAATTCTCATATAACATCACTGATTACAGAGGTGAGCGTGACGTCATATACTGATTTTATCTATTTATGCTAAGGAGACGACATTTCCTGTACATTTGAGCACATGTAGAGAATAAGCAACCTTATTATACAACCTTGCTCGATAGTGTTCAACAATATGATATCTGCGACTGAGGACGGATTTATCACATACAATTTACAAACTATTCAAGTACAAAGGACTCACGCTAATTTTCTAGGTTTTTAGGCCACAATTTAAAAAAATTAATTTGATCGGACTTTGTCTGGAAATTTCAGAGGCTTAAACGTGAACGTGCCTGACACTGGCTTAAAAGGAACTATTGTCTGTTTTTAGGATCAGGATGAACACATATACCAGTAAAAGGAACTATTGTCTGTTTTTAGGATCAGGATGAACACATATACCAGTAAAAGGAACTATTGTCTGTTTTTAGGATCAGGATGAACACATATACCAGTAAAAGGAACTATTGTCTGTTTTTAGGATCAGGATGAACACATATACCAGTAAAAGTGTGACAATGATGAGAACACTAGAGATAAGAAGAATGAAAAGGTGAAGAACATTTTGTTACTTCGTCATCGTTAATGAATTTTTTTCATCAGTAACATGTAAGAAAAAAAAAATATTTTTTTCTTACATGTTTGTCTTTTTGTCCTTCAAGTTTTGGTTCAATTCAGTCCATCAAACCTTTCTCTTGAGTTCAACATTTTTAGAACAAACATTGACACCTATCTGTGGGCTTTAAAATCTAGGAAATTAAGTAGAATTTTCTCAAGTTGTTCAAAATTATCTTTACATTTATAACTTTGGTTACTCAACTAAGAATTCAACCTATTTTTAAATCGACTGATATGCACACTTTTAAAAACCTAAATAATTTTATAATTTTTAAACAAACTCAGTTCTTTAAAAACTGTTTTAAAAATTAAAACTATATTTGTATTTGTTCTAAAAACTATATTTGTATTTGTTCTAAAAACTTTATTTGTATTTGTTCTAAAAACTATATTTGTATTTGTTCTAAAAACTATATTTGTATGTGTTTTTCATATAAAGAAATAATCGACATAAAAGTCAATTGATTAGATTAGTTTTGTCGCAGCTCAGCAACTAAGCAAGTTTTCAGTAATCAAATAAAATTTTAACACATAAAAAAAGATATTCCCAATTTCCAGCTGTGTGGAAAGGATATTGCAAAACTCAATTAAAAATAATTTTATAACTGTTTTTTAGCAATACAAATTAAACCTTTCCGGTTTATTTCTGTCTTATATCGGTTGGAAGAGGAGGGTGGGCAGGGGGAGAAATATTTCTTCTCCCTAAAACTAAGGGTATAGAGCAAATGAAAATTAACAATTTTTAAAGTGACGCTGATGGCTATCTTGTTTAGAAAAAGCTTTCAAGGATAACATTGTCGGACAGAGAGATTTTCCTGTATCCTACTAATCTTAATGAATATTTAGAATCTTCTTATATATTTTAGAACCTGCAGTATTCTAGTAATCTTTATGAATATTTAGAATCTTCTTATATATTTTAGAACCTGTATTCTAGTAATCTTTATGAATATTTAGAACCTTCTTATATATTCTAGAACCTGTATTCTACTAATCTTTATGAATATTTAGAATCTTCATATTTATTATAGAACCTTTATTCCACTAATCTTTATGAATATTTAGAACCTTTTTATATTTTCTAGACCCTGTATTCTACTAATCTTTATGAATATTTAGAACCTTCTTATATATTCTAGAACCCGTATTTTTAATCTTTATAAATATTTAGAACCTTCTTATATATTCTAGAACCTGTATCCTACTAATCTTTATGAATATTTAGAACCTTCTTATATATTCTAGAACCTGTATTCTAGTAATCTTTATGAATGATCTAGAACCTGTATTCTAGTAATCTTTACTGAATGATCTAGAACCTGTATTCTAGTAATCTTTATGAATGTCCTAGAACCTGTATTCTACTAATCTTTATGATTGCTGTATTCACAATATGCTGGCTTCCTTTAACAGTTTTTAACATAGTTCAGGTAATCTTTATCTATTATTTTTTTTAAATCTTTAAAAATGTCAGACCCCAAATTATAGAAAAAAGATATTATGCTTCCAAAAAAATAGCTGCAAAGATCTTACACTTTTACGACCAACAAATTTAAAATGAAAGATAAATAAAATCAAATCAAATGATATTAGAATTCCACTTGATGGAAACGCTAAAAAATATTTCGTACAACTCATATATATTATACGATATAAATTATTTTTCTGAAGATTTAGCCTTTGTTAGTAACTCATACGTACGTGAGATAAGATTGATATTGATTCTCTAAAAACCTCTTCTCGGGAGAAATCTTTTTTGAGTACCGATATTTTTTAATAGATCGAACCCTGAGCTGAGACTGTGGGAAAACAATGGCAATGGTCGATTTACAATTAGATTTATTTCAAAGATACTGATGTTGTTTTTCAAAAGCGAAAAGTATTTAACTCTGGTAATTTCTCCATTGCTCCTTATAATTGCAAGAAATGCGCGAGGCACTTTTGCAGAGAAACCTCGAATGGAAATTAGCAGTTTAAACAAAAAGCTTTTAAGGGTACCGTTGTGAATCAGGCATTGCCATCCTGAATTGAAAGGTCATTAGAAATTACGCTTACAGTCCCTTTAAACTCGAGTAAATCCTGGCTTCATCGTTTACTCCACCCCTAAGTTATGCTCAGCAACGAATCTATTCTGACTCTCTGAGTGACTTTGGCTCTAATTATGTAAGCATCTGTTTGATTTATAAATTTAAAATGTCGGGAATTATTTGATTCTTTTTTATCCTCGAGACTGGAAAGTTTCAACCTGTTGTTTGTATTTATGACGATGGTATGGACCATCTTACAATGAATAGTCGAAATATTTTTTTTGGTTTAACCAATGAAAACCCAGGTCTCACTTTAAAACCAAGAGAATAACCGAGCGTAACTAACACTCGAGTTTATAGAAATCCGGGTTTACCTTTAACATTTGAGCTTAAATATTTCATGTTTTAATACTGGTAGGATTTGAAAGAAAGAAGTGAAGGTGAAGGAGAAAACGGAGGAAATGGAAGAAATGAAAATGAGGATAATATGTTCTTCACATTATTTGCTCTGTGTCACCTCATAGGTAAATACAAGGAGTTGTTAAACTCTAATCTAATAAAGACTTTAATTATCTAAACATTTATTGCATGATCCAGTTGTAGAGGGAAAAATGTAAACAAAAAGTTGGATGAAATTGACAATTTATATATTTAAAACAAAAAGCCATCAAATTCATCTGCCAAAAAAAATTCAAACATTTACAAAACCTGATTGTGAATTCCGTAGACAGCCCCTTCAGTAATGTTTTACTAAGCTCTGTGTATGTACAGGAATGCTGTCCGCATGTACTAATCCTGTACTGTACGGTCTTCTTAATGAAAACTTCAAAGCCGAGTACAGAGCAATGATGAACTGCATTACTGGAAGTACACAATCTAGACAAATAGAACAAGAACAAGAGTTAGAACTTAGAGAAAGACAAGATCAGGTGCTTGATAACGTACAACGTGAACAAGAACACGATCAAGAAGAACAACAACTCCAACAACCAAGGCATCATCTATAGACCCTATAACATTAACAGCAATATTCATAATAACAACATTTACAACAAAAAACATCATGAACAACAAAAACATCAATGATAGATTGACAAGAACAAGATAAAAGGGAAATTAACAGCAAGAACAACATAATTAACAAGAAGAACTAAAACAAGAACATATAAATAACAAAAACAAGATTAACAAAATTATCATAAGTAAGAACACCAGAAATAAAAGATACCCAAAGATCAAAAACTTAAACAAGAATGCAATTAACAACTCAAATAAAAACAAGGCCAATAACTTTAACAAGAACATGATGAATAACACTAATAACAAGAACAAGAATGATATCTCTAACAAGAACAATATTTTAACTCTAATAAGAGCAAGATTAATAGCTCTAACAAGAACAAGATTGAGTACACTAACAAGAGCAATATTAATGAATGTAATTAATTATTCTAACAAGAACAAGATAAATAACCCTTACAAGAACAAGATTAATAACTCTAACAAGAACAAGATTAATAACTCTAACAAGAACAAGATTAATAACTCTAACAAGAACAAGACTAATAAATCTAACAAAATAAGATTAATAACTCTAACAAGAACAAGATTTATAACTCTAACAAGAACAAGACTTATAACTCTAACAAGAACAAGACTAATCAATCTAACAAAATAAGATTAATAACTCTAACAAAAACAAGATTTATAACTCTAACAAGAACAAGAATAATAAATCTAACAAAATAAGATTAATAACTTTAACAAGAACAAGATTTATAACTCTAACAAGAACAAGATTAATAATTTTAACAAGAGTACAAAATTAAATTCTTAGGTCAAAATTTTTTTATATTTAAAAGAAATAACAAACAAAAAGATAATTCAAGCTGTCGTGAAATTGTTTGTGTGTTGCATGTTAATTTCTATACTTCGTCAAAACGATTAATTAAGCCAAAACTTGTATTAAACCATATCCTTTTTTGTGCAAAAAATTAGAATATCTTGGCGAAATTCTTTAATAGTATAATAATACACCGTGAACAAAAACAGCTAAACAATGAAAGCACCACAGAGAAACCATTACAATTGTGGAGTAAGAAGACGAGGACTCTTATTCTCGAGTTATGATTTTAAATTTTCAAATAAACATAGAAAACAGAAATTTTGCGGTGCACACAGGTCAATATCACTTCATAAATTTATTGACAAGCTATAGATTGACAAATTAAATTCATAAAAATATAAAATTATTCCACAATTTTACGGGTTATACTGTGTTTACTTTGCATGGCTATGTAAGTTTTTTAAAAGTGGCACGTTATCATATTCTGAAAAAAAAATTTTATCTTTATTTTCAAACAAAAAGACGTTGTCAAAAACAGTATTATGTGAATTTGTAAAACTATGTTGTGATATAATTATGTGATTCAAATTTAAATTCAAAGTGTCAGAAAGTAATGTTGTCAAAATTTAAAATTATTTTATAAACTACATTTATGATCAATATATTTGTTTAAACGTATATTTGAAATAAATAGAACTAAATTAGTACATTGACAATACTTTTTAGGAATTAAGACAAACACATTTATTTTTATTTTCAAAATTGTTAAAACTAAAACTCAGAGTATTGAATATTTCTCCTACAGAGGGAGGGCTATCAAATTCTAGAAAAGGAGAGAAAGACACATACGATTGCTTAAATGTCGTCTTCTTATACAACCGTTTTATGGGTTCAATGAAGTACAATGTCTTGTTAAAATTTTTTTTTTTATCTACATCAAATTGTTATTTTTTGTTAAAAATGGTTTATTTCAAGAGAGTTAAGATCGTTAGTAAATAGTAAATACTGTATAATTCGAAAAATCACAAAAGAATTTAGTTTTTACCACAAGCTCGAATTTTCTAATCCCATCATCTTTGCAACCTGAAATTGTAAACCGACCATATTTTAAACTTTGACACCTTGATGTAACATAATTTATAGTTTGAAATATCAAAGGTCTACGACATCGGGTTGCAAAGATATTTGGGAAAAAGTTAAGAGTTTTTGCACAAAACTCATTTCCTTTGTTGAAATTTCCTTGTATAATGTATACTCTCTTTTTATTTAATATCAAAAACTATTTTATGAGTTGGTCAATTTTAGCCAATAACAAAAAGCAAAAAGAATCAACAATACTATTTTTAAAGATGTTATAATCGCACAATTGAACATATTTTCAGTGTATAAGGGGGAAACTTGTTGGCACTTTTTTGATAAAAATTATCAAACCTTTTTGAACCATTCCCTTAAAATTATAATAAATAGATAAAAATAAATTAAATTTGAAATCTAAAACACATTAATTTACTTAAGGAAAGACATGATTCATTTAATTTTATTTTGTCGTCCTTAGTGTGTATTAATACTGAAGAACTTTCTCTAGTTTTATAAAATTCTGGTGCTTCAAATAAACTGTCGAGATCAGAATATAAAATATCCGTTGAAAATAAAACAAACAATCTTACAATCGTATATTTAATGTTGTTCTCGTGACGGAGAGACTCGAGACATTTTTACTAAACAGTTTCACCCTTAACAAGACTGGCATAACTGATTCACAACCGTACTGTTTAGTCCTTCACCGGATCTATAATTTGGAAGATATCGCCTGTATTAGTTTATTCTAGCTTGAAAAAGTTTAATTTTGGCCACTTCATCCATGGTCGCTGAAGAAAAACCCGCAAGTCAGTGAACAGGAAAACACAATCAAATACAATTCATTTTCAAAAATAAAATGATAAATATTTTTGTCATTTTTGTCTAAACTAAGTTTGTAAGTGTACTGTTGTGAATCGGACTTCCTGTTTTAAAAATAAAGAATGGATTGAAATAACGTTATAACATTCCCATTTAGTTTCTTATATACGGACAATATTGTATAATTTTATATATATGTGGCGGCTGTAGAAACTAGTTCATAAACATAGGACAGGTGGAGGTAGGAGAGAAGTCCTGAAACATATATAAAATATATTCATCACTTGCCTCAAACACAAACAGTTATATAAGAGGACATAAGAAGAATTCATACAATGTCACTTTCAATTTGAATTTGAAGATGTCAAAGTTTTCCGCTAACTGCTTTACAGAAGTATGTAAAAGTTTTTTACTAGGAATGAAACTTTTATTTATTTTTCGTAAAGATAAGAAAAGTTGCCCAAATTTATAAATGTACAACTATTACAGATAAATGTAATCAGAAAGGGACTATCGACGTTAAAGTGACTCTGTCCGGCAAAAGGGAGTAACCGGCGATGCATGGTTGTTGAACTGAGAATAAAGTATTGTGGAAAAATGTTCGGGATTCATTTGAGACATTTGAGACGTTTTAATGAGTAATTACTGAGTTTGAGCGCAAAGTCGCCGTTCAAAATCATCCATTTAGTTGGTTACGTTTTGAGTCATTTTTTTAAAAACTATTAAATAACGACGACGAAAATCAAAAATGCAACACAAATTCGACGGTAACCTAGTTAGATGTTTAGGAACATATTTCTCTTAAGAAATTTGCCAATAAATTAATGTTAGAATCAATTATTTTTTTTCAACATTATATTGAATTTCTAGTACTTTACGAATTTGTTCGCAGATTTCTACAAATTATTCAAATGTCGTCTTTTCAGTAAAAATTCCAGAAAATCTACGGAAAATGTTAGTGAACAAGGAGACATTACAGAAACTAATAACTGTACAAGATTATTTATTTTCGATGATAAAGTTAATTTTTATTTTCTTAACCTGGTCCTAAACAACTAATTAGTTTACTGCATAATTATCTTACATTTTTGTAGTCGTTATTTTATAATTTTCAAAAAATTGATTCTCAAAACGTAAGCACTTTTCACTCAAACTCAGTAATTATACATCATTGAAACGCTCAAATGTGTCTCAAATGAATTTTTCCACAATACTGCATTCTCAGTTCAACTGCCATACATTGCCAGTCACTCCCCTTAAAAAAAAACACACACTAAATAGTATATGTACACCTGCTCAACCAGCGCCGCAACGATAACCTTCAAATTCAGAAAGATATTCGTTCGTTTATCTTTCCTGTTCATGGTACATAAATGCAAATGAATTTTAAATGTCATTTTAATGAAGAAGTCCAATTACAAATTAAAGATTTTTAGTTAAAAAATAAGAATATCTACAAACATGATATTTGCTTATACATGTGTTGTGAATCAGATATTTCAGATATTCAACCCTGTTTAATTAAGAGTCACTGTAAATCCTGTCGAGTGTCGACAGTCCCCTAATTATACCAAAAATATAATTCTCAAAAAAGACATTTTTAGCGAAAAAATCAGATGGTTTAAGTTGTTTAAATAAAGTAGATTTTGTAGTTTGTACATACCTACAACGGCTACAGGTATGTACCCAATGAGTTGAAAACTTGTCAAGTACTCAACCTCTTTCCCGTACAGTACAACAAGCAGCTGAATCTACATGTAGGAGAATTTAACATTAGAAAATGTACACTATGCAGTACAGCTGGTGAGAACCAGAAAACTATAGAATAAAAATACGACTTTAAGGCTTAATTATGACTTTAAATAGTCCAAGGAGTTTTAATAAGTTCCTTGTGACACTTTTTGCTGTGTAACAACATCAAATGCACTAAAGTATTCCAATAATGTCTTTTCCGAGATCAAAGTAAACTGGTTTTGTTAAATAAGATTGAATTTCCACAAACATGTCGAAATGTTTGTGGGTTAACGAACACTAACCGGTGTCATGTTTCGTGGGTAAACGTACGTACTAATCTGTGTCAGGTTTTGTGGGATAACCAACACTAACCGGTGTCATGTTTCGTGGGTAAACGTACGTACTAATCTGTATCATGTTTTGTGGGTTAACGAACGTTTACAATGTTTGCGGATTAACGAACACTAACCTACGTCACGTTTTATGGGTTAACGAACACTAACAAGTGTAATATTTTGTGGGTTAACAAACACTAACCTATGTCATGTTCTGTGGTTTAACGAACACTAACAATGTGTCATATTTTGTGGTTTGACGAACACTAACCTTTGCCATGTTCTGTGGTATAACGAACACTAACATGTGTCATATTTTGTGTTTTGACGAACACTAACCTGTGTCATATTTTGGGAGTTAACGAACACTAACCTCTGTCATCTTTTATGGGTTAACGAAACTAACTTGTATCATATTTTGTGGGTTAACGAACACTAACCTGTGTCATGTTCTGCGGGTTAACGAACACTAACATGTGTCATGTTCTGCGGGTTAACGAACACTAACCTGAGTCATGTTCTGCGGGTTAACGAACACTAACCTGTGTCATGTTCTGCGGGTTTACGAGCCTCCAGAAATAGCAAATAATCCACATTGTTGAAGATTTTAGAATAGTATTCTGTGTTGACACTATAGCGCTGTAGTTAACATTACCTACACAAGATATGTAGTAAATAAAGACTAAGTTAGAAAATTTAAAAAATGACAATGCCTGATTTACAACCGTACCATTTAAGTCTGTGTCTTTTCAAATATCAATGTTTAAAATGTTTAAAACCGATTATTTTAATGATTTAAATGTCAAAGGTTCATTTCATTTCATTTCATATTTTTATTCAACTACAAAGCACGAGATATTACAAATAAAAAAATCACAATTTACTATATAGTTTGGACCCGCCTAACCAGAAGTAGGTTGTTTTAATTGGTTGGCCCACTATAAACGAATGATAATATTGCAAATAGAAACAATGTACATTGTACATTTTAAACATAAGAATGATGATAAATCAGGAAAAAGGTAAGGAGGAGGTGAGGGAGTATAAGGGAAAGGGAGAATACTCAGCGTAAGGGTTGGAACAGAGGGTAACATAAGTTATTGAAATCATGTTTATGAACTACAGGGTGAAAAAGATAGTAAAGACTAAGTTTATCCACATATGATACACAGTTTTTTTACAGATATAACTTGCATAACTAGCTAAATAGATCTTGGCGACTTTTCTTTTTAACGATTTTGCAGATTTAATTTCTTTCAGCTCTAATTCAATCGAATTCCATATTTTACAAAGTTTACAGTAGGGTTTGCAGATGCTATTTTGTTTGAACTACTGCCGTTAGAACTATTGACTTTTTGAACTATTGGTGTGTTTGGTACCATGTGCAGTAGTTTAAACGACAAATAGTTCAAACGATAACATTCTGTTCTCATTTGAACTATTTTGATGTTTATTTGAATTATTAAAAAAATATTTTTTTCTCATTCGAACTTATTTTGATCAAGTTAGTTCATATGAGGAAATAATGTGTTGAATGAACTACAGGAAATGACGTCATTATCAGTTTAGTTAGAACGAACAATAGTTCAAATGATGAATAGTTCAAACGGCAGTAGTTCAAATTCGGATCCACCAGTTTACAGTAGTGTTTGCAGCGAAAAAAAAGAAAACGAAAATTTCGCGTTTTTCGCGAAAATTTTCTCATTTTTTCTCATTTTGTTCGCTTTCCAGAAAAAATGCGAAAAATTTTACGAAAAAAAAATTGCGAAAATTTCGCGATAAAAAAATGCAAAAAGTTCGCGAAAAAAACACGGAAAAAATGCAAAAACACGAAAATTTCGCAAAAAAATACGGAATTTTTAATCGGCAGTCTCATAGTCATGGGTAGATAGAAAGATAGCTAGAGAAAAAAAATTCTCTTTTTGCACAATTGATTGTTGCAGCTATAACACTTATGGTTTTCGCGGAAGTTATTTTTTTCCGAAAATATTTTCGCAAAATTTTGCTTGTCGCGAAATTTTTTTTGCGAAATTTCGAATTGTTTTCGCGGAAAAATGAGAAAATTCGCGAAAAAGCTTGCAAAATCTGAACGAAAATTTTTAAATTTTTTCGCATTTTTTGTGCAAAGTTTTGTTCGCTAAAACTTTAGTTTACAGTTACGTAAATAGGTTGCACATTTATAGAAATTAAAAATTAGAGTTTGTTACGAGTGTTTAGTTTAGTTTAGTTTAGTTTAGTTTAGTTTAGTTCAGTTTAGAGTTTAATTTAGTTTAGTTTAGTTTAGTTTAGTTTAGTAGTTTGGTTTAGTTTAGTTTAGTTTAGTTTAGTTTAGTTTAGTTTAGAGTTTAGTTTAGTTTAGTTTAGTTTAGTTTAGTTTAGTTTAGTTTAGTTTAGTTTTGTTTTGTTTAGTTTAGTTTAGTTTAGTTTAGTTTAGTTCAGTTTAGTTTAGTTTAGTTTAGTTTAGTTTAGTTCAGTTTAGTTTAGTTTAGTTTAGTTTAGTTTAGTTTAGCCCAACTGTGAAAATAAAAATAAATAAGAATAAATAAAATATTAAAAAATATTTTAATAAACACATATAATTGAGTGACTGTTATCTACAGTTTTCTTGTAAGGCAATAACAAAATACAACACAATCTGTGAGTTCCTTACCTGTAAAAACGGATTCCATATTAGTTTCCAGAATATTATGATAATTTATCATAAAATAGTTCCATAGTACTGAGGATAAGAGAGACTGTAGGCTTATTAGGACCATTATCTAAACATAAATATATATTTATTTATATTAATATATGTAGTTTCAAGTTATTATCCATTTAAACCTAAACCAACACCACCCTCTCTAGTTTTTTTTGACATAGCACTCTCATTTTTGACACTATCTTCTTGACATTTTTTACTTTTAAGAAAAAGTGATTTAAAGGATTTTTTGCCAATTTATTGTTATGCAAAGAGTAGAGAACAGGCATGGTAAAAAGGCCGGTCTGTGTAAAAAAAAATAGCCCATCACTTTTTTTTATTGAAGGGTTATATGAAGCCTTTCTGAAGAGGTTTTAAGAAGCTAGGACAAGCCTTTTTATTCTTAAACACTTAAAAATGTTTAAAATTTGAATACACAAAACTACTTAGTTATAAATGAGTTGGTAAGTGACATAGGTTGGTGCAACTTTAAAGTTGATCGGGGTCCGATAGTTCATGCACAAGTTTTATAAATATAACTTTATATCGCTGTGTTTCCTGTATTTATTTTTATTTCTTTATTTATCCGCTAATAATTTTCCTGAGAAATGTTTTTTTTATATTCTTTTTTATATCTCTGCAACGTAGAGATAAAAAAATGGGGTTTTTTGCGCCAAATCTGTCAGCATGTTGCCAACAACTTCTTTTAAACTGAAGCTATAAACACATTTTTTTATATAGGCTTGATAAAATTTACTCATAAGCTATATACCTGTACTGGTCTCCTATACTTGATGTAGGCTTGATACAATTTACTCCTAAGCCCTCCAGGCTTTATCCCGTCTTTATAAATAAAAAATTGTTTGTTTTTTTCCAGAAAATTAAAAAAAAATTTAGATCATAATTAATATTTTTTTGTGTTAGATCAAGAAAATATAATGATGAAATCATTTGCAACAAACTCTTATCTCTAAATCTTATCCTTATTATCTTTGAAAATAATAGTATAAACCTTTGATATTTCAAATCTTTAGTCTTTTGCTCTCTTGGAATTAATAGTTTGAATTAACAATTAGAAAATTAGAATATGTGGCAAGTGTTCAGAAAAGAGTATTTTATATTTAACCTGAAGGAAAGCGTGAACAGACTTCCATTTGAATTTTAGAATCTAATAATGAATAGCTAGCACCAGGGCTGGATTTACCATTACTAAATCTAAATATTTAAGTATTTTAATGCTTTAAAAAATACTTTCATATAATCATGTTGGAAATTTTTAAATTTCTGTTTCTTGGGTGTGTGTTTGCTACATCTTGTTAGTAAAATCTAACAAACGAAAACTATTCAAATTTACGGTCATTTTTTTCTAAATTATGCAGTTTGGACGTGTGTAGGTGATAAAGACGACTTAAGATCTAAATCAAGATTTTAAGCAGCATTGATACCTCGGATACCCAAAAAAATGAAAACAAAGAAATTAAAGAAAAAATTCGTCTTTATATTGATATTATCGCCTTCCACAGTATGTTAGAGATAACTCACACAATTTTATATTGCTAACATTAAATTCGTAATTTAATACTAACTGCTTGTAATTTAAAACTTATTACTTGTAATTTAGAGCTAATTGTTTGTAATTGAGAACAAACTTATTGTAACTTAGAACTAATTGCTTGCAATTTAGAACAAATTGATCGTTTTTTAGAAAAAATTGTTCTTATGAACTTTGTTTAACTTTTGTTCGAAATTATAAAGTATGTTAGGGATAACTCACACAATTTTATATGTCTAACATTCTATTCGTAATCTAATACTAATCGTAATTTAGAATTTTTAATTTAGCACTAATTGCTTGTAAATTAGAACAAATTGCTGTAAATTTAGAACTATAATTACTTGTAGCTTAATTATAACTAATTGCCTAGAATTTAGAAGAAAACGCTTAAATTTATGTATTACTTTTAATCTTATAATAATTGCTTGCAATTCGTACCTAATTGTGTGTAATTTAGAACAAATGTCTTGAAATTCATAACTAATTGGATAAATTGATAAATTGTTGTAATACATGGGCTTTCCACTTTACATATGGAGGATCACTTAAACTACGTTTATACAGTCCTATCATTGTCTATAAGAATTCACAACAAATAAACATAACGTACACTTTATGAAGAGTTACAGCGAATGCGATGAATCTAAAAATATCTCCTGCACCATCACACAATCCATCCATCATCCAACCAAAACTTCCAGGGTTCGCCACCTGACCTAAATATTTTGCATATAAACAGGGCTCACTACCTGACCTACATTATGTTTATAAACAGGGCTCACTACCTGACTTACATATTATGTTTATAAACAGGGTTCACCACCTGACATAAATATTATGCTTATAAACAGGGTTTGCTACCAAACCTAAATATTATGTTTATAAACAGGGTTCGCTACCTGACATAAACACTAGGTTTAAAAACAGGGTTCGCTACCTTACCTAAATATTATTTGTATAAACAGGATTCGCCAAATTAATTATTAGGTTTATAAACAGGGTTCGCTACCTGACCTAATTATTAGGTTTATAAACAGGGTTCGCTACCTGACCTAATTATTAGGTTTAAAAACACCGGGTTCGCTACTTGACCTCAATACTAGGTTTATTAATTGGGTTCGCCACCTGACCTAAATATTAGGCTTAAAAACAGAGTTTGCTACTTTAATTAGGATTAAAAACAGGGTTCGCTACCTGACCTTTATAATAATGTTTATAAACAGGGTTCGCTACCTGACCTTAATATAATGTTTTTAAACAGGGTTCGCTACCTTGGTATTGATCGACTTAGAGCTTGTTTGATAGCTACGCTTGTGTCCGTATTGACATTCAGAGCCTATAAGATCGTGTCTGTTGGTTTGAAATTGATCGCTAAAGAGTTTGCGTCCTGGTTGACATTTATAGCTGACGGGTTGTACGTGAGCTGATACAGTTCTGGACGAAGTTTGTAAGGCCCAAGGCGTTGCTACAAATCAAAGTCGATTCTGTCTTAGACTGTTTTTAAGCAGGGTGAATCTATATGCGACTCCCTGTTTAGTTTTGTAAACACTACTTTTAAATAAAAATAATAAAATTACCAGATCCATGGGATAGATTGATTTCCCGCGCAACATTTCCATCCAGGGAGTCAAAATAATCACGGACCTCAAATATGCAGAATTAGAAGAATCTGTTTCGGAATGAAAGGAATACATTCGGAATTTAGAGAAATATATTCCGATTGTGCAGAAACATTTTCGGAATCAGGAGAAATATTTTCTCAATCGGAAAATTCGAAATAAGAAAAATTTGGAAAAAAGGAAAGCATTTTTCCGAATAAAATAAATATATTCAGATTGTGAAGATGCGGAATAAGGAGAATTCGAATTAAGAGGAATAAATTCGGAATAAAAAGAATTTGATAATAAGAGGAATAAATTCGGAATAAAAAGAATTTGATAATAAGAGGAATAAATTTGGAATAAAAAGAATTTAATAATAAGATAAATAAATTCGGAAAAAAGAATTTAATAATAAGAGGAATAAATTCGGAATAAAAAGAATTTAATAATAAGAGGAATAAATTCGGAATAAGAGCAATGAATACTCCTGCTAAAGAAACCATATTAGGTGTAAAATATTTTGCTACATCAGTATACGCCACTGTCCAGTAGGCCAAGGGCTCATCTATAAACTTAAATAAAAATATTATGAAAAAAAATGCTTTTTGGGATTGTAGACTTAATATCAAGCGACTTAAAAGTGACTTGCGCATTTCTGTTTCAGACACAATGGAGGATATGGTCAGGATTAAAAATTTTACATTAAAAGTTTCATCAGTTTCGTACTAATCATGGAAACAGTAAAAGACTCCGGTATAGAGCAAACGCGCCTCTGCTATACAACATAGTTTTCTTAAAACTCTTGGTTTTTACATTAAGTATTTTTACATTAAGTAAATAATTTTTGTATTTCTTTCGACATAGTGGCATAAAAAGTTCATCAAAGATCACAAGAATTAAAACTTTTTTACGCAAAAGGGAAAACATTTCGAGAAAAAATTTGGAAATTAATTTTATTTTATATTTTAAAATCTTTGATTTAAGCAATGCCTTGTTTTGGAAATTTTATCAGAGTATGATAAGATACAAATCATGACAATCTATAAACAACATTAATCTTAAGTATAATTCTTTTGCCACTATGTTGAAAAAATCTTTATTACATGTTAAAACCAAGAATTATAAGGAAGCTGTTCTGTATAGCGGAGGAAAGTTTACTGCATAGCAGAGGCTCTTACTACAAGGTGGAGGCTCGGTCTGTCTAGCAAATATGGGAGGCTCGTGTCTGCATGGCGGATGCTCATGGCGTCCGGGGGTTCCCTCCCTCGTCAGATTCGGAAAGTTTTAAAAGAGACACATGTAGATAATTGTATTATGCATCATGCATAAACATTTCGTAAAGAAACACACATTCTTTAAAAGAAGAAAATCATTGAAGAAAAATATTAAGATATATTTTTTAAAACATTTTCTAACCTGAATAGTTGAAGGTAACAAGAGCAGTTTTATTGTGATAGGTTTAAAGGGAGAGTACACATAGGGTTCTGAAAAAAAGAGTTTTAGAAAAATTGAAACATATTATTTTTAAGGAAATCCATGATTAAAATCATGAATTGGAATGGAGTCTTTGCCCCAAACACTAATTTTTGAATCCCTATATCTCTGCCACATGTATCGATCGTACACTTTAAAATTTTAAAACTATAAATCTGCGAGATAGAAGAATTCAAATTTGCATTTCTAAGGTTTTACAAAATATCAGGTTGCACATATATATGGATACAAAAATTTGAGTTTGTTTCAACGACTCAATTCTAATTGATCCAAACAAAGGGTTGTTTTATCTTTTCGCTCTAATAGAACCTTTCCGTCAATAAATCTTTTGGATTATAAAATATTATATATGCTACAAAAGAGGCCCTAACTATTGTTTTGATCTAACACTGCACTGTGTTCATAATATATTTATAGTCCTATCATAGAGACATCCGTACTTTTCTTGATTTTATAATTGGTTAATAACTTTGTACCATGTATTTTAATCAAATCTGAGGATGAGAAGTTATTTCATCTCTTGATTAAATATAGTTAGTTTTTTTCATATCCCATGGTGGTTATATCCTGCAATTAATAATTTAAAAGTGATAACAGTGGATATCAAGTTCAAGCGTTCAAGAGTAATGCCTAATATACTCTACACAAAAATACAAGTACAGGCTTTTGCAGAAGATTATCTTCTTAAAATTCAATTTCACACTTCATACTTGAAAAAACCAAAAAATTATAAAATATAAAATTAAATGTATTATGACACTGGTGAAAAAAAACGTATTACATCATTGATAAAAAGACTAATTGGGTCTCTTTTATGTTTTGATTATAATTTAAACATTTTCTCTTTTCTATTGAAATCTTGATTTGAGCTGATGATGAAAATGCTCTAAACTCAAAGAAAAAATCCGCAAAAGTTTTAAAATCCACAACACAATTAGTTTTATAAAAGCAATCAAGGAAGACGGACGTGTCAATCAAAATGTCAAATTTAATTTCAAACCTCGGGCTAAGTCTGGATGAATACCAGCAAGCACAATCTTTTAATCAAATGGCTCAGCCTCCTTTTCAGCAGGCACAAGCTTACAGTAAGTTTGGCCCTTTTAAACAGGCAAATGCTTACAATCAGTTGGCACAAGCTCAGTATGCTCAAGCTCCGTACCAGTATGCCCAAGCTTATTCACAGCAGGCTCAAGCTCAAGCTCCGTACCAGCAAGCCCAAGCTTATTCACAGCAGGCTCGAGCTCAAGCTCCATACCAGCAAGCTCAAGCTCCATACCAGCAAGCCCAAGCTTATTCACAGCAGGCTCAAGCTCAAGCTCCATACCAGCAAGCCCAAGCTTATTCACAGCAGGCTCAAGCTCAAGCACCATACCAGCAAGCCCCAGCTTATTACCAGCAGGCTCAAGCTCCATACCAGAAAGCCCCAGCTTATAATCAGCAGGCTCAATCTCAAGCTCCATACCAGCAAGCCCCAGCTTATCAGCAGGCTCAGGCTCCTCTTCAGCAGGCTCAGGCTCCTCTCCAGCAGGCTCAGGCTCCTCTCCAGCAGGCTCAGGCTCCCCTCCAGCAGGCCCAGGCTCCTCTTCAGCAAGCTCAGGCTCCTCTCCAGCAGGCTCAGGCTCCTCTCCAGCAGGCTCAGGCTCCTCTCCAGCAGGCTCAGGCGCAGCAGTCACAACAAATTGAAGCTCAGTATCAACAGGCACAGGCTCAGTTGTCAAAAGCCCAGCAAGCTTTAGCTCAATTGGCTGATCTTTAACTCAATCGTTTAGCGCTCAGTTTTAAACTGGGGGAACTTCAAAACGACATTTCAAGTTCTCTATTAAACTATGTTGATCTTAAAATTGTTGTAGCATTTAACTAGGAGATATTTATACAAATAAATATTTTTATCTAATAATAATAATCTTATGTGTTTTATTAATTTGGAGGATTGTTAGTCACAAAACTGTGTATAAATTTAATGGATGTATCCATCTTCAAATTCTCTTTTATGTATTATAGCTTTTAGTATTTTCGGATTTTCTTTCAAATGGCAATTAAAGAAGAAAACAGGAGGGTAAATAGAGAAAAGTTCTATCAGGATGTTATTCATATGGATCATATAAGTTTTTTTCTTTATAAAATCTGATCAATTTCAGAATGTTTTAATATTTCAGAGCTAACACTAAATTAGACTTAACAGGCTGATTTGAATTCCAACTCCTAGATTACAATGATTCCTATGATACATTTTGACGAGAAGAACATGTCCCTTTCTTTTGCGATAATTGTGTATTCTTGAAACTATTCTAGTAACAACATTCATAATATATTCATAGTCCTAGCATAGAGGCATCCATACTTTTCTTGATTTTATAATTAGTTCATAATTCTGATTTTCTAATCCCTATATTTTCGCGATCTTATGCAAACAATTAATTTAATTCTGTTAGCTAAAATTATTTAAGTTTGAAATATCTAATGTATACACCATCAGATTGAAAATATATAGAGATTAGAAAATGATATTGTGGAAAAGACTCATTTTCTTTGAACCATGTATTTTATTTTAATCTGAGGATGATAAGTTCTTTCATCTCTTGACTAAAAAGTTAGTTTTTAAAGAGAATTAAATCTGTTCTGTTTCACATCATTTCATTTATGACATCAAAATATGAGTCAGACGAGAGGGAGAAGGTCAGCCACAACATTTTATCGTCCGAGCCACCTCAAAATTCTCGACCTTCCAATATTATTTTTTTTAAGTGTTCAATCCTCCCAGATAAAACTATTTTTTAAGAATCGGGCCACGTTAGGGCAAAAATGAAATATTAAATTTTTGTAAATCGAAAAGAACGGTTTCAATTGAATAAAAGCTTTTGAGCTTAATGTCCTTAAATATGTTCACCTTTTAACAAGCATTTAGGAAGGCCGCAAATAATTCAGAGATTATAATACTTTATTCTTTTTTGTTAATTATAGTGAAAACCATAGAACTTTTCCGGTAGGTTCAATGGGGAAAATTATAGGCAGAGTTATGCAAATATTTTGCTATTTATTTTATATCGCGAAGATTAGCCATTAAGGAAGCAGAATAGATTTAAGTTTTACCTAATTAAAGTTTGACATCATTCTCATGGGTTTACAGATTCCAGCAGGATGTAATAATTGCAAAACCTTAGTCTATCCTTATTTCATGCCCTAACGTGGCCAGATTAAAAAAATATTTTTATCTTCGATAATTGGAAGTTTAAAAAACGTTAAAACCGAAGGATGAATCCGAAGTGGCTCGGACGAGAAATTGTTGTGACTGGCCTTTCTCCCCTCGTCAGACGTTTAGCCTCTACATATACATACAATAAACATATATAGCTAGAATTAATTAAATGTATAAAGAGCAAACATTATGCGAAGTTATGGAAACAAACGTAATTCTGTCATCTTAAACAAAGTAAATATACATCGATTAATGTTTTGAAAAGTTGCTTAATTTAAGTATATAAAAATAAAAAATAAATACGGTAACCCAGTGCATGGCAAATCCAATTTTAAATAATGTTATTAAACTGTTTCTTATATAAAATAATATATGATATGGTCTCTGCTATAAAAGGAATTGAGTCAAATTTTGATGGTCTTAACCTTTGATATTTCAAATTTAAATTTTTTGATCTGACAGAGTTCATAGTTTGAAATATATAAGGTATACGACATTTGATTGCAAGAATATGAGGCTTATAAAACTCAGAGTTTGTGGCAAGGATTCAATTCCTTTGCGAGAAATTCAGATCGAATCTTTGAAAAAAGTCCTATTTCAACTTATTTAATATTTTCAGTCAAAGAGTCGATTTATTTTTTATTAATTATTGTGGTTTGCACAACATTTGTTGTTCTCCTAGGCAGTATCCTTGAACAAGAATATGAAAGACTGAATTCCGTCCAACCGTATATCTGAATAAATACAATCGTCGATGTTCTTGGATCTTTCAGACTTCCTGAACCCGACCTTGATTATCTTCACTCTTACCTTGGCAGTAAGAGAAGATTTATTAAGTCATGGATTCATTTAAAATGTATTTAACTATCCCTTGACGCTAAAGAATTGCGGTTTTTCAACAAGCTCTGATTTTACAGTCTACACTGTAACCTCACGAGTCATGGTTCAAAACATTTGATATTTCAAACTTAGATAATTTGATCTAACAAAATCCATTGTCTGAAATATCTTAGGTCTATAAAGGAATTGAGTTTTTGCCACAAACTCTGATTTTCTAATCTCTATATCTTTGTAACCCAATGTCGTAGACCTTAGATATTTCAAACTATTAAAACTTATAGATAAAATAATCTAAGTCTGAAATATCAAAAGTTTGCACCATCAGATTGCAAAGAAATTGGGATGAGAAGATTTGAGTTTGTGGCAAAAACTCAATTCCTTTAGTTTACAAAGACATAGGGAGTAGAAAATCAGAGCTTGTGGCAAAGACTTAATTCCTTTAATGCGAGATTACTTGTACGACTTAATGTTCAATCAATCCTTTTTAGTCATTCCTTTAACTTCAAACATTAAAGTATAAAGACTGTTTTATTTTTGTTTCTTTTAGTTTTGGTTTTCCTTTTGTTTTCGTTTTATTTATCGTTATAAATTCAATATTAAAATATTTAATTTTTATATCTGTATTTTTAAAAATGGGCCGTTCAGGAAAGATGAACGAACGAAATGAAAAAAAAAGCCGAATGCACCTATCTCAACTTGCAGCACATTGATCCTTTTAGCTCATTAAATATTGAATTTGCCATATACAGCTACTACTGGAGTTAAAAATTGATTTTTAAAATTTATTTAGTTAGTTCATCAATTACTTACTGCCTGCACTTTACATTATAGATTCATAATAAAATTTTCACTTTTTGTTTATCGATAGTTCTAAGTAAGAAAAATATAATGAAGATGCAAGTTTAAAAACGAAATTTAAACGCTCAAGCATTTATATGTGATTTTATGGGTATTTTAGTTAGTTCTTTGGAGATTTCCCATTACATTAAACTAAACCAGTTTTTTAATCCATTCTTAGAAAGTCCTTTATATAGGCTATTATCAAATTTTTCACAATTTCTTTTTTTAGCAAATTTTTGTGATTGAAATAAACCAGCATGTAATCCATCTTTAGAAAGGCCTCTGTGGTCAAACTTTTTACAATATTTTTTTAAGGAACTGTGATGTTTACGTACATTTCTAAGTCTACAGTTACTTTATGAAATAAAAATACATAAACATAAAAACGCTAAAAATCTACCTGAAATAGAAATATTGGCCCCTGGAACCGGTCTTGCCGCCAGCTTTTTTAATTCTAAATAAAAGAAGATACATTTTTTATCGAAGTCTATTTTTGTCTGATTGAAATGTTTTCAGAAATAAAATTTTAAACTTAAAACAGTTTACACAAAGTTTAAGAAGACAAACATTTCAAGAATCAAGAGAAATTGTATTCAAAATATTTTTTTCCAAAAAAATCCAGTCAAGAAAGAAATAATCCAGAACCTTGCATACAGAGTGTCATTAGCAGGCTTAAATATGTAAGTTCAAAAAACGATTTTTTTCCCAAGCTTTTTTGAGGAAAATCGGTCATGGAGAATTTGAATTCTGAATTATGATCTGATATACAAACAAGCAAACAGAGATTACTAATTTGTAAAAAATACTGGGAACCCATCCCTGCCCAGATTACTCAGGCCATTTTCCCGGTCTTGGCCGCAATTACTATTTTAACGATTTTTCCCCAGAAAAATTGACCCACTCTACTATGAGAGTTATGATCGGACATCCAAATAAACAAATAAACAGAGATTACTACTTTTAAATTAAATATAAAACATTACCTATATATAATCCTACATCCATCCATATAAGATAAATACCCAGGGCTACCATCCCCAGGGTTAGAATACTGATAGGGGTTCCCATTCCTCTAAAAATATTTATTATTTAAAAAATAAAAATGCTTGCACTTTGTAGACGCAGTTCTTAATCAATTTAACAAATTTCTATGGTCGATTTAGAAATTGATTTTTTGCTACAAACTAAAATTTTCTAATCCCTATATCTTTGCAACCTGATGGTGTAAACCTTTGATATTTCAAATTTGGACTGTTTGACCTAATATACTTTACAGTTTGAAATATCAAAGCTCTTCGACATCGGGTTGTAAAGATATAGAGGCAATCAGAGTTAGTGGTAAAAACTCAATTCCTTTAAGTCAACGAGGTAAGTTTTTAAAAACAAATCAATATTCAATATAAGTCCATGTTTCTTAGCAGATATCAGCAAATCGCATGTCCATAAAATTAACTGCGTTTAAAAATTATATTTGTTACAAATACCTACACATTTATTTTTCATTTTAGTTCGAAAAGTACAAAGAAAATATTTTCATTTTTTACTAAGCTTATTTAATATTTACACTGTATGCACAAAAACAGACACGACATTATTTGTACGATTTTGTGACCTCGAAGCTCTATATTTTTTGATTTTACACATAGTCTTGTTTAACGTTTTGGATAGTTTTTGTGAAACTTCCCAGATTTAAAACTTTATTATGTTAAATTTTGATTTTATAAAATTTTGCAATTCATTTATCCTAAGAAGAACAAAATTGGGAAGATTATTTTAAAAATAATCGTTACCCCACGTTTGTTTTTATATGTTTTTGGGTCGTTTTTTTGCAATTATCTTTTGCTAGGTTCAAAATTTGTCATCCTTTCAAAAAAAATGTTTAACATAAATAATTAGAAAACATTGGCTACCCTTGTATTTTGACCCTGCAAGAAAATATAGGCAAAAACGACAGAAAAAAAACTAACTGAAAGCACTTCATTAAAACATGTTTTACACAAACGTTGTTACATTTTACAAATTAAAAACATATTTGTTCCTCGCAGTCGCTCTGTAATAATAATCCTATCAGATTTTAATCTGACGTTTAGTTTATGCTAGCTTGACGTGCTGCAGACAGATTGGTTGGAATTTATGTTAGCTTAACGTGCTGTAGACAGATTGGTTGAAATTTATGTTAGCTTGACGTGCTGTAGACAGGTTGGTTGGAGTTTATGTTAGATTGACGTGCTGTAGACAGATTAGTTGGAATTTAGCATTTTAGAAAGAAAGTTCAGATTGATTAATTTTAGTCAACAAATCTTAGAATTAATTTTGTTTGGCAATTTTGAAATTCGAAGTGAGAGCTGGTTAATTTCCCAAGAGAAAGGAAAAACTTAGTTTAAAGTTTTACCTCAGAAAATCCTAAATAAATATGTATATAAAAACAAAAGATTTATAATATAAATCTATTTGACATTGGGTGGCAAAGATAAAGGGATTAGAAAATTAAAGTCCCTTTAAAGTAAACTAAATGGGTAGTATTCACGGTCCCTTTAAAGTAAACTATATGGGTAGTATACACGGTCCCTTTAAAGTAAAGTAAATGGGTTGTATTCACGGTCCCTTTACAGTAAACTAAATGGGTAGTATGCATGGTCCCTTTAAAATTAACTAAATGGGTAGTATTCACGGTCCCTTTACAGTAAACTTAATGGGTATAGTATACACGGTCCCTTTAAAGTAAACTATATGTGTAGTATGCACGGTCCCTTTAAAGTAAACTAAATGGGTAGTATGCATGGTCCCTTTAAAATTAACTTAATGGGTAGTATTCACGGTCCCTTTACAGTAAACTAAATGGGTAGAATGCACGGTCCCTTTGCAGTAAACTAAATGGGTAGTATGCACGGTTTCTTTAAAGTAAACTAAATGGGTAGTATGCACGGTCCCTTTAAAGTAAACTATATGTGTAGTATGCACGGTCCCTTTAAAGTAAAGTAAATGGGTAGTATGCACGGTCCCTTTTAAGTAAACTAATTGGATAGTATTAAACTAAAAAATGTACAGCTAGAAGGAGAAGGTCATTGTATGCATTACTGGTATAACTTTGTGACCTTGTATGCTTCTTTAGTTTTGATGTCACCGGACATGGACTAGTATGCGAAAGAAAATTATTCGGTACCATATTAGAAATTCAAAATCTTTTTCTGAATAGCACTTCAAAAAGTTGTGTTATGATAAAAAACATATACAATTTTAATCTTGCTTGCAATTTACTTAAGCTTGACGTGAAATATCTGGAATTAAGACGATGATATTCAGATATGATTTCAAATGTAACTTTGTAAAGAGCTAATCTGTCGTGCGTCTTGAATTTCATTATCTTCAGAGTAAATTAAAAAGAGGGTTTATCGAGTCTTGAGCACATCATCAATTCAGAAGCTTCATTATTTTGATTTTTAAGAACGGATAAAAACATTACATGGAGATGCACAAAAATAATATTTCAAATATGTGAAATTTGTAATGAGTAATGTGTAATGTGTAATGTACAATGTACAATGTGTAATGTGCAATGTGCAATGTGTAATGTGTAATGTGTAATGTGTAATGTGTAATGTGTAATGTGTAATGTGCAATGTGTAATGTGTAATGTGTAATGTGTAATGTGTAATGTGCAATTTGTAATGTGTAATGTGCAATGTGTAATGTGTAATGTGTAATGTGTAATGTGCAATGTGTATATATTAACTGCATGATTATAAAGACTATATTGTATAACTAACTAAATCGGTGAATACCCCGTATGTAGTCCTGGTAACAGTGGTATAAAGTATATACACACACAAAATTTGTAAACCACTTTAAAATAGTCAAAGAAACAAAAAACTGTTTAAAATAAGTTATTAAAACCATCACCCTTTGCACACTTCACTCACTCAAAATAAACACAAGGTACTAAACACAAATGCATGATAGAACGTTAAAAAATCTCAAAAATGGATTTGCCCGTTAGAGCTGAACATAAAGTGCCACATTCTGTAGGAGTAAAAACATTTGTATTAAAATATTAACAAATAAGACAACACCACATTAAAAAATACAAAAAGTTACAATGTAATTACCACATAGTACAGGTAAATAAGAAGAAGCATATACCATATTAATCATTAATTACATATATGTGTACTTTGTCAACTAACACACTTCACGGCATTAACTAAAGGTTACTACGCACACACCATTAACTATTAATACATAGGACTTTTTAAATCTGTTTATTGGTTGGGTTACTTTACTCAATACAAGGCTTATTAAACGGACTGTAGACGCAATTACAAGTGAGCCTCTTTTAACCCTAAACAGGCTGGGGGGGAGGGGGCGTTTGGCGCCCCCATGTAGTTTTGTTTGTCCTAGCACTTTAATTTTTGACACTTTCACCGTGAAATTTTGTGACTTTTAAGGAATAGTAATTTAAGGGATTTTTTGTCTAAAATTGTTTTTTTAAATTTATAGGGTAGGGTACAGGGCGGAAAAAAAGTCCAATCTGTGAAAAAAATATCTAAAATAGATATATAAAACAGATCTAAAAACTATAGTTTTGAAAAGCTCTTGAAAAATGCATATAGAACCATATGTCATGCTTTGATATTTGTTTTAAATCAAAAAATATTTTTTTTTCATTTTTTGACATTTTTATAGGCATTTTTTCCACCCTCCCTAGCACACAAACTGTTAAAGTTATCGGTCTATTTTTTTTTCTTTGAGCTGCCCATGAACAATTGGGCTATGAACATGCATTTCAATTCTATTCCCCCCCCCCCTAGGCTATACAAAGATCAGACCTTCCAGTCTTTACAGGGTTTACATATTGTCCTCTTATTGACATCGGTTATACCTGAGTAAAATTTAAGAGTTGTCTTTTTATTAAATTTGAAATTGATTGTGTTCAATTGCAGTTCTATTTCAAGTGTATTGCTAATCAATGCAACAAGAGCAAAATGGAAAATTGTTAGAATTAGATAAATTTAAGAAGACCAACTTTTTATTCCATGAAACTGAAAGCATTATTCCTCTGAGACAAGAGTATGAATTCTAACTGATGGATAATTTAGGAAAATTTTACTTTTATGATCGGACTCAGCTCACTGAACTATTACAATGTAAACTCAACTGGTAAGTTTTAGAAAGAACCTCTGCAGTTAGACAAATAATTATTCTTCATTTCAAAATTAAACTAGAAAATTTAATGCATTTCAAATCCAACGAGTTTTATTTAAGAATATTTTTTTCTGTTTAATTTAAGAAAGTTTATCCCTGCTAAATACACAATGTTATCTGTATCGTACATTAATCATGCCACAGATATCTAACATATACTATATAGCCAGGCATGCAACATACTCATGATTAAAACATAAAAAATATCATTATGTCTCAAAAAATATTTATTATAAGACTGTAAAAAAGGAATTAATGTATACTCAACATTATTAATTAATAAAGTAAATGCATTATACTAGCTTGATAATTCACAATTATATCGAGGAAAATTCCTTTGCAAAGATTGCACTTTGAGAAAAAAAACTAAATCTTAATTCATCACTAAAGCGTCTACCCGATGCGGGCTATGTATATTTTACATACAGGGTGAACCTCAAAAGATGAGACTTTAAAGACGCCGTGAAACTCTTAAAAATAACAAGTTTAAATTAAGTCTTCTGCCTTGGATATAGAGTTTAAATAGCTTATTTAATATATGTTCAAAAGGAAACGGACAGTACTACGTCTGTAAAGTCTTTTCTGAAGTGTCTCGTCTTTTGTGGTAAACTTCTTCTGAACGTAAAAATACATTCAACGGCGGATTAAATAAACAGTAAATATTAATTGACCCTTTATGCAAATATGACAAATTTCGGTTGACATCGGTTTCCTTTAACCTTAATCTGATCAAAAATGTGGAAGATTTTTACTTTAACTGTGATTTTTTACTCCAAACAAGAAATCCGCAAGTCACTTTTACACAGAAACCGCAATTGAAAAAAAACAGTTTATAGAAAACAAAACATTGATGTCTAATTCATCCTTTAAACATACTTTTTAGTGTACCGTTGTGAATCGGGCATTGCCATTTTTACACGGAGGTCTACTTGAAAATACGCTTACAGCCTCTTTAAGTGAAAAAAACTTTAACATGAAAAACAAAGAGATTAACAAATTTGAAAGCACAAAAAGGCATTTCACATTTTTAAAATGAATTAGCATTTTTGTTTATTATTTCAAGAATAAATGAATTATAAGTTCCGTAAGAAGTTTTTTTAAATTATCAAGCAAAATATTCAGAGGGACACACTGTGTTACAAAACATATTTATTTACAATAGACGAGGAAAAATTTGCCATTATCTTTAACAGTTTGATTTTTAGGTTTCTATGCAGATGGCTAAAGAAGAACTACGCATGATGATTCGTGAATACCATGAGTCCATTAACAAAAACAGAAAGTAAATTAAAGTATTTTTTGTGAACTTCTTTTCGAAACAGGAAAGTCGTAAATTACGCTTTTTTTTAAATAATGAAGACACGGATCTATAATGTGCTTATTTTTCAAAGCCCTGAAGTTGTCAAAAATTAAATATTTTAGACATTTGTACTTTTTGCAATTTTTTAAAGCTCCCTATGACGGTTGCCACTTTTTTTAGTCTGGGGTTACTGACTATGGAAAGCTCTAAATTGTATCTCGGCTGAATGATTTAAGGATTTAAGGATGCAAAGATGCAACGATAAAAAACTTTAATTATATTCACGTAAATAAAAAAGAAATTTTCATTAAATTTTAATAATAATGTTTCTCAATGCTTTATAATTTGTATATTACACTATACAGGGTGTCCCAATAAACATTGGAATTAAGTGACGACTTTAAATCGTCTTCGATCAATGCGAAATTTTTCATAAAACAAAAATTATTGCAGTATTCCAGTTTAAACATCTAATTTCGAAAATGCCGGGTCTTGAGATTTTCAAAATGTGGTCTACCATTTTTGCATCTTCAAAATTGACGAAGATACTAAAAGATTTGTACAAATTTTCAATTTATTTAATAAATATCTAATATCTTCATAAATTTTCAAAAAACAAGATAGGTATAAAGACCACTTTATGAAAAGCTCGTAAGACATACACCCTCGTTTTTACACTTTCTTTGTCATGCATTTAATATCAGAAATCAAAGACGACTTTCATCGTCTCTCACTTAAGCAATGTTTATTGGGACACCCTGTAAAATAAAATAGAGAGGATAGAAGATGAAAAGGGGGGGGGAGAAATGTTGCTCTTGCCCTCTAATTTTAACACTATCACATTAAAAACGTCTAGACTGTTATAACAGAGTATTTACCTTGTACTACATGATACACAGTGTTCCAAAATACTCATTATTTCGGTAAACTAGCTGTTGTCCATGACATCCTCTATTTTGTGGTACTCTGTATTTCGTGATATTATTTATTTCATGATATTCTGTATTTTATGATATCTTGTATTTTGTGATACTCTGTTACTTTGTGATATCCTGTATTTCGTAATATTCTATTTTCCGGCATACCATACCTTGTATTCGTGCGCTTTTATTCCACGATACCCTGTACCCCCCTGTACTTCATCATATTCCCTGTACCCCCCTGTACTTCATCATATTCCCTGTACCCCCCTGTACTTCATCATATTCCCTGTATTCAATAATGCTCCCATATTCCAAAAACCCCTGTATTCCTGATAACCCTTGTTTTCCGTGATATCCCATGTATTCTATGATACCCCTGTAATCATACCCTTGTATTCCATGATACCCCCTGTATTCCATAATACCTCCTGTATTCCTATATACCCCCCTGTATTACATGATACCCCCGTATTCCCTGATACCCCCTGAATTCCATGTTAACTCCTGTATTCCATGATACCCTCGGTTTTCCGTGATAACCCTGTATCCAATGATACCCACTGTATTTGATGACACATCCTTTATTCCATGATACTCCCTTAAGCATTCCATGATACCACCTGTATTCCATGATACTCCCTTGTATTCCATGATACCACTTGTATTCCATGATACTCCCTTGTATTCCATGATACCACCTGCATTCCATAATACCCCATGTATTTCATGATACCCCTGCATTCCATGATAACCCCTGTATTCCATAATACCCTCTGTATTCCAGGATACCCCCTGTGTTTCATGATACCCTCTGTATTCCATGATACCCTCTGTATTCCATGATACCCTCTGTTTTCCATGATATTCCCAGTGTTCCGTGATACCCCCTGTATTCCAGAATACCCTCACTATTCCATGATACCCCCTGTGTTCCGTGATTGTGTTTATGATTACACATGTACATGTAAGACATATCCACCATATGACAAGATACAAATTTTGATAAATATTACGCAACAATGTAGAAACTGATATTGAATTGATACGTTTTACACGAAATTGTGTGCTTTAACCAGAACTGCAAAAAAGTAGAGTGTGTGAACTTCGTTTTTACTAATTTTTGTAACTCAGGGTATTATATTTATTACAAATTTTGAGAATGAAAAGTAATTGTAAATATAAGGAATTTATTAATCGTAATATTATTTTTAAGTTTTGAATTAAAATTGTAGAACATGAATGGTCGATATGAAGAAGATTGATATATCATAATTGGACGGAGTTGTTTACAAGCATTCAACTATGTTACATCACACCTAGCGGTTTAAACAGATATTTTTATTTAAGCATTTAAAGGTTTTCAATTTGAAAGTAGTATTTCAATCAAAGCAAATATAAATGCATCTTTTCGCATGAAAATCTTAATTAAGTCTAAATCTGAGATCTACAAATCTGCAAAAAAGTCAATGAGTTATTGTCAAGCATACAAGTTTAATTAAATTAATTATTTACCATCGGCCCAGGGGGGCAAGGGGCAGGGGCGGGGGGTACTTTTCAGATTACAGAATTATAATATTATCATGGGATTTATAAGACTAAAAAATAATTAAGCCAGGAAGGTCACGTAGAATTTAACTACAGTCCCTTTAAGTTGTTAAAGGAATTGAGTCTTTGCCAAAGACTCTGATTTTCTAATCCTTATATCTAAGCAACCCAGTGTTGTCGACCTTAGATATTTCAAACTTTTAATTATGTTCAATAAAAAAATCTAAGTTTGAAATATCAATGGTTTACACCATCAGGTTGCGAAGATAAAGGGATAAGAAAATTTTAGTTTGTAACAAAGACTCAATTCCTTTGTCCATTTATAGTTATTATGATTATAAATCAAGCACATATATGGGTTTATGGGTTTATGGATTTGTAGTTAAAATAGCTTCCGTTGACTTTCTTTAAATGTCGTCTTTATATTATAATAACAAAATAGTTTAAACCTTTTTCTTATTTGTTTGTTAAAATGTTGAGAGAAATAATTGTTAAAGGGAATGTAAGCGTAACTTCAAGTGACTCTTTATGCAAAGATGGCAATGTTCGATTTACAACGGTACCCTAAAAACCTAAATCTGATAAGAAATGTAAAATAGTAGTGTAGTGAATTTCGCAAGAAATGCCCAAGTCACTTTCGGAGAGAAACCTCAAATGAAAATAAAAAGTTTAAAAGAAACAAAAACATGGATATCTGATGCATTCGTGATCAGAAAACGTTTTTAAGGATACCGTTGTAAATTGGACCTTGACATCTGTGCATGGGGAGGGCCACCTGAAATTATGCTTACATTCTCTTTCAGACATGATTTGGCATTATATCGTATTAAAAAAAATTATTTTAGAATTTGCTGAGAGAATGCTGTAAAATGAAATCAAATTTAGGTAAGAATAGTCAAGAAATTGCAATAATCAGCAATTTGTTAAATCTTTGAAAATTGAAATTTGAATATAAAAAAATAGGTATCTTCTCTTTTTCATTCAAACTAGAAATTCACGGCGCTTCGCGCCCTTCTTCCTGGGCTTTTAGGGCGCTTCGCGCCCATCTTTTATTTAAATTGTGAACATGTTCTTTTTGTTTACATTTTAAAACAAAGAAGAAAAAAATTTTTGCGGATTTTTAAAAAAAAAATCGCGGATTTTTAAGAAATTAATTTTTTTTACAAAATATCATTCATAAACCTTCCCTGTGGTCACGTGATGTCCCCAAAAAAATTTGGGCCCGATCGGTTCAGCCGTTTTGACGTTTATTGGATACAAACAAACAGACAGACANTTCCGCAGCTCACCCCCTCTTAGATATATACTTCCGCAGCTTCCCCCCTCTTAGATATATACTTCCGCAGCTTCTACCCACTTTAAACCACGATATCGAAATATCCTATGAAGAATATTAAAATGTTATATTTTCTATTTTTAGTTTCAAGGCTGCTGTGCTCCTTTATCCTTTATAATTGTCAGGAAACAGTTTTTATTTTATTTATTAAGTTTCTCATTTTCTTATTTTCTTATTTTACAACTGCTATTGCATTTTAAATATATGTTTTTATTCTAAATAATACAGATGTAGCAAATCGGAAGGGTTGTCCTTGACTATTTTTCCAATGTTCATTGGTTATCACTGTATAAATCAAAAGAGAGATTTGATTTATAATTTTAAATATTATGCTGAAAAAATAACTGTGAAGACAGAGAAGCGGACAGAGTTTAATCACAGGAAAATATTCTTTAATGATTTTGTTGTTGCGCGGCAAGGTATCCAAGAGCAAAAAAGGGGGACGATATTTTATCAACGTTTTTGTTAATTTAAAAAATAATTTTATAAGATTTGAATACATTATATTTGATTCAACATTAAATCGATTGATTAAATCGTGAATTCAAATTAAAAAATATTGTTTTTAGTCAACCAAAACCACTGCCCCGAAATGGAAGGTAAAACTGTATTTTTTCTCAAGTTTTATTTTTACAATTCTTTTGGTAATGTTTTATTACTTATTATTGGCTTCAAGCTAGAGATGGGCATCTTTTTTGTGAACAAACGACTTTTTATGAATGATGCATGTGTCGTTTTCAAAAAACGAACGATGGACGAACGAATTGGATCGTTCAGAAATGGGAAAATTTATCTTTTTTTTTTAAAATGAAAGAAAAAAACGAACATTATTAATCGTTCGAACGACTTAAAAAATATTTTCGTTTTTTAACTGAACACAGGATTTAAAAAAAAGATTTTAATAAAATCGATAGTTTTTTTGGGAACAAACTTTTAAAAACTTTAGTTTTTTTACTGAAGATTTTTATACAAACTTAAAAAAATGTGTTTTTTTTTTACTGAACTAACGACTTTATTTAACAAACGATTTTACAGAACGAATAATTATACTGAACGATCGTTCACAGAGAAATGAACAAAAGAGATGGAAAATTATCAATGTTTTTGAGTACGAACGAAATCAAGTTTTTTGAAAGATTAAAAAAAATGAACGCAATGAAGAAAACTAACGAACCCATCTCTACAGTCTAAGAATGTAATTACTGTAATAATTGCGTTGCATCTCATTACATCCAATGCATTGACACAATCAAAGTGCAAAACAATTGCACATACGCTAAACTAAAGTATTATATTTTTGCCAGAGTTTACTACTTTAAAATACTTGAATATTTTTACAGATTGTATGAAAATCAAGAAAACAGAGAAGAGATTAGAAGATCAGAGAAACCTCAGCAAGATATAGCTTTGACAGGTATATTTGTAGAGGGGAATATACATAAAGCACAATGGTATCATTAAAAGCTTTGTTTGAGTATTAACTAAATATATATTTAAATCAGTTTGAACAAGTATTATATTCAATTGTGGTTTTTTTTAAAAAGTGACTTGCGCTTTTCTCCTGCAGGACATAAACATGGAGATATTACAATAATTAGTCACTTTTCTAGCTAGAAAAACGACGTTATCTTCTACATTATTTATCAAACTACAGGTTCAACTGTATCGTCGTAAATCTTGAATGTTTAATTGCAAAGTCAATTAAAATTACGAGAACAGTCCCTTTAAAAAAAGTACACAATTTGAAATCCTTCACTTAACTTTGGACACCTTGTACTAACAACTTCAATTTGTAAAGGTTTTGATGACACAATACAACAACAAGAGTTACAACCAACGGGTCTACAACAATATCATCCTAACTTTTTCATACCCCAACAACCTCAACAACAGTTTCAATATCAACTAATTGAGCCTCAACAACAGTTTCAACCTCAACAACAGTTTTTTCTGCCACAACAGTTTTCAAGTCCAAGTCAACAATTCCAAAATTCGTTTGAAAACCCTGAAAATCGTCCGGCTCTAGATGGTCCTGGATATGCTCTTACTCTACTTTTTGTAGGTAGGTTTTATAGTAAAGGGTGTCCCACAAAACATGACAGTATCAAGACAACCTAAAGGTCGTCTTTGACCTTTGAAATACTTTGCGGCATTTAGTAATCCTAATTTTAAAAGTAAAATTGTCCCTAATTAATATTAAATTTGTGTTAATGTGACCCACAGTTTAAAATGCATGACACACTAAATTCTGTCTCTTTTCTCCGCAAAAGTGACAGTCCTACTTTCTTCTTATATTTGCTATTCATTTAATTACAGTTTCCTCACAAAAGTCATAACTCATTTATGCAGCAGAGACATGTAAAGAAGTTGAAGAATTTGTTTAGTCGGATAAAGTATAAAGGGCACTATTCTAAATGATGCATGTAACTCATTAAATTGACGGTCACATTAATAAAAATTTGAAAAGAAATAATTGTTAGACCTGTCTCTACGGGCCCGGAACCTGTCTCTACGGAGCCGGAACCTGTCTCTACAGGCCCGGAACCGCCCGGAACCAACGGGTTTTCTAACAAAAGTTCAACCAATTCATATATTTAAAGCTAGGCGAATACCGTTTGTATATCAATAGATTTATATTAAGGTGAAATCATTATTATCGGAATGGTAATCTTTGCTGGAATCGGCGGACGGTCTAATTCGGCAAGAGTAAGTTTATTCACGTAATTCACAGATTGCGCATACGCTCTACCTGGATAGGCATAACAGGCATCTGCAGTGTCCCGTAATGCTACAGTTCCATGAAAGCTATAGATATTAGATTTAGATATACAAAAATATAGTTCGCTAAAGCAGACTGTAAAGCTGAAAATTGTACAACCCCTTAAGTACATCATGAACTTGTCATTCAAAAAGGTCATTAAATACATTTTACTTCGGAGGGGGGGGGGATGGTCAATCTGTATAGTATTTTTTTACTAATTTATTTATTCAGGGGTGAAATTTTACACTTTTTAAAGAAATAATCTAACTTTAAACAAACCATATAGATGTTTATTTAGTCTATTTTTGTATTTCGTAAGAGTATGGTATTTACGATTCACCGACAAAAGGTCAAACGACAAAGGGTCAAACGACAAAGGGTCAAACGACAAAGGTTCAAAAGTGCGACAAAGGGTCAAACAACAAAAGGTCAAAATGATAAAAATGTTTTTTGATTTGAATCAATTTTGTACATGGATCTTATATTTTAGACATGGATATAATTGGCCATGTGGCCGCAGCGCTCGGCTCCCTAGCCTGTCCTAGCTGCAGCACTCGGCCCAGAAAGTGTCTTAGCTAACCTAACCCGTGGCCGCAGCGCTCGGCCCCCTAGCCTGTCCTAGCTGCAGCGCTCGGCCTAGAAAGTGTCTTAACCTAACCTAACATTAAATAATAATAAATAAATACTAACTTTAAAAGATGTCAAAATTAGAAAAAAAATTTGCCCCTTTGTCGCATTTTTTGACCCTATGTCGTTTTACCCTTTGTCGTTTCACCCTTTGTCGCGCTTTTGAAACTTTGTCGTTTGACTCAGTGTCGTTTGACCCTTTGTCGGTGAACCGTATTTACTACATATAGCCCTTCTAATTCTATACAGGTTTGTTAAACTCTCATGCAAAGATTTAATATTGAAAAATCTTGATCGTCGAATGTTGTTCATTGAAGATTCATTTCTTTTTCAACGATTTTTTTCTTGTTATCTTTGTTTACCCTGAGGTTGAAATTTGTGTGTGAATACTGTTAATTGAAAACACTTGATCTCGATATTAAATATAAATTTTGTCCAGGTTGAAATAATTTAAGTTTTGAATTCTGTCCAGGTTGAAATGATTAAGGTTCTGAATTCTGTCCAGGTTGAAATGATTGAAGTTCTGAATTCTGTCCAGGTTGAAATGATTACAGTTCTGAATGCTGTCCAGGTTGAAATGATTAAAGTTCTGAATTCTGTCCAGGTTGAAATGATTAAAGTTCTGAATTCTGTCCAGGTTGAAATGATTAAAGTTTTGAATTCTGTCCAGGTTGAAATGATTAAAGTTCCGAATTCTGTCCAGGTTGAATGAATTCTGTCCAGGTTGAAATGAGTAAAGTTTTGAATTCTGTCCAGGTTGAAATGATTAAAGTTCTGAATTCTGTCCAGGTTGAAACGATTGAAGTTTTGAATTCTGTCCAGGTTGAAATGATTAAAGTTCTGAATTCAGTCCAAGTTATAATAATTAAATTTCTGAATTCTGTCCAGGTTGAAATGATAAAAGTTCTGAATTACGTCCAAGTTGTAAAAATTAAATTTCTGAATTCTGTCCAGGTTGAAATAATTAAATTTCTGAATTCTGTCCAGGTTGAAATGATTAAATTTCTGAATTCTGTCCAGGTTGAAATGATTAAAGTTCTGAATTCCGTCCAAGTTATATAATTAAATTTCTGAATTCTGTCCAGGTTAAACTGATTGAAATTCTACGACACATGGTCGGAAGTAATTCTGCTGAAGAAATAGATTCAAAGTTATGGAAGGTAAATAGATACATATTTATAATTTAATCTTTTCTTTTTAATATTAACCCATGTACAGGTGGGGGTGGGGACTGGGAGTGTTTCAGAGAACGGTCGCGGTGTCTGAAAAAAAAATCAAAAACAGATCGGACATTTTTTTTATTTGAAAAGCTCTTAAAAATATGCTAATATTTTTCAATATAAAAAACTGAATTTTTTTTTTTCATTTTTTTCATAATACAAAATATTGTTTTTAACAATCTCAATTCTAAAGGCAAATCAAAAGGGGGGGGGGCGGATCCCCTCCCCGCAACTTGAGATGGGGTTAATTTCTTTACGACATTTTGACAACTGCAGTGATTATATTTTGTAAGGTTGAGAACATCGGAGTTATAAACCCTTACCAGAGCATCCGTTTAAACATTTTTTATAAAAATGCTTTTTAAATTTATTCAAGTTAAAAGTTTGTAAACATAACTTTTTTTCAAAGAAATAAATTTCCAAGTAATGGTTGTCAAACTTCAACTTTAAGTATAAATACAGTTATGTAAAAGAAGAAGGAGGAAAACTTATATTTGTACTATTTTAGTTTTACTACTTCAAGGGGCCCTCAATGAATTAGCTAGGTTTCTTTTATATTATTTCAATTGTATAATTTCATTTGAGAGTTCTCTGCGAAAGTGACTTTCATATTTATTGCGTAAAAGACGCAATATAGAAATTATCTGAATTATACGACGATAGCTTCGACATTTTTGATCAGATTAAGGTTTCAAGGGTATCATTGTAGCTCGGTTAGTACCCTTTGCAAGGAGAGTTACTTGAAATTACACTTACAATCTTTTTAGAATGCCATTTTATCCAACAGACACCAACAAAAGTGATGTTATATATGATTATCCTGCATACGGACTTTTGCGTGAGTTTGTAAAGATTAGGGTTTGCAGCGAAAAAGAAAAATCGTTTCGCGTTAATTTCTTATTTTTCACGAAAAAGTTTTTCTCGCAAAATTTCGCTTCAATTTGTGACTCGAAAAAATGCAAAATTTTCGCAAAATAGAAATGCGAAAATTTCACGAAAATATTGCGTATATTTTACAAAAAAAATATTTAAATATTTTCTTAATAATATTTATGTTTTATTTCTAGATCTCATCCGCTATCTCTGCATTTGATATCTCTCTACCTCTGCCCAGCATTACAAATTATGTTGAATATTCTTAAGCATCTTTTTAACACTTGTATAAATATATTATTATAACAGAACTGTTCACTCCCAACTACCTCTTGTTATCTAATCTCTAATCTGATGTGCTAGATGTTTGAACGTACAACATTTAGAAGAAGGAGCTACATTTTTCTTGAAAAAATGTGTCGACTGTTGTTCAGAAAAAAAAACAGAATGACGGTTGAATGAAATGGATTATTCAGAGGAATGAATAATGCTAGTTTTTAAAAAGGAACGATAAAAACAAAAACGAAGGATTAAAAATTGTTCAAACGGACTTGAATAAACTATAGATTTTTTCCTGAACGAACTTATTTTTAAAAAAATGTTTCACTACATGAACGATATTTTATTAAACTTTTGAAACAACGATTGTTTTTTAACTGTTTGAAATAAACCGAACAAAATGGGTCGTACACAAATGATAAACAAACGAAATAAATAAAAAACGAACGCACCCATCATTTATTACAACATCCGATTTAATAGATTGGAAATTTAATGCTTGTGAGGAGTAATCAGTTCTTTTCCAAAAAGACTAAAAGTAGCCAATCCAAATTTTTAATTTTTTATTTTGTAATTAGAGGTTTTCATAGTATGCATGTTTGTACTTGAATTCGTCAAATTTTATTTTTTTTTATTTTAACTTTTCCCAATTTTTGAGATTTAATAACCTTGAGTATTGAAAATAAATGTTTTCTGATTTAAAAAAATTGATTGAGTTTAGTTTTTAGCTTTTCATAATAAAACACCTCTCTCATTAGAACAAATCATATAAATGTGATATTCATAGTGTTTATTTATAGTGTAAACTTATTCGATTTGATTTTTATTTTATTATTATAGCATTGAAATTTTATTCTTGTCAACCCAAATTTTATCTCATGTCAACCCAAATAAATTTTAAAAAACGTTGGTAACTTTTTTTCCTTAAATTTTTTTTTTGCATATTTTGCTACTAACAAATTATAATAGTGGATTATTTTTTTAAATTAAAAACTAGAACAAAAAAGTATGCAAAAAGATTAGATTTTTTTATTATGAAACCTGTTTAATCTGAATCCTGAGGATAGGTGTTATTTGTAAAACCCAATTAAGGTTTTATATTTCAACTTTTGTATCTGTACAAAGAGAGACGTATACGAGCTTCAATCTACATTTTGTATCTGTTCAGAGGGAAGTAGTGTACCAGCTTCAATCTACATTTTTAAACAACCAAAGATATATAGTTTCCATACATAGTGAAGCAATTAACATTTTTATAATTGTAGTCATGGACTAGTGTCGCAACTGTGTCCTGTAAACCATGTATCTAAGTATTGATTATGATAATAACTTATTCCAAACATTTTTTAAAAGATTAAAATAATTTTATCATTCAGAAGGACAGTGTTCATAATTTTTTCTCTGGATTCAGAATTTTTTGTAAATGTAGTATGCATATAGTCTACAATATAGTTTCTACTTTACATGCTTCGTTAATGTAACGTAGGAAAACAAAACAAAAACGGAAATTTCTTTTCTGAATGGAAAATTTAAAACATATAATAAAAATAAGTTTTGATACAGTTATAAAGATAAAAGAGTTTTAGTTTAGTTCAGGGGATATTAGTTCCAAAACTAACACTAATAAGGTGTGAGAATTAGTTTTTGATGATTCTTGATTTCATTTTCGAACATATCCCTATTTATAAACAATTACCGGTTGATTTCAGCTCGTGTTCGCGTTTACAGAACATATCCTGGTTTTGAGACAATAACCGGAATTCATATCAATATCAATTTTCAAGTATTAACGCACTTTCGTAACAAAACGAGATTTTTTGATAAGGTAAACTCAGAGTAAGAAATGGGCCAAGTGTTAGTTTCGGAACTGATGTCCCCTGTATTTAGAAAACTCTTGTTAATTTAGTTTTTATAGAGAAATAATTCTCTCATAATTTCTTTTACAGTGAGTGACAGCTCAGTGAGTGACAGCTCAGTGAGTGACAACTCAGTGAGTGACAACTCAGTGAGTGACAGCTCAGTGAGTGACAGCTCAGGGAGTGACAGCTAAGTGAGTTACAACTCAGTGATTGACAGCTCAGTGAGTGACAGCTCAGTGATTGACAGCTCAGTGAGTGACAACTCAGAGAGTGACAACTCAGTGAGTGACAGCTCAGTGAGTGACAGCTCAGTGAGTGACAACTCAGTGAGTGACAACTCAGTGAGTGACAGCTCAGTGAGTGACAGCTCAGTGAGTGACAACTCAGTGAGTGACAACTCCGTGAGTGACAACTCAGTGAGTGACAACTCAGTGAGTGACAGCTCAGTGAGTGACAACTCAGTGAGTGACAGCTCAGTGAGTGACAACTCAGTTTTGGGTCATTTTTTCTCAAACATTGAAAATCTAGAAAGAAATTGGGTATTTGCAACAATGACTTTCTAATTCCTATATCTTTGCAACACAATTGTAGTAGACCTCAGATATTTAAAACTCTAAATTTTGACAGATTAAAAACTGAAATACAGGTTGCACAGGTTTACAGATTAGAAAGCTAGAGTTAAAAAACTGAAATATCAAAGGTTTACAAGTTGCAAAGATTTGGAGATTTGAAAATTTAAGTTTGCTACAATGATTCAAAATTTGTGCTAAAATCGTAAATTTGATACTTATGGCTTAAAATATTTAGAATAAAATAAATTTTGAACTTTGGTCATTTTTGTTTGAGAAAATAATAATTTTTGATTATTTTCTGTCTTTCTTATCTTTTTATTTTCTTAATTTATGTGTTTTAAGGGATTTATCCTCATTAAAAGATGTTCAGTATAACACTAGGACTATTATATTATGTTTACAGTTTAAAGGGACTGTTAACATTATTTCAAATGACCTCCCATGCAAAGGTTACAATGCCCGATTCACAACAGTAACCTTAAAAACATTTATCTGAAATTTAAAGTAAAACATATTGTCGTTTTTCTAGAATTAAAAGTGTTTAATTGGGATAATATCTATATGTATTCATGCAGTATATGCGTCACTTTTTAAGAGAACGGACAAAGGAAAATATCCAGTTTTCAAAATTCTAAAAATATATATTTCATATCAGAAAAAGCTTTTATAAGATCGTTGTCAATCGAGCGTGTTTTTTTTTGCATAGAAAGTCACTTTAGATTACGCTTGCTGTCAATTTAAAAAATCATTAATAAATGTCAGAAATGTTGTTCATACAGAAACATGAATGTGTATGGGTACGTTTGCTTAACTGGGGTTATAGCCAGGTAATAATTAGACGATTTTTAGAATCAAACTATAAATAGTCTAATTAACATATGCATTTTGCGATGTATAGAGAACCATTTATTATGTAATTTCGAGTTCTTTTCAGATTTTAAACACCTAGTGGTAACTAAGAACTGTACTAGGTGTTTCACCCCTTTTCTTAACTTAGAGTTAAACTGGTGATAATTTATAATTGTACTGGGGTGTTTATAGGGCTGGGCAAAGTACCGTTAAAAGACGGAAGTTTTCGAAAAGTAAAGGAAGAGTCCGTTTACAAACGGCAAAAACCATAAATTTTTAAATCGTTAACGAAAATTAACGGTAAAAGACAACACCTTGTTTTAGAGTTGAACTGGAGTATTTAAGACCTTGTGATAATTTACCGTTGAACTGGGGTGTTTAAGACCTTGTGATAATTTAGAGTTGTACTGGGGTGTTTAAGACCTTGTGATAATTTAGAGTTGTACTGATGTGTTTAACACCTTGTGATAGTTTAGAGTTGAACTGGGGTGTTTAAAACCTTGTGATAATTTAGAGTTGTACTGGGGTGTTTAAGACCTTGTGATAATTTAGAGTTGTACTGGGGTGTTTAACACCTTGTGATGACGCCTGCAGAATATCTGGTAACACTATATCATATGCCAGAGTGTAAGTTTATCTATACATTTGCAAAGACAAAGAAATTAAGTCTTTGCCACAAAATCTTATTTGCTATGATATTTCAAACTATAAATTCTGTTGGAGCAAATAATAAAATTTAACTTATGGTTTACACTGTAAATAATAAAATTTAACTTATGGTTTACACTGTAAACCATAAGTTAAATTTTATTATTTTACACCGTTAGGTTGCAAAGATACAAGGGTTTCAAAAATTAGAGTTTGTGGCAAAGACTTAATATCATATTAATCTGCACTTACCTATTTCTCATGCTTTACACTTTTTCATGGTATTAGGAACATGATCAAATGTTTCGTAAAGTAAGTAAAAGTAGCAAATGTATGAGTTAAATTTTAATCGTTACTTCTAGATAATTTAAAAGTGCTTTAAAAGTTTAAAACACTAACGCTGTTCATGGGAGAAGTTTAAAATGTGCTTTTTTCATATAATTTTCTAGAATGTACACATTAGATTTAGTTCTTATTGTTAATTAACTGATATTTGGTTTAAAAACATACAATTGTCAGCTTTTTTGATAAATCCTAAAAACCTTTTATTTAATATACAACAATAAAGGAGTATCAGTAAAGTTAAATTTACAATTAATTTCATTAATCTCAATATTTTTTCCTTTTCCAGGACTAGAAAACCAGCATTTAGAGGTAATATTTTTTCCAAATTTTATAATTTTCTCGCTGATTGCTGTTTAAAAAAAAGTTTTTAAAAGCATTTAAATTAGACGAATATGGCCAGAGATCTGGTTTTATAAATAGTGCAAAAGTAGTTTAGCAAATTTTTCTGAACCATCTGTCTAGTTTACGCTTGAACTTCTTCAGATTTGTCTCATTATTAAAAAAATTCTACCTAAGATTTAATATTAAATTTAGTAAGTACATTATTAAAGGAACTATGTAAATAATTTCATAAAATTTAATTTTCTAATATTAATATTTCTGCAACCTGATGGTATACATCTATTATTTTAAACTTTGACTATTTGATGTGGTAAAGTTAATAGTCTAGAATTTCAAAAAGTAAGGATAAGAGAAGTTTGGTTTGTGGCGAACAAGAACAATGTTTCATTAGATTTTGGTTTGTATGCATTTTTTAAAGCATGCAAGTTTTCCTTCACTGTACACTTCATTTTTATCTTTTATTTTGTGAACATTAATTTTCTTAATTCAGTGATCGCAAAATAAAACTGGAATAAAGTTGTCTTTGCGCAAACCTTCTCTTTGAAATTATAACAATTGCAAATTAAAAAATATTGCTAAATTCAACTTATTCATTCCACTGTAGTTTTATATATTATACTTTTAGTTGTAAATGATACTCTTTATAACAGACTGGATCCAGATTCAAACAAAGCTTATGAAGGTGCACTAACTTCAACATTCATCTTGACTTTTATTAAAAAATATTAAACCTTAAACATTCTATAACTAGTTTTATTCTTTAAATGACGGATTTAGATGTATACAAGCTACTTTCTTGTATTTTGTTTAAAATGTTATAATATCTGTTTTTTTTATATAACTACTTTACAGGAAAGGGTTCCTAAGACCAATTTTGCCTAAAAGTAGTTAAGTACACAAGTTGTACACAAGTTTTTTGTCCTTTGATATGAAAATGCGCAAATTTGTTCTGCAGAGCGGGTCGTTATTTTTACTTAAATGTCCCAAGGGATGTAAAGTAACTTAACGTACCTCTCATAGGTCGGTTATGCTGGTAAAAGGCGGTAAATGGTAGTATTATACAATTTAAATATAATCCTTGGGAAACGCCCTTGGGTTTATCATTGAATACCTTGGGGGTTAAACTTCCATTGTATTTAACTTTTTTTAGAGTAAAAAAAGGAAATAATTCAAGACATCTTTTTTTCAGACATGAAAAAGCAAATTCTACAATCAAAACTGGAAGAAAGCACTCAAAAGGATAAAAAAGATAGAGATGTTTCAGCTGAAAAATCTGAAACTGTTAAGTATGAAATAAGACTCCATGAAAAATACAACAATCAAGATGCAGAGAATTTTGAAAATTATTCTGAAGAAAAGGAAGAGTTTAAACAAATGAAAAATGCCAGGAAACAAATAAATTATTCACCATATTCACTGGAAGACATTAACACCTCTGAAGCTAGGGCTAAGCCAGACTTTGAAGAGGATAAAGTTTCAGTTGAATTTGTCTATCCTGATTCTGCTAGTGTAGTACATGTGTACACCAATCCTGAGGACTCAGAACCTGTTTATAATGTTGACGGCTCTCTCCTTCTGCAACCTGAGTTCAGTGGGTACACAGAGGCAATCCCAAGAACAGATGAAGAACAGTCTGTTTGGGGTTTTATTGGTAAGTGTTTTCCTGGGAGTATGAGATAAAAGGGAGATGGAAACGACACGGCCCACTAACGTACAAATAGGATTGTTAATCGTTTTTGAAATCAATCATTAAACGATCGTTTTTTGTTTTGTTTTTAAATCGTTTTAAAAACGAACGCTTCGTTTTCAGAAAAAACGACCCACTTGTTTTCAACTTTTAGAAAACAAATAACCATTGTTTTTGAAAATGATTTCTTTTATAAAAACAATTTGCGACCGTTTTTTACACAATTGTTTTTTGAAAAAACGTTCGCTTTTGAAAAAAAAGATTGTATTTGAAAAAAAAATCTTAGTGACAATTATACTAACGATCGTTAACAGAGGGTTGTTGTTTATGATTGTTAACAAAAGGTTGGCATTTATTATTAAATTAAATTAAATGCAACTTTATTGAATGTCGTCATACATGAAGGTAAAGAGTTGTGGGGAGCTAAAACTACTTGATTTTTTCTTAAAAACTTCTCAATGATAAGTACAGATCCCCTTCAGGTATGTTTCGTCTCTTCGTTAACAATCGGTAACGAAGGGTTATCGTTAATGATCATTAATAAAGGTTCGTTGTTAACAATCATTAACAAAAAACGAGTTTTATAACAACGATCGTTTTGAAAAACAATTGTTGTTAAAATGATTGTTTTAAAAACGTCCATTTAAAAAAAAAAAACTTTTTAAAAAAATTATCGTTTTTAATAACAATCGTTTCGTTTTCGATTTTTTGTTCTCATTTTCATAATGAAACGATTGTTTTAAAAAAAAATGAAAACGTTAACATCCCTATGTACAAATACTCCCTTCATGTATTCAGAATAGGTTATTAAGCAGGGAAAAAAGTAGGCTGAATAACGCCAAACAAACACATTTTTTGGGATGTAAACATATTGGCAATACAATAATTTAAATTATCGGTTTTATTTATTATGGTATGGTAAAAAACAACATTTAAAAAATTAAAAGACTACCTTTAAAACTCTTTTTCAAATAGAGTACTGTCTGCAAAGCATGTATTATCATATGGTAGGGCGGGCCGAGTCATTTCCATCACCCTTATATTCCATACTCCTTATATTCCACACTCCTCATGTTCCATACTCTTTGGTTATTCTTTTTTTACATATTTATCTTTTAAATTTTTAATATTTAACAATATTCTTTAAATATTTTCGTCATTGTTTCCGCTAATTTTGATAAATAATAATTTTTGAGACATCCTTGAGCTTTAGAACTATACCTTTCCTGTTTTTCTGCACTAGACACATTAGATGAAGCATTTACTTTGTTTAAATATTAATAATTTGATTCAAACAGAGTTTTTTATAATATGCTATAATGCATAATGGCATCTGCAAAGTTCAATTTTACCCTTTGAAATTAGAACTAAGGAGAAGTTTACTTTCAAATTAATTTTTTATTCATAAAAATGAAATATAATGATAATTATAGTATAATGATAATAAAATTCTGTCAGGCTCTACCTACAATATGTTTCAAACATATTTGTATTTTTCATTAATAGTGGTATTTAAGAATATTTTGAAATTTTATTTCTTCTCCTGTTGATCTTGAAATAAACTAGACATGAGACTGACAACTGAAAGGTTAGAAAAGGAAGGATATATTCCTACTAAAACTAAGTTTAGTAGGAATGTTTCCAACACCAGTGACTAGACGGAGAGAAGAGAAGGATATAATTCCTGACAAGGTAAGATTATTAGATCAAGCAGAAAGTGAATTACTTTTCTCTTGATCCACTTAATCTGTTCATGGGACCATTAATTGAACAGCTTAGAGACGAACCAGTTGATGAACTTTATTTTTATGGCCCTCTGATTGGCTTTAGTGTCGGCGAATTTGTCGAAGATTACAAGGGCGTATACAGAAAAAAACCTAGGGGGGGGCAAGTTTGCGGGATGTGCAAACTTTTTTATTCCCCCCCCCCTAGGATCTCCTAAGGGAGGATGGGCAAAATTTAAACTGTGAATTAAAAACATTTGGCTTCATCTTGGATGTCAAGCGTAAGTGTAAGATACTTTAAAGGAGCACATACAGTCCAATTACCTTGCAAGTACTACTTTACCTATCCTTCAAACAAAACTAGCAGAAAAAATAATTTGCTTCTAAAAAATTTAGTATTTAAACTAGAGACAATTTTGAAACTGAAAAACTCAACTAACTTAAATTCTATAAGATGAAAAAAAGGACAAAGGCCCAGAAAATAATTAAAGCTTCTGGTGTGAAAAAAAAGTAAAAGTATAGTTGAATCTATACAATAAAACTCTTCGTTCATTTATATGTGTGATAGCTCTCAGTTTACAAGTCTAAGTGGGAGCACGGCCCCCCCCCCATGTATACGCCCTTGTGACGGTGAATCAGCAGACTTTACAATAGGTTGTTAAAACTTTGAATAGCCCCGTCAGGATTTGAGCCAGTGTTCTCTAAAGAAGTAGTTGATCCTGTTGCTAGGTAGTTCAGCATCCTTACTTAAAGACTATAGTCAACTTTCTGATATCAGTGACAGCTGTTAATTTGTTATGCCTAACCAAACCTAAACCAAAGGAACAAGAACCTTTCATTAAATGTTAAAACCATCTAAGTAAGGTTTTTGGTCTTAAACTTTAAAATGTATTTCAATAAGGTTGGGTTAAACATTTAAACATTAATTAATTAAATTAAATCAAAAAAGCCTGGTCACAGTTAAATAAAAAAAAAAATTACCACCTTTAGATTTGATCTAATGAGTATTATAAAGCTCGTATTTACAAGCACAGTTTTAATCATAAAACAATGGAGATAAAAAGCTTTGTTTCAAAGTTTTTGACCTTGACGCAACCTTTTAGTATTCGAAAATACAGACCAGTTAATTGTTAAATGTTCTTTGCCAATTAATTCAATTTTTGCCTTTTTCTTCCTATTTGATTAACCTTAAACTTGTTTTTAACTTCTAAGTATTTAAATTTCTTTTAGATTTCTGAATCAACTTTGGTGCTGATTCCTGAACATGAAACAAATAGGAATATTCTTTAATGGAACTGATCGACTAAAATAAATATTATTATGTGTAGAATATTTAAATAAATAAAGCTTGTATTGACATAAAAGAATAAACACATTCATACTGATAAAAGATTTTAATAATTTTTTAAAAGGAAACAACATTATGTTTGTTTTATTTTTGACATTTTTTAAATTTTTTCAGCAAAAAAAGTTATTGAATGTCTTCTAACATAGTTTTACAGGTTTTGTGAGGCAGTTTTAAATTAAAACCTTCAACCCGTGGGAAGATTGTAAACATTCATCAACCACTGATCTTTCTAATGTGGAGAAGCATCAAGTGCAAGTATAATTTACAAGTTCTGCTAAAGATTTTCTTACACATCAGTTTCAAGGCTCCAACTGTTGATAATCTATTCCTAGCTAAATCTCCTTTTATCACATTTGGCATTAAGTATAGATTCTGAAATGTTTGGTGGAGTGTTCCTTTTTCTTTTCTTGCCCTGCAACATTGCTAGAAAACATACACTTTATTTGTGTATAGATCTACATTTAGTATATTCATGCAACAATCTACAAACCTGATGAGATACCAAATATTGAATTCCAGAAAACTTTTAAGGGTTATTATTTTATTATTGTTCATGGGTTCAGTGTCAGCAGTTGATATATTGAATTTAGATACATGAGTTCAGTGTCAGCAGCTGAGATATTGAATTTAGATACATGAGTTCAGTGTCAGCAGCTGAGATATTGAATTTAGATACACGAGTTTAGTGTCAGCAGCTGAGATATTGATTTTAGATACATGAGTTCAGTGTCAACAGCTGAGATATTGAATTTAGATACATGAGTTCAGTGTCAGCAGCTGAGATATTGAATTTAATTACATAAAATGAGCTAAACAGAGATTAGAAGAATTCTTTACCAATACATAGATAAGAAGAATGTACAGACTATCTATAATACCAATTATTTTGAAAATATAAAAATATAAAATATAAATATAGAAATAAATGTTGGGAGGTTGTTTCCACTTGGGGTTTTCAGGGTTCTGGGATCACCCCCACCCCCCTCAATTGGGGGAGGGTCCGGGACCCAAAGAATCCCAAACTGTGAAAAACTGGAATACTGCAAAACTATTAAAATAATTTTTTACAATTTTGTAAACCTAAATAAGATTGTATGATGGTGTTTGGCTGCTTATAGTAAACCTAAATAAGGTTGTATGATGGTGTTTAGCTGTAATAGTAAACCTAAATAAGATTGTATGATGGTGTTTGGCTGCAATAGTAAACCTAAATAAGATTGTATGATGGTGTTTGGTTGCAATAGTAAACCTAAATAAGATTGTTTGATGGTGTTTGGTTGCAAAAGTAACCTTTTCAAAATTAAAAAATTAAAAATTCTTAAAAAAAATATCATAAAAATGATGACCTTAGTGATTTTTGATCTAAAGTTTTTGTGATCTAATGAATCTCTGACCTAAAATTGTATTTTGTCTGATATAGGACAACTATAAAGAGATATTTTTAGCTGCATATTTACCATGTCAGTCATTAACAGAATGGAACATTAAGTTCTTAGCTAAGATAGAGTGCACACACTTAAAAGATTGTAAGTTCCATTAATATAAATAAATTAACAAACAGGTTTTTAAAGATCTGAAGGTGCCAAGCCCTACTTGGAATAACATTTTTGGCACTTTAAGAAAAATATATTGGATTTGCAAATCTAAAAAATAAATGTTATCAAATATTTATTCGAGACAACATCTCTAAATGTCAACCAATTCTTCCCCCAGTTTCTCAGTAATCTTTTTAGCAAAGAACAACATATTTTTTAGAGAGTTGAGCTCTGCAATTATTGTACTTTAAACATAATGAGTTAAGTTACTTAAATTATTAATTAACTAGCATGCATTGAAGGTCAAATCTAGCTAATATCAAGATTCTAATACAACAGCGGTCTGTGATTTTATCAATACAATATAGATAACTTTTAAATAAAAATAATTTGATTTTTTAAATTACAAGTTTACAAGTAAATAAAGAGAAGCTGTCTGTTTTCATTGTATTGATATATGCAACATTGACTAAAGACATGGATAGTCAGAACAATTCTCTACAGCACTTTTGTCCACTGGAAAATAAATCACGAATTCACCGTGGTGTTGTTAAGTTTTATATCTGTCCCTGGGGACAAAACATTTTGCTTGTCTCAAGAGACAAAAAATTTCTGGACAACAACTTTTTTGGGAAATCAAATATCTTTCACTCTAAGAAATTTAAATTTTCTTCTAACAAAATTTGTTGGATCATCAAAGCCAAATTCACTTTAGTCGCCCTATTAACCAGGATCACATAGACTAAACAACGGTACGACTGTGACTTTCCAACTAACTAAAATTTAATATAAATCCTTCTGCAACAACTGCTATGAGTAAGAGATGTTATCATTGGAAAATTTATCAGTTAAGCCAACTTAACAAGCGTTTTTACTACTTTGACTTCAATCAAAATATTTTGCAACTCTTCTCAAATTTGGAAATGGTTTGTTAACAGAATTTTGTAAAACCAAAGGATTTTCAAAAAAGGTCAAAAATATTGATACTGATGGTCTAAACGTTTAATATTCCAAACTGAATGGGTTGTTGATGAATATTTCTAACTTAATGGGTTGTTAATGAACAATGAACAAATTAACGAAAAAATGTGCCCACCTCCATCTTCCCTTGGTTTGAAAATATTTAAATAGAAGAAAATAAAGAAAATATCATAAACTTATTATTTTTGGTGAAAAAATCTCTTTTTTAATACACTCTAAAATACTTGATATGATCAAGAGATAGATATAATCCCCTTCTTGGAAAGATATCGTGCATCATGCACAAACCTTTTTTTAACGTTTTTTTAGAAAATTGTTTACAAGCCTTAAAAAGAGGAAACACACTTTCTCATATTCCAATAAGATTTATATTTACCAAATCAATTTTTTTTGTTATTTTAAGTACATATTAGCCAGGCGTTATTGTTATTTGAAATATTTAAGTTGTCCCTAGAATTTTTAAATAATTAAATTTAAAAAAACTTTTTAAACTGTTAAGTACGAGGGGTTTTATTTTAGCTTTTTTTATAGATATATATCTAAATATAATATATTGATTGCAAAAATAGAAGTAAAAATTGTGCTGAATATCTAATCAAAACTGTTAAATATCAAGACAAAAAAAATTATCTCACAAATTCCCACTAAGTTATTGCAGGAAATTAGGGCGCTACGACATATGCTCTAATTCCATTTGCTCTATGGCCATTTGCTCTAGTTCAATTTGCTCTATTAACCATTTGCTCTATAGCTCATGGATAACAACATTTGCTCTATATGTCAATTGATCTATATATGGCTTAATATGTCATTTGCTCTATAAACATGTTTATGACCGACTGGACTCATAAAAGCATAAATGTTGTATCACCATTCTCCATAGTGTCATCTGAGTAGCCAAGAAAACGCTCACCCACACTTGTCAACTTGTACTTCTCTGGAAGGAGTTCCACAGCTTCAGTGAAGGTCTGTGGTGTGACTGGATGCCCACCGTGAGCAAATGATGGACTTTGAAGAACTGATTAAAACTGCAATTTGCGAATTTTCCAAAAAAAAATCCCACATTTCATAGTCAAGTTATGCTCAGGAATTCCAATAAAAGCTATTATATAGTGTATGTTTAGGTTATAGAGCAAATGATGTGTTTAGTCATAGAACAAATGAGGTATAGAGCAGATTGAATATAGAGCATATGACGTATAGAACAAATGACTTGATAGAGCAAATGGAACTAGAGCAAATGGCCATAGAGCATATGGATATAGAACAGATGTTGTAGCGCCAGAAATGAGAAATAAAAGTTGATTATTTTTAAGTTGCAAGGCTTGCAGAAGGAACCCTGATTGAACACTCACCTTTAGCTTTCAAATGTTTTATCTCTTTGCAGACTAATATTTCAATCCTCAAATATTTTATTCAAAAGTTGTCAAATATACATTTTTGAAAACCCTTTTAATTTTTGTTAATTAACAAGTAAAGTAATAGTCCCATTTTTTCATTTAACTTCTGGATAATTTTAAAAAAGGTTACAAAAAGATTAATATCCAAATTAATCAAATTAGAGATATAATCTAGTTATTTTAAAACTCTTTAATGAACAGATTACAATGCTATTGAATTGCAAGGCCTCTGTGCTAATTGTTAGTATCCTAGTATCGGTAAATGGTATGACAATATTGGATGTAGTTGAAAGAAAAACTAAATTATTTGCAAGATTCAAGATTCATCAAAATCAAGATGCTCAAAAAATAATTTCATGGTTTACAAGGAAAAGATAATATTTTAAAATATAAATTTAGAAATTTAAAATCTAAAGATTCCAATCATAATTAGAAAACGAAAATTCAAAATTCAATATCTTTCAAGAAGTGAGCCAAGTGAACATTGCTTGAGAATCTATGTAGGGTATGTATTGTTGTTAATTGTTTTGAATAGATTTTAGAAAAAGTTTTATAAAACTTCAAAGATTTCAAAACTGTATTATGTTAAACTTATATTTTATTAAATTTAGCAATGTCTTTGATATGCTCATAGTTTTCATCATTATTGAATCGTTGTTTGGTTGTTTTTTACTTATAGCGTAAGATGAACTAATATTTAGAAAACACAATTAAAAATACATTCACTTTCTTTACACTTTGCTAAATTTTAACCATAAAAGAAAAAATAAACCAAAAATGACCCAAACATGAACGTCCCTAAGGTACATCACTATATGTATTGTATCACTTATATGTATTGTTTTAAATCACTAACCTTATCTTTAAGCAGATTTACAGAGATGTTAACCAAAAATCAAATTAATTGAATTAATCAGGGCCTAGTTATTTAAATTCTCTATTGTTCTCTAGTGCCCTCTTCTCATGGAGGGTTATTATAAATTATGCTTATACTCTCTTTAAAACACAAATATTAGGGTTTAAAACAAGATTTTCATCAAAGAAAAAAACAAATTGCAGATTGGATAGAATCGGTGACCCAGGAAACTGGGATCAGCATATCATTGTTGAAGATGTTTCTAACCTAAAAGATCATCTGAAGGTTAAAGATATAACCACTAAATGTGTCTTTCTTATTGCAAACAAGGTAAATTTGTGAGATCATAATATTTTGAATATTTATTTATAGTAAAAATAATGATTTTATTGAGGAAATGTTGCCAACTGATGTCAAGTATCTTGGATTAGAGCCAACTCTCATCTTTTTTTATCAAAGCTATAATCATTTGAATCCTTTTCAGCATGGGAAGCAAAAATCAAATGTTTGATAAATATATGTTAACACCTGTAAGCCTAATATATTTTATTGAATAAAGAAAAACTATTTGTAAAGGTAGAAGGTTCTAAAAAGTGGGACATTCAAAAGAAAGCTCTTCCAGAAAGTTCATATTTTTTCTTAGTTTGCTACACTTCTATGTGAAAAAGGCTTAAGGGTTCTAAATATATCTTTCTTGGTCTGTAAAACATTTTTTCATTTTTTCAAGGTAATTGTTGTTTAAATGCTCTCAAAAGTATAAACATCAGAAATATTAGAATTTTGGTTTCCATGTCAGATTACAGATATGTACAGCTGACCATGGGTTCAAGAAAATTTGAGTACAGGTGAGAATGTTCATTAACAAAAGCCCAATTGAAAAATTTTTTGATTTAGAGACCTGTTTGGACAGATTTATGAAGGGGCTTGGATCCCTTTTCGTGAAACTGTAGTTTTTAAATTAGATTCAGAGAATAAGATGGACCAATGTCTGAATCACAATATCAGGTTTTTAATACCTTAAAAACTAGCAAAAGAAGTAGAAAAGGTTTTTAAAACTTCAATAAAATGTTCAGTTTGATAGCAAATCTTCACTTCTACTCTAATATTTAGGATTGCATACAACAATTATGAACCCATGTTGAAATATAATGACAATAAGTTAGACCTTGCTACATATGAAGGATATTTTCTACATGCTTTTATTGGTAAATTTTTATTTTTACAGTAATGGTGAAAAACATATTTTCATGGTTTAAAGAAAAAGACTAAATCTATTGTTTAGAAAGATATGAATTAATGACAGAGTTTATTTTTGCTAATGATTCATGGGGAGTAAAAAATACCTCAACAGGAACCTGGCCCTTTGGTGTAGTGTCACTGGTAATAAAAATCACAAATGCTACTGTTTCCGAAATTACATTTTATTGTTTTAAGGTTGGTTTTGGCCATGCAGACCTTGGAACGGGTTTCATATCTTATTCTTCAGAAAGGTATATTTTGGGCTATTCATACTTAACAGTTTGTTAAAATTGAAATTTAAATTTCAGGCTTGAATTGATATCTTATACACATCCAGTTGGACTTGACGATGTTCGCTGGATAACTAAGGTTATAAAATCTCTACCTACAGCATCAAGAGATTATTTTGTCTGTCAATGACAACTTTTATAAAATACAGAAATGAAATGACAGCAAGCGATAATTATTTGATGTAAAAAGGAAGTGACTACTCGCCACATTCTCTATTTTGCTTACTCTCATATCTATGCAACCTAATATTGTAGATCTTTAGAGCAAAATAAAATGGAAAGATCAATTATTTACTAGTATACATAACGATGAAAAGATATTGGAATTGCAGTGTATAAAATTATGTGTTCAATGACTTTAAATCAAGGCTAAGGATTTCGCAATACTCCTGATGTATTTTTGCAAACAAGGAAATTTAACTCATCTTATTAAAGAAAGCTCAATTATTTGAAGGCAATTTTCAGATACATAGAGATTGACTAATTTTTTCGCAAAAATAAAAGTAACACAATTGATTCCTTTTAATTCTCAAATTTTTCACTTGTAATTAGTTTAGATTTAACTTGGTTTGCATGGTGAGTGTGTATTATATTTGTGTGCATGACAAAGCAAAAAATACTATTTTGTACTAATTCATTTGAATGAAAAAAATTTCATCAAAATGTTTAGTTCCCTGGGAAGAAGTCTCCAATGAACAACATAATTAAGGTCAGAATTCAATTTTTACTTTTATATGAGAGAAACCCTCAATATATTTTCAATGCTTTTTGAATCTTATAAATGCTGAAAAACTAGGTCTTTGATAGATATACTTGGATAGGTATTATAGTAAGGTAAATATATTATACATATTATAAAATATACAGTTTATAGTTTGCAGTTTTAACAATATAATTTAGCACTGTAACAGCCAGCATTGTTCTTTTGGGTGTTGTGAATATATTACGCAATCTTGGATTTAAGCAGGTTAAGCTTTTCTTTCAAAATACCTTATTTAAAAATCAGTTTTCCACTTATATTGTTACCACTGTGCCTTTTCTGATACAATTTTGAAGGGAATCATATATTTGGCGTATAGTCCTGGTTTGCCATACTTACTCTGTAATTGTACTGTACAGCTTGCTGTACTTGTAGCTGGCTAACAGTTGGACTGGTTCTTGAAATGAACAGATGCTCTCAGTGCCGAGGCAAGAAGAGTGTACCAATAACACAATTAGTGTACCAATCTGTGTTGAACCTTCTCATTGACAGTTCTTAAAGTGTCTATGCATTATTCATTTAAGTTTATTGAACTCGTTAATAATAAAAACAAAAACAAAAACAAAGCCCTGCATGGTTGTATTTTTCATTATTACTTTGAAAAACAAACACAGGTAATAATATTGGAAAGCTCTTGTGATCTACTTTTAGAATCTGCAAAAAAAATTGTAAATTTGCAAAAATTGAATTTTTTTATTGCAAAATCCAGTTATATAGTAAAAATGTTTTTGAAAAATTTGTCCAATAAATGATATATTATACATTTTTGAAAAGCCCTTGACCATGCCATTTAAAATTTGCAAAAAGTTTTGCAACATTTTAAATAACCTGATTTTTAATCAAGAAAAACTAAAAATGTGCAAATTTCCTTTGACAGGTTGTTTGCAAAAAATTTGCAATTTTTTCATTCAGGCAGTGTGCCTGAGGACTCAGGCAGTTAGTATTAAAGCCCGCTATTAGGCCAAAAGGGAGGGGTTTGGGTATGTGGGAAAAGTCAGAAAATTTCAACAGCCTCAGACCAATACTTTTTGAGTTAAGTAAAAAAAAACTACAGGGGGGGTCAAATTGCCCCCCCCCCAGCAGGAATAGGGTTAATATTACCTCACTAGCTTAATTTTTCTTGTTTGTAGCCTTAACATGTACATTTTTAAACTTTAATTTCATTGATTATAGTTTCAAGGTTTTCAGAAGTAATGGACAAAATATTTGTTGATTTTTGTTTGAGAGCTTGAAACCTTTGGATCACTGTACTTGCAGTCCTGTGGATTAAATGCAATCCCCCGGAACACTTAAACATCTTTAGAGATCAAGTTTTTCAAATTAGCCTTATTTCACATAAAAGTTAGCTTATAACTTTATTTTTAAAATAATAGAAACTTCTTAGGTCGTCTTACAATGTTCTTTAGCGATACCCCATGTTTTGAGGAATTTAACGATGACTGCTGGAGTGCCAGGAAAGAAAATGAACTTCCACAGCTTACCTCAATATAAAGATTAATATAGTGTGTCCAAATAAACATGATATTAGAATTGTATTGAATAATTTTGAAGTTCGAAAGTGGATATTAAAAAGTTGAGTTTTTGCAACTAAATCCCTAAATTCCCTATAACTTTGCAACCCGAATTCAAGTTCAATGATAATTTTTAAAATCTAATTTTGATATATTCTAGGTTTACACAACATCAGGTTTCAAAGATATCGAGTAATTAGAAAATGTGAGATTCTGTGAATTCTTAGTTCCATATTTGAATATTTCTAAACAATTTGAATGTGTCAAAACCAATTTTAGTTTGAAAATTGGTTTTCTGATATACTACTTCTATTGTAAAAAAAATAATAAAAAATTTAATAAAGATATAGAAATAAGTTGTCCGTGCTTTTAATCAATAATTGATTTTGTTCATATAATGATATTTAAACTATGATATTTCATATAACATTTATAATTATATTACCTTTGATGAGCAAGTGAAGAAAAACGCAGGAAAATAAAAAACTAAAGATTTTCATTTTTTTCATTGGGAGAATTATAATCTGGTTTTTTACAATATACAGGGTGTTACATTTAACATGAAAAATGAACAATGACTTTGGTCTTGTTCGTAGCTGTCTGTTAAATCAAAATTATGCATCGATGAAGGCGAAACAATTTTTATAGTATTCCAGTAGGTTGCCCAATCTATGAAAATGGTCAAGTGTGTGCAAGGTACGTCTTTATGAGTGAGAAAAGCAAACTTGTTTGGTTACATAAAAGGATTTCACAAAAATTGAGTCTTAGCTACAAACTCTGAGTTTCTAATCCCTATCTCTTTGCAACACATTGTAGTAGACCTTATATATTTCAAACTATGAATTTTGTTTGATCAAATAAAAATAAGAGGTTTATACCATTAGGATGCAAAATTATAGCAGTTTTAAAATCTGAGTTTGTTTCAAAGGCTCAATTTCATTCTTTTATAATAGGTCTTGAAGGTGTGTTCCATAATATACAAGAATATAAAATGAAATTTTTACTTTTTTATACACATTTTTATACATATTAAAGAATAAAAGTAAAAAATGTTGATAAAAAATAATGAAAAGTAAAAAGTTAAAAAAAGTAATAAAAAAGAAATGTGAAAAAAATGAAAAGTAAAAAATAAAGAAAAGTAAAAAATAATGAAAAGTAAAAATAATGAAAAGTGAGAAATAATGAAAAGTAAAAAATAATGAAACGTAAAAAAATGAAAAGTAAAAATAATGAAAAGTAAAAAATAATGAAAAGTGAAAAATAATGAAAAGTGATAAATTAAGAAAAGTGAAAAATAATGAAAAGTAAAGAATAATGAAAAGTAAAAAAATAATAAGAAGTAAAAATAATGAAAAGTAAAAAATAATGAAAAGTAAAAAATAATGAAAAGTAAAAAATAATGAAAAGTGAAAAATAATGAAAAGTAAAAAATAATGAAAAGTAAAAAATAATAAAAAGTAAAAAATAATGAAAAGTATAAAATAATGAAATATTTTCCTGATAGTACTAGCGATCAAGATAACACCAATAATATCTAAATGATAGAACTCAACCATACTCAGATAACGATTTCTAAAAAAAATAAAAACTTTTAAATGGACTGTAGACGTCAATCAAGACACATTTCAATTATTAAGTGGTAATTGAGATTGACAATGGTTAACCTTAAACCTAAGTTTGATCAAGATTAAAGAGTTTAAAAAAAAAATTGAGTTTCTGCTACAAACTCTGCTTTTCTAATCCCTATATCTTTACAACTCACCGTTGTAGAATTTAAATATTTCAAATTATGAATCATGTTAGATTAAATAACTGAAGTTTGAATTATCAAAGGTTAAAACCATCAGGTTACAAAGAAATATTTGAGATTGTGGCAAAGACGTTTTTCCATTATCTATAAAAAAAATGTTTTAATTGTTTCTGTAGTAAGTGCAGGGTCAATGATTAATCAATGAATGTTGTAATTTTAATTTCAAAATTAATTTTGTAATTTATTGATACTCATGGTAAGGCTTCGTGAAAATTAATTTATTTATTGATTGATTGATTGAAAGTTTAGCTATACCTGGATTTAAGATGGTTAGCTCCGTTGTTTCTAATAACATGATCCACCCAGAAAAGAGATTCCTGTAATGATCAAAAATATTTACTTTTGAAAATCAATGTTCGAAGGGAGTTTTTTTTATGGAAAATCAATGTTGGAAAAAGTTGATTACAAGATGGGGGCGGGGGTTTCTGGACATAAGGCTTTGAATCATAATATTGAAATAGATACATGTACGTTCAACAGTGAATTATTCAAAATACGGAAAATTTACGCAGTTTGAATAATTTTTTTCATCTTTGAGAAATATTATCATATGACACTTAGCTGTTTGTCCCTTAAACAAGACTCAATTACTTTTTTATTTCAAATACACCCCCCCCCCCTTATTCAATCCCCTTTTTCATTCTCCCCTCGTTTTTGAGCCTTCCTTTATCCATCCTTAGGTTCATTTTTCTCATCTCTTTCTGCTTACACATCCCCCCTCATCTGGCAGAAAATAGATAAAAGAAAGATAGAAATAAAAGAAAGTAAAAGAAAAATACTAAATGCATTTATCACTCCTTCACTTTTATTTATTTAAGCTTAACTTGTTGCCCTTTTACCAATATTATTATTATTTCTAACTATTAATGAAGACACTCATTGATTTTGGTACACTTATCCTGATTTCCAGACTAATCATTGGTAGACTCTTCTTGCCTCGTACAGTGCTGTTTCTTAAGAACAGTGCAATTATTCTTAACATTAATATTTAAACTATAAGAACCATTTTAAATTAATTGTAATTTGCTTTCTTACAACAAAGCTTTTTTCATTTACGGATTTTAAAAGAGACTTTAACAATTTTTTATAGCCAGACAACATAAGTGCTGCACTTATACCCTTGAGTCTAATGAATGCTGAGCCAATGCCTGATTGGTTTCTGGTATCAACAACGCGAGGTAAAGAAAATTTTTCCAATTCTGATTTAAATTTAGCCTTTCATTATTTTAAGCAAACGAAGATATATGCTTAATAAAAAACAATATATGTTTTACATATAATTTAAAAGAATAAAAGATAAAAATGGAGAAAAGAAATTCTAAAATTTGTTGAGTGACCTCTTACAAGCCAAAAATAATGAACTTGAATAACTAATAAAATCCTTATCCAACACTACACCCACCAATAGGCCCATAGTGAACAGTAAAAGCAGTCATACACATAACCCGAAACTACTTTAATATGATTTTGATTAAAATCTTCAATTTTTTATTTGATTCACCATTATCAGAAAGTTGCCCAGGACAACACTCACACATTTACAAATATAATATTTTTGCTTAAAAATATAGATTAAACATTCTAAGGATAATTCTATAAAAACTTAAATTTTTTGGTGTTGAAAATATATATGATTGAAAAGTAATAAAAACACAAAGTTTTTCTGCTTGATCTAAGTAATTTTAAATTTTTAAGACAATAACAGTTTTATAATGAAAAATTTCTGATTGATTGTGTCTGACTGCAGAGAGTATACAATTCAGCGAACACTAGTTTAAAAGATTTAATCTAAGCGTTTTTCAGTTTATTCTGGGAGTATCCTTATGTTGGTTTGGGGGCTTTGCTCTGCTGTTCTGACATACGCCTTTTCTGGAAATTTAAGGTAGAATTTTATTTTCAACTTTCAATTTATTCTGGTTTAGTTAGGTTCTTGACATTACACTAATTATATATTTAACCCTTTTTAACTTTACCTTTTTATTTAACAGCTTAAATCATTTGTTTTGAAATCTAAACCTTCAAAATTTTGCACAAAGCTCACTCACGCAGCTTTAAATACATCATGTATCATTTCATTTTTATTAAGCATTTCTGAAACTAAGTTAATGGGAAATAAACTCACTTGGGTTTAGAGATTATCGATGATGCAGAAGCATACTGCCAAAGATTTTCAAATCTAAGATTATCACTTGTTTTCAAGATCTTCAAAGTTTGTGACCTTAATCATTTCAGAGCGATGGTTCTTACTCCAGCCTTTGAAACTCCAATTGATACTGCTCAACAAATTGTTGAAAACAATCTGGTAACTACCCAACAACAATATTAAAAGAAACCCTAATGTAACCCAACTTAGGGAAATGATTTTTCATTGCTATAATATGTTCTTTAGAAATACGTACTAACAGTCTAAGGATAAAAAATGTAAGACCTTCCTATAATTCTGTTAATGAATTCATTCAAGTTATGCAATTCATTAAATAAGGGGCACTGAGCTTTCAGAGGAAATGTGTTAATAGTTTGCTCATAATGTTATTGAACATGCTGTACACATTTTGAAATCAAGTGATATGAATATTTTTGAGATATGTCTGATATTATGTTTAAAATTCTAAACATGATGTTCTGTCTGTGAATGAAATTTCAGGGTTTTAGTGCAAGAGTAGATTTTGAGTCTTAATTGCTTTTAATTGAATAATGTTTTCTTTTAACAATTTTTACATAATCTATATATAAATTTGGCTTGTCTGTTTGTCTGTTTGTCTGTCTGTCTGTTTGTATCCAATAAACGTCAAAACGGCTGAACCGATCGGGCCCAAATTTTTTGTGGGACATCNTTAAATTCTTGAAAATTCGCGAATTTTTTTTTAAATCCGCCAAATTCTTTTCTTCTTTGTTTTGAAATTTAAACAAAAAGAACATGTTCACAATTTAAATAGAAGATGGGCGTGAAGCGCCCTAAAAGCCCAGAAAGAAGGACGCAAAGCGCCTTGAGTTTCTTTAAATTTATATAGAAAAAATTTTGCAATTATCACAAAATCATGTGCATGCAAAATTTCATAAATCAGTTTTATCTCTATATTTACTAGATGGCTCAAATGGGTCCAACCGATCTTGTATACAGTATTCTTAATTCCTCAAGTAATCCCTGGCAAGTTGCAGTTCTTGATAACACTATACCTTGGACAGATTGGGTAAAATTTTGCAAGATTTTAGAAATATTTGAATTTTAAATAATCATAGACTTAAATATAATTTAAGCAAATGTTTTGCTCAATTATTAGTCAGAAAGGATAGAAATGACACAGTCTGGAGTTGTTGTTACTTATGGTACAGAGGTATGCAGTTCTGAAGAAAAAAATAACAAATTTCAATGAAATTTTGTTTAAATATTTTATTTAAAATAAAAATCAAAGAGTTCAAAATATCTTCCAATTCCAAAAAAAATATTATTTTAGAATTTGATTGTGAGTTTTAGTTTTAATCTTTATTTTTTTCAGGATTATTTCCTGAACAGTGTTAAGAAAGATCCAACTTTATCAAAGATGAAATCTCCGGTTTTCTATGTAAGTAAGGTATGTATAACAATCTAAAACGCAGCTTTAGCTAGAGCTGATTTTTTTTATTACCACAAACAGGCTGGGGGGTTTGATACATCCCTCACCAGTTTTCTTTCCTAGCTCTCTCATTTTTGACATGATCACCTTTAAAAGGTAGGGTACAGGATGGTAAAAAGGCCAGTCCATGTAAAAAATCTAAAATAACCTATAACTTTTTTGATATAAAAACTATCTAAAAACTTCATTTTTAAACAGCCCTTGAAACATATGTAAAATCATGTGCCCATCTTATTGTTTGTTAAAAAACCGAAAAAAAATTTTTTAAAACTTTTTTAAAACTATTGAAGTTAGTGGTCTACTTTTTTCAATGAGCTTGCCTTGAAAAATTATAAACATGCATTTCAACCCTTATCTTTATCTCTATAAAGGTCTTTTTCTATGGGGTGGGGGGCCTGGGATGCCCCCTCCATGCTATACACAGATTCAGACCCCCAGTTTTTATAGTGATAAAATTATCTCAAAAAATATGTTTTGATTTCTAACCCATCAAAACAAATAAAAATATAAAAACATATATTTTCATTGTTCTAACTGAAATTTAGTAATTTGTGTTAAAATCATAATAGAAATGCTCAATGTTACACAGCAAAATATCCCCAAGAAAGCAAAAAGAAGAAAAGTCATTTAAACATCATTTTTATTTTTATTTTTGGTAAAAGCAAAAAAGAAATCACTAAGTTTTCCATCCTGAAACAAAATTAAACTAGATATTTAGATATTTAAATTGAAGTATAGTTTAGTATTGAAAATTAACTAAATAATTTTAGGAGGCAATAAGAGTGTATTATGCAGGGTGGATTTTGCAAAAAAACTCAAAATGGCAAAACTTCTTAGATAATCATATTCTTATTTGTAATCAGGTAAATGAACAAGAATCAGATGATTAAGCTTCAGCAACATTGATGATATTATTAGAACAAATGAATGTATTAATCTACATATATATCAAGTTGTAATTAACTGTTTGGGTGTTTGTTTGTTTGTATCCAATAAACGTCAAAACGGCTGAACTGATTGCGCCTCAATTTTTTGTGGGACATCACATGGCCACAGGGAAGGTTTATAAATGATAAAAATTTTAAAGAAATGTGTTTTAAAGGTTTTTAACTTTGTAAAAAAAATTATATCCTTGAAAATCCGCGAATTTTTTTTAAAATCCGAAATTTTTTCTTCTTTGTTTTAAAATGGAAACAAAAAGAACATGTTCTCAATTTAAATAGAAGATGAGCGGGAAGCGACATAAACGCCTAGTGAGCTATAATATTATAGCTTTTTTCATAGTTAACAAAGATCCAGAGAGACGCTTTGGTAGTGCAACATTTACACTTGAAATGAAAGCAACATATCGGGTTCATTTAATCGGTGTTAGACTAGAAAGCTAATCATACATTTTAAGACTTGTTCTGTAAATAAACAAAATTAAATCTTGTTAAGGCTGGATTTAGTGTAAAGATTAAAAACTATTTAAGAGAAGTTACAGATGAAGATAATAATTCACAATCACAAGGGGTAAGAATGCATTTCTTTATAAAAACCCCCTTCAAATATTTGCCTACAAATATTTTCTTTAAAAGCAATTTTCAATATTTTTATGTTCATGATGAAGGAGAAAATGAGAGTTGAACATGTTGCAGTAGCTTTTATCATTCTTGGAATAGGATTAATTTGTTCCACCTTAGGGATGGATTTTTTAGATTGATCAATCAAAAAAAGTCTTGTCTTGACTTAAAACTGATCTTAGGGTCAAATCAATTATATGTTAAAAAAAATCCATTATTTTTAGCTTTCACTTTTGAGATCTTCAGAGTTTTGGAGAAAAAAAAAAAAAAAATTAAATTTTGTAATTTTTATTTTCATTTAAATAAAAAGTTTTAAAAGATTTATTAACTGAATGTGTTATTATCCAGTAGAGATTCAAACTGCTTAATACAATAACAGATAAAAACTATGATCTGTGGTAGGATTTCTCAAAACTATGATCTGTGGTAGGATTTCTCAAAACTATGATCTGTGGTAGGATTACTCAAAAAAGATATAAGATTTATTCATACTTTTAAGACAGCTGCGCAAAGTTAACAAATTATCTAAAAAAAGCCCTAAGTCTAAGCCTGGGTAGCCAGGTCGATACATCCCTTTAACTTATTATGCTTTTAAGGCATTCAGGTAGGGTTGTTAATCGTTTTTGAAAACGAATGTTAAAGGATCGATTTTTGCTTCGTTTTTCAATCGTTTTCAAAAACGATCGTTTCGTTTTCGGAAAAAAACGACCCTCTCAATTTGAAATTTTAGAAAATGAATAACTATCGTTTTTTAAAACGATCGTTTTTATAAAAATGATTTGCGACCGTTTTTTATACGATTGTTTTTTAGAAAATGATTGCTTTTGAAAACATTATTTAAAGGTTGTCATTAATATTCGTTAACAAAGGGTTGACGATAAATATCGTTAATGAAACGACAAACTTTATAAAACAGTCGTTTTTAGAAAAAACGACTGTTTTAAAAAAAATTACATGCAACTTTATTGAATGTTGTCTTACATTAAGTTAAACAGTTGTGGAGGAGCTAAAACTTCTTAATATTTTCTTTAAAAACTAGTTAATGATAAGTACAGGTGCCCTTCAGGTTGGTATCCTCTCTTAGTTAACAATCATTAATGAATCAACAGATTAACAATAATTAACAAAGGGTCGTCGTTAACAATCGTAAACGAAGGTTTGATTTTAAAAATCGTTTAGGAAGGGTCCAGGTAAATGATCGTTAACAAAACAACGAGTTTTATAAAAAAGATAGTTTTAAAAAACGATAGTTTTTTAAACGACCTTTTTTAAAATACGAACTTTTTGAAAAAGCTATCATTAACGACAACCCTTTGTTAACATAATTTTCAATATTTTTTTTCAAAAACGATAGTTTTTGAAAAAGCGATCGTTTTAAAAAAAATAATCGAATAAATGACGGTCACAAATCATTTAAAAAACGACCGTTTTCTAAAACGATCGTTATTCAAAATGAGTGGGTCGTTTTTAAAACGATCGTTTTTTTCAAAAACGAAACAATCGTTTTTAAAAACGATTGAAAAACGAAACAAAAAACAATCGTTTAACGATCGTTTTCAAAAATGATTAACTACCCTACCTATTGCTGGAAACCATAGACTCTCCTTGCTTGTCCACCATTCCTCTCTTCATCATCATTCACTTTGATCAATCCACTTGAAGCTTCTTTCTAGTTGAGTAGAAAGCACGCACCCTTTCGCTGCGAGAGTTGTTGACAGCCGCCCCTATGTCTTCCTACATCCGTCAGGTGGTCATAACTGCTTAACCAGATGTCGGCTTCGGATGTTTTTGAAACAAGAGGTTTGTGTGGTTCTAATATTGATTTTTGCAATTTTAATTCTGATTTTTTCCACCAAAGAATGAATGTTTTTCCCAATATATTTTCAAGAAGTATGTTTTTTTATCTCATTAGAATGGTAATAAAATAATAAAAGTATACACCATGAATAACAGATATTTTTACAGAGTTCAACTCTCCGAAAACAAAAAGTCCTGTGCTAAGAACTGAGAATATTGGTTGAGAATTGTTTGACATTTAAAGATCAAATAAAGATTTAACGTAATACATTTTTATGATTTCAAATCCAATATATTTTTTTAAATGCAAACAAGTTGGTTGATATAGAATTAAAAAAATGTTCTTCAATATTTGTATAGGTACTTAAAAAACAAATGGGTAAAATGTTACTAAGAAATGATATACAAATATTTTAATGATTAATAAGACTTTATAAGCCCTTGGTTATGCATTTTTTAAAGACAAAATTCAGAAGCCCTAATCTGTTTATATCCAATATCCATCATAAGATTTTTTTAATGAATTTTAAAGAAACAGAAAGGTGAACATTTTTGTTCATACTATTGATTTGATGAAGTGTAGCAAATATCGTAGCAATCCCCATATTTGTTAACCTGAGCATACCTAGATAGATTAAATATTGATTGCTACCGAGATCGCGCCCAGTGATAGCGGGTTTGGTAGTTCATGGGATTGTAACAGGGTGGACCGTGTCCTGGTTGACTGTGATAGCGAACGGGTTGTACCTGTTTCGAGGACTTCTTATGGAGTAGGCACTTACAACAAAACGTTTAATAAAAGGGTACTATTGAACATTGAGCATGCCTCTCTTTAATAGAGGGTCAATTAAATTATATCAAGAGTCTCTTTAAAACATTGAAAATCAGACAATTCTGTAAAATAAAATGATTCACCAAATATTTAACAAACTATTTTAAAGATTTTGCACATGAACTAAAATTTATTGTGAACAAAAGTGTATTTGATTAAAGTTTTAGATTGATCAAACAAATTGGATCATTTAGGGGAATAAAAAAATAGTCATCAAAACACGCAGTCTTTATAATGGACATTGAGCTGGTGTAAAGCACCAAATCTTTACTTTTTTTTGTGTTCACCTAAATAATGAAAGGTAGAAACTGCAACAATTTGGTGCAAAAGTAAAACCCTTTTCTTTTCTATCTTTTCACCAAGAAATTCATTTATCTTTCAATCATTTTAAAGGCACTGTTAAGGTAAAATGAAAGGGAGTGTAAGCTGAAACATAAGAAATTCAGGAGTTGATCGCGAAAAGAGAATTTTCGTGGAAACCCTATCCCCATCATTATACATGAATATGCATCCTCAGAATCCTCATCATCACCAAGGGATGATTTGTCTCCATTAGTTTCCGAAAGAGAAAAAACTTAATGATTTATGTACAGTTGCTTCTAAAGTTTTATCTTTGAGGGTAACCCTGTTATATTTTGTATACATTTTTTTATATATATATTGTGGAAATTCTTGTTTCATAAAAATCATGAGAATACAATATTTAATTTATTAATCATGAGATTTTATAACAGAATATAAACATTATAATAAAATAACACAGTAGCTAAAATTTTAAACATACTTTTTACATTTCTAAAAAAAGACAATGTCTAAATTTGATATTTATTAAAATACATGAACAGAATTGATTTACTGGAAGACTTGCAGATGAATAACATTAGTAGATACTTAAACGGATCTAAAATAGTTTGAATTGAGGTAAAACCTTTTATGATGGTTCAATTTTCAAGACTGGGTTGAATTTAAAGCGGCTCAGCGGCTTTACTTTTAACCCTATTCCTGCTGGGGTACTTGAAAACCAGAATACGCTGGGGGGGGGGGCAATTTGACCCCCCCCCTCTAAATCCCATGTTTTATGTCCAAATATGACAAATGATACATCATTAGAAAGCTCTTGTGCTCTACTTTTAGAATCTGCAAACAAATTTGCAAATTTGCGAAAATTGAATTTTTTATCGCAAAATCCAGTTTTATAGTAAAAATGTTTGCAAAAAAANCTAAAATACAGAGGTGTATTCAGTACATCTAATATTGCAGTCTCTAGGCTTGAGGCAGTTAAACTAAAATACAGAGGTGTATTCAGTACATCTAATATTGCAGTCTCTAGGCTTGAGGCAGTTAAACTAAAATACAGAGGTGTATTCAGTACATCTAATATTGCAGTCTCTAGGCTTGAGGCAGTTAAACTAAAATACAGAGGTGTATTCAGTACATCTAATATTGCAGTCTCTAGGCTTAAGGCAGTTAAACTAAAATACAGAGGTGTATTCAGTACATCTAATATTGCAGTCTCTAGGCTTGAGGCAGTTAAACTAAAATACAGAGGTGTTATCAGTACATCTAATATTGCAGTCTCTAGGCTTGAGGCAGTTAAACTAAAATACAGAGGTATATTCACTACATCTAATATTGCAGTCTCTAGGCTTGAAGCAGTTAAACTAAAATACAGAGGTGTATTCAGTACATCTAATAAGTAAGTAAGTAAGTAAGTAATTTGTATTTTTTATTCATGAAATATAACAAAAACTTACTAAGGGAAAATATCTAAAAACCTGCAAAAAAAAAGAGGTTACAGGAATTACCCCGCCCCATTCTTAAAAAATGAAAAGAAAAGGAAAGTATAAATAATTTTTTTACATTACAATTAATATTGCAGTCTCTAGGCATACAGCAGTTAAATTAAAATACAGAGACGTGTATTCAGAACATTACCCTTTCCTGTAAAACAAACCAATCGTAGAAAAGAACGAAAAAACAGGATCGTTTTCAAAACGGTCATTTAAATATAAAAATGCAGAAATTTTTTTTCTTCATTTTTTAGTTCAGTTCAGTGGGAACGGATACCAGTGAAAAGAAGGAAGAGTAGAATTTAATTCATTTTTCTGTTTTCATGATAATAATGTCCAAATAGCAAATCTGTAAAATCTTCTTTTAACATGCGAAAATGGGTTCGAAAGTTAAGGCTTACTCAATTTTTACCAGGACCCCTAATTTAACATGCCCCCACGGTCTTGTCCTATAAATGGCTAAAGATTTACCTCTGTAATTGTAGACTTATTCCCAATTTTTTCTGTATGATCATTTTACTGTAACAAGCAGTAGAATTTTATTCAATAAGGGACTCCAGTGTGTGATTGCTCATTTGTAGGGGTTTCTTACAGTTATAATATTTATAAATAGTGTATTAAAAAGTGTCTTAAATTCCACTTATTTTTAGCATGATCTTTTACATTTATAGAGAAACGTTCTATTACGTCCACATGGTTTAACTATCACTCGATATTCATTAAATCTTAATCTATATGAATTGATTTTTTTAATATGATATTTGTTTAATAAAATCTATTTTCCTATTTGTGATTTGTTCAAATGTTATTGGAAGGCAAAGAATAGGAACATGGTGATAAATTGCCTCCTAAAACATATAAAATGTTATTTTTTTAAACATGTCCTTAGGTCAGAACCAAAAACGCAACAAAAAAATCAAGTCAGCTGTTTTTCATTGATTAATTAAATTGCTATAAAGTTTCCCCCAGGCTACCTTGTTATGAAAGTCTATGAAAGGCAGAGCTACCTTGTTATGAAAGTCTATGAAAGGCAGAGCTACCTTGTTATGAAAATCTATCTGAAAATGAATTCCAAAAATGTTGAATTGATTTTTCTAAAATATCTTTTTTTATGCAGCATTGCGAACCACCGAGATATTCCATTTGACTTGTGCAAAAAGTATAAATAAAAATTGTGCACACTTAATTTTTGCATGAGAATCTTGTTGTCAAAAACGCAATGTCAAGGACCAAGGTTTCCAGTTGAGAATTTATGTTGATCCTTGAACCAACTTTTAAAATTTGGTTCACCTGCATACTCATCATACCACACTGCGATATAAACAGCCCGATATTTTCATGCGCTAGAATATCCTAAACAATCAAGAAATAAAGAAATTAATAACTTGAGATGGGAGCGTTCTCTAAATGATTGTTCATTTTCCATCTATTTTGTTCGTTTTCTCGCTGAACGATTGTTCGGTAAAATCGTTCGTTCAATTAAAAAAAAATATTTCTTTTTTAAGTGTGTTCGAAAAAATTGTTCGTTTGGTAAAAAAATATAGTGTTTTAAAAATCTTTCAAATAGTTTGTTTGTTTCGTTTAACGATCCAAGTTTTTTTCTTTTTCTGAACGACATGGTTCATGAAAAATTCAGTTCGTTCTTAAAAATGTAGTTCGTTGAAAAAAAAACCAATGCACATCTCTACAGTGATAACTTGCATCAATTTCACTTCAAACTAAGTACAAAATGTTTTCTTTGATAAGACAAAAATGTTTTGAATTTCTAATATGTAACCAGATGAATATTCGTTTCTCAAACAAAACCTGAGGAGCTACGAGGTCACAAAAACACACGATTAATTTTGCAAATGGATAAGGATATTAGAGTTGAATACAAGAAGTAGCTTTACTACGATTCGTACATCATCGTCATGAATAATTTGAGACATTTTATTTTAAATTTTCTTAACATACTTCTTATAATTTCTTATAAAAAGGAATATTAAGGACTTTCGTGTCCAAAGTTTAATAAAAAAGTTTCCTTTTATCTACATCAATTTCATTACCTTAAAACTAAATTTAAAAATATGTCTTTGTTTCTAAGAGACATTTTTTGTGTTTCTTCACATTTACTTGAAATACAATTTTTTAGTAAACACTAAAAAGATGTTACATATTTTCCCAAAGGCTTTTTCCCAAGCGGCAACTTCCCAAGGGTATTGTCTCAACTGTGCAATTTCCCATGTGGTCACTTCCCAAGTCTGACCTAGCCGCAGCGTTCGGCCCCTAGCCCATCCTAACTGTAGCGCTCTGTCCTCATTGCAGCCTGCAGCCTGCAGCCCCTCAGAAGGCCTGACCTAACCTTCTCGGAAGTTGCCACTAAGGTTGTTTATCGGTTTAAAAAACGATCGAAAAAAAACTTTTATTTTTCGTTGCGTTTTTTTCTTCTGAAACGATCGTTTTAATTTTTTCTAAAACGATCATTTCGTTTTTAGAAAAAACCTATCGTTATTAAAAACAAACCAATAGTTTTGAACTTTCAAAAACCAAAAAAACGAAAGTTTTTGAAAACAAACATTTTTCTAAAAAAAAATTGCTAGTGAATCAGAGTTTAATGACAATTAATTTCATTTTTTCAGGAAGATAATATTATGAATGTTGTCTCTAATGGTTTTGTTTTATTGAGACAAATAACATGAATGTTTATTAACCTCAAACTTTCCAATCAAAAAATGTATTTTTTCTTTTAAAGGTCATTAACGATTGTAATCGTCATTAACGTTCATTAACGAAGGGTCGTTTTCAAAAATGATCATTTGTTTTAAAAATTAAAAAAATATATCTTTTTAAAACGTTTGTTTTTAAAAACGATTGTTTTTGTTTATCTTCGTTGATTTTAAAACGAAATTATCATTTTTTTTTTAAAGTGAAAACGATCCATCCCAAGTTGCCACATGGAAAACTACACATTTGAGAAGCTGCCTTTTAGGAATTGTCACTTGGGAAATTTCCCCTTGGGAAATTGACCCTTGGGAAATTGCCCCTTGGGAAATTGACCCTTGGGAAATTGCCCCTTGGTAAATTGCCCCTTGGGAAATTGCCACTTTGGAAATTGTTACTTCGGAAATTGTCACTTGGTAAGATAAAATAAATGTACCTGTTGAGAAAACCAGTTTCCTGTCAAAATATTCTTGCTTTCCACTTTCCTGTTGGTTTTCCAGATCACTTTCAACCCAAGCTTTATGAACACCTGACAATAAAACATACAGTGAATCCCAGATATATAAATACATAGCAAGCTTTATGAACACCTGACAATAAAACATACAGTGAATCCCAGATATATAAATACATAGCAAGCTTTATGAACACCTGACAATAAAACATACAGTGAATCCCAGATATATAAATACATAGCAAGCTTTATAAACACCTGACAATAAAACATACAGTGAATCCCTGATATATAAATACATAGTAAGAGTATTTCATAATGCCGTATTACATATTTAAGATCAAATGCCGCGGAAATATGAGTTTAATATTAATATATCAATTGCATTCATATTTCAGAGCTATTAATTCACCGTGAATTAAAAATTTAAAAAAGTTTCTTTAGAATTATCAAAAAGCTTATGACAGTCTATTTATTCATATATCTAGGGATGTTAACGTTTTCATTTTTCAGAAAAACGATCGTTTCGTTATGAAAACGACGACGAAAAATCGAAAACGAAACGATAGTTTTTAAAAATGATCGTTTTTTTTAAAAAGTTCGTTTTTTAAAAATGGTCGTTTTTAAAAAGATCGTTTTTCAAACCGCTCGTTTTTATAAAATTCGTCGTTTCGTTAACGATCGTTGACAACGACCCTTCGTTAACGATCGTTAACGACAACTTTCGTTAACGATCGTTAACGACAACCCTTCGTTAACCATCGTTAGCGACGACACCTTCGTTAACGATCGTTAACGAAGTGAGGAAACCGACCTGAAGGGCATCTGTACTTATCATTGAGTAGTTTTTAAGAAAATATCAAGGGAGTTTTAACTCCCCTACAACTGTTAAACTTCATGTAAGACGACATTCAATAAAGTTGCATGTATTTTTTTCCTCAAAAACTACCGTTTTGATAAAGTTCGTCGTTTCGTTAACGATCGTTAATGACAACCCTTCGTTACCGATCGTTAACGACGACCTTTCGTTAACGATCGTTAACGACGACCCTTCGTTAAAGATCGTTAACATAATAGCCAATTTTTTTTTTCAAAAACGATCGTTTTATCAAAAATGATCGTTTTTTTAAAAACAATCGTATAAAAAACGGTCTCAAAATCGTTTTGATAAAAACGATCGTTTTCTTAAATGATCGCTATTCGTTTTCTAAAAGTTTTAAACGTGTGGGTCGTTTTTAAAAACGATGGTTTTTTTCCGAAAACGAAACGATTATTTATGAAAACGAAACAAAAAACGATCGTTTAACGATCGTTTACAAAAACGATTAACAACCCTACATATATCTGGGATTCACTGTATGATAGAAAACTCTTTTTAATTTTCCTAATTAAGGATATTTATTGGCATTAGCATGTTTGGAGGCTGATGAGGGGGGGAGGGTGTACATTTTGTGCTAAGTAAAATAACGTTAAAAAATATTCGATTTTCTAAAGTTGATCAAAATGTGAGAATGGAATTAGTTATCCACCTTCCAAATCAAAAAGAAAAATTATTCTCTAAAAAGATGAAAAAAATGTTTTATTATTTATTTAATTCTTTTTCTATTTCATCGTAAAAATATTAACCTTTTCAGATATTACAATATTTGTATTCAATTTTTTTATTTTTAATATTCTTCTTTTAAAATATAACAATTAAGATTTCTATAGTTTAAGATATCAATGCTTTGAATAAACAATAAAACATTTTTATCTTATATATTTAATAATACAATATTTTTATGCATCCTTTTTTAAACTAATCAATTTTGTATTCATCTTTAAAAATATTCCAAATATTTATAAACACCAATATTTCGTTAGAATTACAACTTCTTGAATTTTTAAATATTACAATGATTTTGAATATTTTAATTATCTAATGCATACAAATATTTTGAATATTGAATTATTTGATATTTACCTTTCAAATATTCAATATAGCCATAGATATTTTCAAAAATATTAAAAGTTAGTTTTACCTTCTCAAAAATTCCGATAAAATCATCAGGGAAATCTTCTGTTCTAAAAATCAAAATTGGAAAATTAAATGATTTTTTATATTTTTAAACATGACATAAATATAATCATAAATATAACATAAAAATAATTGTAAATAAAACATAAATATAACCGTAAACATAATCATGAACATAAATAAATATAATCATAAACATGTCATAAATATGGTCATAAACATGACATAAACATAAGCATAATCATAATAATAACATAGTCATAGTTATAATTATAAAAATAACATAATCATAATCTTAAACATGATAATATTCATAACATATAATGATAATCAAAACATGACATTTGTAGTAAATGCCGTACTCATAAAACTGCTTCCAGATAGATATAAAGACAATGTACAACCTAATTTATCTAGGAGTGTTCAACTGTATTTATTACAAATGAGGAGAGGGGGGGAGGGGGAGAGAGTAATGAAAAATAGGGTTTTCTACATTCTATGCAACTCCACTTTTGCTGTCTTCTGCAAATATTGAATATATGAACTCCCTTTCACTTTTCCGCATAGCCTTTGGCCATCTTTGTTCCTCCTTTGTACTGATACTTATAGAGATAATATACAGGAACAGGTTCCTGATCTTTTCCAATACAATGAGCTCAGTATCTACAACTTTGGCTTGGTCCAGTTCATCCTGGTCATCGTCAAAGACTTCTTTTAATCCCTTCCCTGTGTTGCCATTTTGCCACATTCTTTGTTGATATCCTGTCGTTTCTGTGCTACTGGAGCTGTTTATGTGTCCATTTTGATGTCTGGTTCTGGAATGATTCTAGAGTTAGGATTGAGTATTAACCTCTTGATCTCATCTACCTATAACTGTATGATGATTTCTAGTTCTTGAGCTAACTACAGCTGCTGGATCAATGTGTGCATCTCTTTGGTTCGAATCAAATTAGGAACTTTTCCCATCTCATCGGTTTCTAGGATTGCAGGATGTGGCGTATATTACTTGGAAACCCATGCACACTACTATCTCCTCTGAATTCTTTTATCGTGTCTATGCTGACCAGCCAAGGTTTTCCTTTCTCATACACTTCTTTTACTTCAGCTAATGAAGGAGCGATTTTTCTAATAATCTTGTATGGTCCAGCCCACTATGATCTCAACTTATCACAGCTTCTAGGGATAATCCTTAGATCAAAAACCCAGACCCACTCCCCAACTTCAAACTTTGACAAGATTGGCTTGTAGTATTGAGTATTTGGACGTACTGTGGCTTGTCGTTTTTCTCGCATACCAGCATAACCAGTTGGAACCTTTCTTGTATTACTTCTGTCCAGTCAGATATTTCCATCTCACTGTCTGCTTTTGGTATGGAATATATCCAATTTACAGGCAGTGTTTCTTCCTGCCCAAACCTGGCAAAGAATGAAGTCTGGCCTGTACTGCTATGCATCGTTGTGTTGTAAGCCAAAAAGGCAGTTTTTACACCCAGATTGGTATGAAATACTGTTTTCTTACCAGCAAGATTCTCAATAATGAACAGATAAACGACTGGATTACCCTCAAATCAAAACCGATAACAAAGAAAACTCTTTATATCCTGAAAAAATGATATAAATAACAACATGTAAATTATTACAATGAATTTGTTTATAATGAAAAGATTCTTACGATCTATTTTTGGATGTTTAGGGTTAAGTCGTCTGACAGTCCTAAGACGTTTTTTTTAAACTTCTGAAAAGAATGACAATTAATTATTAACAAAAGTCACTAATTCTTTTTGTGAAAATATTCTTTGTTTAACTTTTGAAAATGGATGGATTCACAATGTTTTAAGATATTTACACTCCGATGGGAGAACAAAGGACCGAAGCCTAAAATTATTTGGTTTGGAATTTAGTGTCTCCGAGAGGGGTTTCTAAGTAAAGATGACTTTACATGTATCATTGTTAATGGTTGACAAATATGTTTAACTCCTGGAATAACTCTTTCCATAACTGGTTTAAAAACTCTCAGCCATTATCCGAGTGCATCTGATTTGGTAAACCAAAACGTTGAAATGTTCACGAATTAAAACTCTTGCCATTGTACCAGCCTCTTTGTTGCAAATTGGATAAGCACTGGTGAATCTTGTAAATCCATCTTGCACCGACAACAAATAACGGTTCTTTCTCAGTGTTTCTGACAGCGTCACCAGATCTATGAAAACTTTCTCTTCTATGTTACCGTTTGTACTGGGCACATGAGGTCCCATCTTGAATTTGATGCTTCTTTCCTTGGTGAGACAGATATCACAACGTTCTTTTAAACTTCAAATGTTGTCTCAAGTTGTTAAATCAAAGAAAGTTTTTTGAAATAAACGTTGTTTCCCTGTGTATAAACTCGGTCCAAAACCTGTGATCAAATCATCGACATTCAACTTGCCAACACATAAATTATCACGGCATGTTCATGGGTAGGGATGTTAACGTTTTCATTTTTCAGAAAAACGATCTTTTCGTTATGAAAACGACGACAAGAAATCGAAAACGAAACTATCGTTTTTATAAACAATCGTTTTTTTAAAAAGTTTGTTTTTAAAAAATGGTCGTTTTTAAAACGATCGTTTTTCAAAACACTCATTTTAAAAAACGATCGTTTTTTACAAAATTCGTCATTTTGTTAACGATCGTTAACGATGACCCTTCGTCACCGATTGTTAACGACAACCCTTCGTTAACGATCGTTAACGACGACCCCTTTGTTAACGATCGTTTACGAAGAGAGGAAACCGACCTAAAGGGCATCTGTGTACTTATCATTGAGTAGTTTTTAAGAAAATATCAAGGAGTTTTAACTCCCCACAAATGTTAAACTTTATGTAAGACGACATTCAATAAAGTTGCATGTAATTTTTTTTCCAAAAACGACCGTTTTGATAAAGTTCGTCGTTTTGTTAACGATCGTTAACAACGACCCTTTGTGAACGATCGTTTACGACGACCCTTCGTTAACGACCATTAACGAGAACCCTTCGTTAACGATCGTTAACATAATTGTCAATAAAATCCTTTTTCAAAAACGATAGTTTTTTTTAAAAACGATCGTTTTCAAATCGATCGCTATTCATTTTCTAAAAGTTCTAAACGAGTGGGTCGTTTTTAAAAACGAAACAAAAAACGATTGTTTAACGATCGTTTACAAAAACGATTAACAACCCTATTCACGGGCCACTTGTGTCAAATACACCAGAAAATTTTGTGTTCTCCACAGGTTTTTGTTTGTTGGGTCTGACTCTGAAACAGTATACTAGCAATATTCAAAGCCGACCAGTCCATGGTGAGAATGAAGGGCTCGTTGGAGTCAAAGTCTAGATATGCTTGAAGCTTTCATGCAGTGAACTCCGCTTTTAGTTCCTTAAAATCTTTCTCCATGTCATCAGACCACTCTAATTTTAAGGCCTTTTTCATCAAATCCATGGGAATTGTCAAAGCTGAGTACCTGAGAATGAAACTCCTTTCAGTTCGTTCTTGATATAGTCCTCCAATATTGTCACTCCATCTTAAATCACTTAATGTTCCAAGAAAGTTCTGGCTGACAAATCTTGGTATTTGTTGGCTGTATCTTGATCCCTGCTTTAGCATGAGCTTGTAATACCTTCCTAAGATGTTCCAAGTGTCCCCATGAATTTTAAAGCCTTAGGTTATCATATATAACATAATCATAATCTTAAACAAGACAGAAACATTATCATGACATTAACATAATCATAAACATAACAGCATAATCATAATTATAAAGATGATTATAGAAACAAAATCATAAACACAACACAAACATCATCTTGTAACTAAGAGACTTACTGAATAATGGAACCAAGAGACATCAGAACCGCGTTTTTGTTGTTTCCTAAAAGAAACAAAACAATAATAATAATATTCAATGAGATTATCCTAGCTAACAAAGAAACAATAATAATATTATTAAATGAGATTATCCTAACACCAATTGTTGTGAGTTAGAAAAATGAAAAGTTCTATAATTATGCTAAATTATTGGTACAACTTATGGTTTGATTTTATGCCACAAGTTTAACAAAAACAAATATATCAAGCTACTGAATTAAAATTCAAATTAACATTTTTGTTTTTCTCAATAGCTCTTCAATGGAAGAAATTATGATAAAAAGCATATAAAAAATTTATCTGACGTGCAGTTTTCTTCAGTTTGATGTGAAAAACGAGTTTAGCCAATTACATTTATTTCAAAGTTGACAGCTTAACAAATTTTCAAGTTTCAAAATGTTTTACCAGCCAAAAACTGTTGAATGTTTGGGGTCAATTCTTCGCCTTCTCTGCAGTGGATGAAACCAACCTAAAATTTAACCAATTTAATTCCTTAGTTAAATTGTCAAAAGAGTTTATGATAAAAAGAGAGGTAGTAAGATTTTTGAAATTGACTGTTGTAAGTCTATTGTTGACCTTTTTGACCTTGTTGATTTCAAAAGTTCACAATTTGTTTGACGGAATGCGGTTTGGGAAAAATCTACGTTTTGCGCGCGAAATTGTATACATTCACAAATAACCTCTTTTCTACGTTTCAATTCTTCCACATTTTGAACGGAATTTTCTCCACATCAAAGTAAGCAAGCATATGGGGAAAAAAAATAAGAATGTCACTTTTTAGTAGCTTGCATCATGAAATCTTTTTAAAGCAATTTTGTGTCAAAGATTCAGAAATAGTTATTTGTTGTTGTGCTGAAATCTCTTATCAATATTTGCAAAAACTTAAACAATATTACAAAACAAACTTAACATAATATCCAAATAAACGAATTATGTACTATTTGAGCTAGAAATAGAAGAAAAGTCGAATTTTGTTCCTAAATATTTTTTGTGCATTAGTGCAAATTTTAATTATGACTAGCTGAATTGCCCGTGGAATTAAAAAAAAAATTGAATTTTAACCTATCATTGCTAGGGTACTTGAAACCCAGTCTTTTGGGGCTTGGGGCTTAATTTCTTTCCTAGCACTTTCGTTTTTGACACTTTCATAGTGAAATTTTTTGACTTTTAATGAATAGAAATTTAAAGGATTTTTTGTTAAAATTCTTTTTTTTGTATGCATAGGGTGGGGGTACAGGTCCAGTCTGTGTTTAATAAAAAGTCTAAAATATCCCATAGCTTTTTTATGAATTATGACTAAAGCTACAGATACAGAAAACTGTATTTAAAAAGCCCTGGAAAATACATGTAGAAACATGTGTCACACTTTGAAATTTATTAACACAAACAAAATACTTAAAATTTTGTTCCTTTTTTTGGCATTTTTTACATTCCCTAGCACCCAAACTATTAAAGTTATTGGGCTAATTTTTTTCAAAAAGCTGTTCTTGAACAATAGGGCTGTAAGCATGCTTGGCAACCCTATACCTATCCTCATAAGGCATATACATGGATTCATGGGGGCCCCCAGCCTTTATAGGGTTAAATAATGGTTAGAGTAAAAAACTTGTTAATTGGCGTAGAAAATAGTAAAAACAAAAACAAGGATAGTATTGGAATAAAAGAATGATGAAAAAGGACGAACCGAACTCAACAACTTATTTTTTCGAATGAACTTTTAAAAACATGATTGTATTTTACTGAACCAACGTTTTTATTGAACAAACAATTTTACTGAAGAAACGATCTCAGTCAAAGAATGATTTAATTGAAGGAAAACCTAACGAAAATTAAAGATAATTCTAAAAACAAAACAAATTCAAATTGTTTTCGAAAGACTGAATAAAAAAACATAAATATTATGGAATTATAAACGTTGGTATTAAGATTAAGAACCTGCACTAGAGTCTACTGAAAGGATATAAATTTTACTGCAGTGACAGTTTGAAAACTCATGTAAAGATTAAAACTTTATGATTTATCATTTCTAGTATACTATCTATGTAAATTTCAAATGATTAAATTAAAATTGTTAAAATAAAGCTTTGCCAGTTTATATATGAATTTGTAAATAAAATGAAAAACAAATTTTATTTTGCTTAATTTTTGTCCGAATTATTTCCAACGAATGTTAGTTTTATAGCAAAGTTTTTGCAGCAAACTCAAATTTTCTAATCCCCTTTTATCTTTGCAAACCTAATGTTTAAACCATTAAAATATCAAACTAAAATTTGATCTTAAAAGAATTTATGACATGAAGTGTCAAAAGTCTACGACATCCGGTTACAATGATAAGGGATAGATTTGAAAGTTGTAAATTGTTTCTCAAACTCATTTCTTTATTTACTTAATTAATTAAGTTTCTATAAAGTTTGCTTCTTTTAAACTGAGATTTAAATCAGTAATACTAAAAACATTTTCTGAAAAAAAATGATGTAAGTATTCATTCATTCAAGTCACTGTTTTAAGAAAGGGTGACTAAAAATTACGTTGACGAGTTTCATAAAACAAAAATATTTTTTATATTTTCCTGAGGTTTAAAAGAGATTGGTTTTATTGCAAGTCCGTACAGGAAATTAATTAGTAGGACAACAGATCTAAAATATTAATTAGTAGGACAACAGAACTAAAATATTAATTAATAGACAACAGATCTAAAATATTAATTAGTAGGACAACAGATCTAAAATATTAATTAGTAGGACAACAGATCTAAAATATTAATTAGTAGACAATAGATCTAAAATATTAATTAGTCTAGCTGAATTGCCCGTGGAATTAAAAAAAAAATTGAATTTTAACCTATCATTGCTAGGGTACTTGAAACCCAGGAAACGCCAGGGGGGGGGGTCAATTTGACCCCCCCCCCTCTAAATCCCATCATTGGAAAGCTCTTATATTCTACTTGTAGAATCTGCACAAAAATTTGAAAATTTACAAATATTGAATTTTTTTTGTAAAATCTAGTTATAAAAGTAAAAATGACTGCCAAACAAATGTCCAAAAAATGATAAATTTACATTTTTGAAATGTCATTTCAAATATGCAATTTTTTTCTCAAAAATTTAAATAACCTGAAGTGTAATTAAGAAAAATTAAAAATGTGCAAATTTTTTTTGACAGGTAGTATGCAAATAATTTGCAACAATTTCTTTGCAAAACTTTTGCAATCTGTTTTCTTATCTCAAAAGCTTTCCAAAAAGCTAAAAACCAAAAAAGCCAAAATCTGACAACTGAAAGTGGGTCAAACTATAGTTTGTTACAGGAAAAATTAGTCAGTTAGGCAGTGTGCCTGGGAACTCAGGCAATTAGTATAGATTCCTGGTTTTGCACTTAAAGGGAGGGCTATGTTTACTTAGGAAAAGTCAGAAAATTTCAATAGACTCAAATCAATACTTTTTGAGTTTTATAAAAAAAAACTACAGGCCACCCCAGCAGGAATAGGATTAAAAAGGAAAAAATCATTTCGAAATTTATTCGCCTATATTCCCCCTAGGGTACCCATAGTTTTCCTCGAAAAATCTAAGCCAACATCTATCCAGTCCAGTCGTTTGACAACCTAGTTAAAGGGACAGACCGACTATGTAAGGTAGTTAAACTGAGTATGCATGCAGTGTTGTGGAAAAATTCTTTTTTAAATTAAGAAACAGTTGAGATTACCTGTACACAGTGCACAGTTCCTTTATAAGTTTAATATTTAAAGAATACCTGCATTGAGTTTGGTAATCGTGGATTATGATTGGATAAGAAGGTTGATGAGAAATAGAAACTGAAGTCTGCATTTCTCTCCAGCCTGTTAACAACAATAACAACAACAACAACAAAGTTGATAAAAACAATTTCAATAATCGTCGTACAAACAAAATTATGAAACAAAAAAAAAAAAAAAATTTTAAAAAGCTAAAATAGAAAACATAGAACTTTTATGCAAGAACAATTAAAGAAATAACGAAAAAAGCTGATGAGCTTGCAATTTCAATAATATACGAAATAAAAATATTTTTGGCAAAAAAATGTTTTTTTATAAAAATGTACCTCCAATACTGATTTTCACTGAGAGAGAAGTTCTGAAGATGTTTTGCTGCCACGGCTAACTACAGTCCTTACGGGCATAATATAAGCTTTTAATGATAATCATCCAATTAAATAGGACAACAGATCTAAAATATTAATTAGTAGAACAACAGGTCTAAAATATTAATTAGTAGACCAACAGATCTTAAATATTAATTAGTAGGACAACTGCAGATCTTAAATATTAATTAGAAGGACAACAGATCTGATATATTAATTAATAGACAACCGATCTAAAATATTAATTAGTAGACAACAGAACTAAAATAATAAATAGCATGACAATAGATCTGAAATATTAACAATCAACATGGGAATTCGGTGACGATTTTGATATCGTCTTTGTAAATGATTTTTTGATTTAGTATAGTGATGCCTTCAAGAAAAGCTGTAATCCGTCTGTTGGAGTTTTTTTATGTTTTTATTGCATATCGTATTGTACTTAGTGATTAAAGAAATTTCAGTGCAGTTGTTCCTTTTTACGGTTTATCTCAGAGATAAGAGAGTTACAGAGATCGATGAACACCTATAATATGCGATATTTTCTACAGCATGTTCTATTGTGTATAAGTACTGTACACGACCAATCAGGAGACATCTGTATTTAGGGATATTTAAAGATCTTTGAATAGGAAATGCAAAATCTTTAAAAATAAACAATATTCATAAACGTTATGTTTTATGTTTAAAATTGGAGTATTTTTTTAAAAGTTGTAAAACTTAACCCCTGAATGCAACAACTGGCCGTCAGATGTCAGTTAAAAAAACATTACATGGAACCGCAGCATGGCGTGCCGGGACATTATAGGCATGCTCAGCCTATCCAAGTAAAGTGTATGAGCAGTCTGTGTAGTCTGTTATTTATCTTGCAGAAATAGTACAGAATGTAATACAACGTTTTGCAGAATAACAAAATGAAGTCTTTGACAGTTTACATAAAATATAATCTAGCAGACCTAACTTTATTTTAACCAAAGTGAAGTTAGGTAACACAACGCTAAGTTTTTACAAAGACGATTTCGAATTCGTCTCTTAATTAAATCCCATGTTTATTGGGACACAATGTACCTGCTTACTAAGCTGTCTGCACTGGGATGGGACCAAGCTAAAAAATAATTTATTTTTAAAAAATAAATAAAAATGCCTTAACCAATTTAGTAATATAGCGCGCTCTAGCATAATTTAATGTCATGGTAAAATGTTTTTTTAAAACAGTGGCCAGCCATTATATCAAAACAATTAGTTATGTTTCAAATTAAAAGTTTACAAATAAATAAAAAGATTCAGTTTATAGACAACTTCTCTTTGTTTACAAGTTTTAACTTTTCTTATGTTTTAAAGTTTGGAAGGAATTAAAATTGAAATAGAAAATATATTCTTCATATTGTTTTAATACACACGACGAAGACTGTACATTGTACAATGTATAGTCTTCATATTGTTTTAATACACACGACGAAGACTGTACATTGTACAATGTATAGTCTTCATATTGTTTTAATACACACGACGAAGACTGTACATTGTACAATGTATAGTCTTCATATTGTTTTTATACACACGACGAAGACTGTACATTGTACAATGTATAGTCTTCATATTGTTTATATACACACAACGAAGACTGTACATTGTACAATGTAACATTTTTTTGAAATCTTTGTTGAATTCAGAGACAATTCGAAAAATGTAAAGAACCCTCTTTTTATGTATTATTATATTTAAAAATTTGTGATATAAACACAAAAAAAAACAATTATGAATCTATTATTGCTGCTTATAATATGTATAACCTGGGTTATCTGGGTGGCCAAGACTAAAGGATAAAAACTGTTCAGCATTTGCTGGCAGAAAGTGAATGGTTGGCACTTGAAAGTGATCACCTTAAAATAAATGCTATTTTAATTTTCTAAAAATATAATCTGATCAAAAACTTGTCATCATGTTTTTTTGCACTGTATCAGAATTTCCCATTTAATTCTAAAGACATTTGTGGTGTCTAAGATTTTGTTGTTGCGAGGGTGGTTGGTTAACAAGAGTTAACATATATCGTCGTTTAAGAAAATTTGGCAAGTAAAAATTCATTAAAATAAAAATATACAAACTCGTTTAAAAATGTTTACTTTCAGAAAGTCTGACTAAAGAATGCAGCCAATCATTTCAAAAAACAAGACGACCTTTAAGTCATATTTAGTGGGACATTGTCACACCAGATATATATTGTAAGTAAAGGTTAAAATTGTAGTATCGGAATTCATTAATTATTTATTACAAATTGCAAATTACAAATAGATTGAATAAACACTCGTCTAAAACTATTTCAGGGGGGGGGGGCATAAGTCAAAAGAGGGTCTATTGCCTTTTTAGTTTTCTGTTTTAGGAACATTTCTATGTTTAAATGCAAATAGAACTCGTTTTTTCTAATTTAAGTTTACCTAAAATTATTCCAACTTCGTTCAAGAAAGGATTTGCGATTACTAAATCCCATTTTTTATTCAGAACATACTTCATTTCCGTCAGAGCTTCGTCATGAATCTAGAATATTTAAGAATCTACAGAAGTCGTCGTATATTTCAATACAGTGAAAACGACTTTAATTTAAATTAGTCTTAATTGTATTGTTATAAACACCGACCATTTGAGAGCTTCATTAAAAGTTTAAAAATTGCTTCTTGATTGTCATCCAACATTTTCCAGTTTTAAATGGTTATGACAATTGAAATACTGGAACGCATGGTAATTGACAAACCTTGGTGATATATCTCAGTAAATGTTAACTGGACATTTTAAAGAGTTTAAGAGCTGTTTTGAATTATAGAGATCTAAATTACGTTTCTAGTTAAAAGAAAAACTTTATAAGGTGACTTGAACCCATAGTTGTGGACCTTAGATTTTTGAAACTATGCATTCGGTTAGTTCAAATAATCTTAGGTTGAACTAAGGTTAACACCATCATGTTGCAAAAATTAAAAAAATTGAATTTGTTGCAAAGACCCAATTCCTTTACCTCTGCCATCCTATCCGGGAATAGATAAATCATTCTCAAAAGCTTCCAAATATGTCCTAAAAATGTACAGTAAAGAAGCTAGAATACTAATATGCATATTTTATATGATATTTACCATTTCAAGTACTTTTAATAATAAATATGATATTTACAATCGAACGCAACCGATGAAAATTGCCGTGCACGCATCAATCATATTTTTTGTAAAATTTACTGTATCATAATTCCTCCTGAAATTGACATAAAAGAAGTAAAATAATAAGTGATCTAATAAAGAATAAAATCCCTTTTATTTTTCGCGAACACTCCCTTTAATGATTAATTCTCTCCATACCTAAAACAGAATCAGAAGCTAGCAAAATACTTCTGAAATCTTCATCAATTTCCTTTAGTGCTTTACTTTTCACAAGAATCTAAAATAGTCAAAATAGAATTGATTTTTTGGAACATTCCGCCTTTACATTTTCGCGCCTTTTCTGTAACCCCTCCCCCCCCCCCCTTCACCCAAAAATATAAAATGTTTTCTTTAGGACCACTTTTCAATAAAGATTTGACTGAAAATAAAAATATATTTTGAAAAAAACTGTTTATCTTCTGATCTTAGAGTTAGATATTAGATTAGACATTTTATTTACTTGTATTCCCCAAGGGGCCTGGCTTCTAGTAGAATTTTCTATGAATTTCAGTTTTCTAACATCCACATCATTCCAGGTTTTGCAAAAATATCCCTAGACCCCCCCCCCTCCCTTAAAAAAACATGTCTGATTCACAACGGCACCCTAAGCTTTGTTTAATCAAAAAAGAATCAGATACATATCCATGATTTCTTTTGAATAATTGTTTATTTTCCATTCTGGTTTCTCGACAAAAAAAAGACTTGCGAAAATTGTGAGAAAACGGACGCTACCTTCCACATTATTAATCAGATAAAAATGCACTGTCTTTTAAAATTGAAAATGACTTTAAATTATGACAGTCCCTTTAATAAAACATAAAATTAACCTGTGTAAAATTTACTTCCGGTTGGAGTTTATAGCTTGAGACGAACGTGAGATGATGTCCGGATCTTGCTAAACCTGAATTAAATTTTTTTTCTTCATAATCCCGACAAGATGTACGTACCTCCGACATTGACAAAGAATTTACTCATATTCTATGCTAGTTATTTTCTAAATATTTAAGTCTTTTCATTCTTTTCTCCGTTGTAATTTGTATGTTTAGATATGTTTAGGTTTACCGTTTAAAAAGACATATCTTATTGATACTCAGTTTTGTTACAGTTTTTAAAAAAGACAAATATTTTTTTGTCTGAAAGAAAGACAGATATACACAGCTGGGGAAAAAAACTACATTTTTACCGTAATATTGCATTAACCGCAAAATGATGAACATTTTGATCGAAATTGTGATTGAAAAGGAAAAGTATTTGAGATTTTTCTAACATTCTGTTCCATGCTTTCCTCATTGAGAGCAAAATATTAGGGTTTTTTTTTCTATCAGTCAAGACTTGAAGATATACAAAGAAAGCCATTTGTTTATACTGACTATAAGCGTATGCAAAGATAGAAATGCCTGATTAAAAACAGTACTTTTGAAACCTTTGCCGTCAATTATGAATTTTATATGAATTTTTATAATTTTGAAAACTGATTATTTTCAATTATGGGTTTTCTACAAAAGTTGCTTGTTCATTTCTACTAATAGAAAAACGTATGAGAATTATCAAAAATAATTATATGTTTAAACCTAGACAATAGTTTCCATATTATTGCTTTGATTTTAAGAGTACTGTTGTGAATTGGGCAGTCATTTTTGAATCGAAGGGTATTTATGAATCTTAACATTAAGAGTATTTCTCTGCGGTCGAAATTTTTAGAAATTAAAGATTTGGTTTTTCATCTAGTTTTTCTAAATAACAACAAAAAATGAAAGGTTGACTCTAAGCGGTTGTGCCATTTCAAATTATTTTAAATTCTGTGAATTTTAATTGTTGAAATAATTAAAAATCTAATTTCTATTTGATATAAATACCAACCTCTGGCTAATGGTTCCCACGCTGATACATGTGATCTGATAGAAACAATTTATTTATTGTTAATTTAATTATTTTTTACTTCTGACACTTTGCTCATCTTTTTCGAAAAATAAAAGTAGTATTTTATTGATCTTCAATCAATGTCTTTAAACCCAACTTTTGTAAAATTAAAAGAAATTAAAAGAGAAAATGAAGGTCCTACTAAAATGGAGGTTCTACTAAAATGGAGGTTCTACTAAGATTCCCGACTATATAATAAAAAAGAAGCTTTCCTAAATATTTGGGGAACAATTTGTTCATGTTTTGTTTAATTGGTAAATTTAACACGAAAATATAATTACTATGTAAACTTGGGGCTGCGGGCTGCAAACTTAATTCTTCCCAGTGCGGTTTTTAATTCGCTTTCTGAGAAAGAAAAGAAAAAAGAGCATTTAAAAAGATAAATCATAATTATGCGGAGTTTGTTTAATCTTTTTATTAGTTGATAAAAATTTCTTTAATTCTATCATATTCAATTCATACCTATGATCCCTAATTACGTTGTATGGATATTGCTAACTTTAATAAATGATCGATCTCGATATCCAATTTGGTCACTTTTATATTCTTGACCCTTTAAGATATCCAAGCAGGATATGACCAATCGCAATAGCATGAATTCTATGAATTCTGATGTTAGATCATGTACACACTACACAGTATACAGTTTGAAATATCAAAGGTTTGCACCATCAAGTTTAAAAAAATAGGAATTTGAAAATTCGAGTTTGTTGCAAAAACTCCATTTCTTTAATAAATGGAATTATTTAAAAAATGTTGTATTATTTATCGCACCTCAAAATTATGTTTTTGAGCAATATTGCGAAAAACCGCGCAAACTTCATTGCGAAATATTTATCACAATAAAGGCAATGATAAGCAAAATGAAAAAATGTTTTTGTACATAGTGTGCTTTGTTTTATTGCGCAAAATTGTGCAATCGCGATTGTTTTACGCAACATGCGCAAAAAATAATTACTCGAAGTTTAGCGCAACAAATCGAAAAGAAAAATGCCATTGCGTGGAAACCCTTAATACAACAGTTTTGAGTTCAGGACTCAGGGCTCATTTATAGATTAGAAATTAGAAATTAAAAAATAAGATTGATCGACTTTTATTCTACTTTGTTCGGACAGTGAACGACTTTTTTAAATATTTTTATTTTATATTCAGATTTTTTAAAAATAATTAAATTGTTTTCCTTGAAGAAGCGGGAATATACATGAGTATATTTGCTGGATTTACCCCTGCACATCCCAGTACAATCATTAAGCAAACTATCATGATGCTGAAATATAATGTGATTTAAAATTCATGGATCCACTGGAATATTCCGTACAGTAAACTATCATGATGCTGAAATATAATGTGATTTTAAATTCATGGATCCACTTGAATATTCCGTACAGTAAACTATCATGATGCTGAAATATAATGTGATTTTAAATTCATGGATCCACTGGAATATTCCGTACAGTAAACTATCATGATGCTAAAATATAATGTGATTTTAAATTCATGGATCTACTGGAATATTCCGTACAGTAAGCACCAAGAAACATGAAAACACTCCTTGGTAAAATGGTTGAAATAAAAAAGTTTTCAAAATGCAAATCCAAATCAAATTTTTTTGTTTTAAAGGGATATTGTAGGATCAATTAATTAGAACAGTATATCAACATTTTAAATAAAAATTGTGAAAGGAAACCCAAGCAGATTGCATTTCCGTAAAAAAATCACAACAGTGCAGAGTATAGACGAACAAGAAAATGGCATTTTTTTGGTTTCCGATTTTAATTAACTCATGAAAGTATAACAATTGTTTCTAGAAGGCTAGAATAAATATGTAAAAGTGATGATAGTGAAAAGTCATTTAAAAAATACTATTTACAAATATTTGAATTTGAATTCTGAAATATTAAATACAATGTAATATGTACATGTTTCAATATTGAGTGATATATTCCAACTGACTAATGTTATCTTCAGTTGTTATAAACTACAGATTACTCCAGAATCCCGGCACAAGAGACTTTATTCTTATGCAATCATAATCTTTTAAAAACAAGGTTAAGTACTAAGAATATTGGAATGTAGATTTTAGAACACAATGATTCCCTTAGAATAGACAAGTAGACATTTTGGAACACATTGGTTCCCTAGGTAGATATAGACAAGTAGACATTTTGAAACACATTGGTTCCCTAGGTAGACATAGACAAGTAGACATTTGGAACACATTGGTTCCCTAGGTAGACATAGACAAGTAGACATTTGGAACACAATGGTTCCCTAGGTAGACATAGACTAGTAGACATTTGGAACACATTGGTTCCCTAGGTAGACATAGACAAGTAGACATTTGGAACACATTGGTTCCTAAGGTAGACAAAGACAAGAATACATTTTGGAACTAGTAATAGACTGAAGTATGACACTTTGGAACAAAAAAAATTGATACCCTTGGAATAGGGTGAATAATGAAACTTTGGAACAGGGTGATGTTAATACTCTGGAACAGGGTGATGTTAATACTCTGGAACAGGATAATGTAAATACTCTGGAACAGGATGATGTAAATACCATAAAACAGAGTGATGTAAATAATCTGGAACAGTATGATATAAATTCCCGGAAGTAGTGTGATATGGAACAGTTTGATTTAAATACTATGGAACAGCTTGATGTGCAAATATATAAATCTCAACAAAATAAAAGCTACAAAACATTTAAAAAACAACAGTACTAGGGTTTTTTTTACATATTCTGATCTATCAAATCAAGTTAGTTTGATTTAGAAATAATTGATAATGAATCACCCTGTACATATGTATATAGTAGATAAGTGCATTCTTATCACATCTTTATTCTATTCCTTTAAAAATTATATAATAATCATATTTACCCCAGTGGAGATATGCAACATTGTCATCTTTGCAAGGAGAGTAACTTGAAATTACGCTTACAGTCCCTTTAACCCATGTTTTTGTTTTGTTTAGGCTTTAGTAATATTAGATTAGAACCTTAATATTGTCAATCGGTTAAACTGTGCTAAAAATCATCAACAAAAGTCTCAAAATAGCAGTGTATAATTGAATGTCCCAACTATTGGGACAAATAAATCCTGATATTCTAATATTTTAAATATTTCATGAATAAACGTAAGTTTAAACTTACAGTGACGGTTTTATATGGAATGTTACACAGACTTCTTCCAGCCTTGGTTCCCTTAAGAATTGGAATCTAGTCTGTTTCTTCCAGCCTTGGTTCCCTTGAACTGGAATCTAGTCTGTTTCTTCCAGTCTTGGTTCCCTTGAACTAGAATCTAGTTTGTTTCTTTTCCAAATCATAAAGTAAATATATGTCATTTAAAGATGAAATTATGTCCTGAAGAACGAACTAAATCTTTGAATCGTTTTATTTTATGAAAAGAGCCTTAAATTGAAAATGTATGCACAAAATGATAAGGATATATGTAATAAATTGGTATTTACACATCTTATCTAATCTAAAAAGTAAAAACCTCATCAGATACAACATACAAAATTGGCTCCCCCCCCCAAAAAAAAATGCAAAATTGCAATTTATCATGATTCAGATTGTTTTTAAAAGGTTTCTTTGTTTTTTTAATCTCAGTCATAATTGTAAAAATTGTGTTATAAAAAAATATAATTTAAACCAACCAATTTATCAAACTATTTTCATTAGGAAAATTAGGAAACAATTGAATTGGAATTAATTGGAATTAGCCAGAAAAAGAAAAGAAAAAAAATTCATTCATTCAAACAACTACGGGGTGGAGGGGCATGACAAATGCCCTCTCCTCCCCCCCCCCCCCGACCACCACCGACCCTTTTTAGGGTTACCAGAAACTTTTGAATTAATAGCTTCGCATAAAATTAAGTAAACCATGTAAAATGACATCAAAAGTTTTTGTTATTTAATCTTATTCAATTAAACCCAAACTTCTTAGTACATCTTATTTTGAGACGTCTTATTGTACTATATGAAAGAATTAGCCAATTGCTAAGTTCAAACAAACCACTAATAGTTCACACCAACCCAAATATTAAACGATTCACGAGACAATACTTTATTTAAACGAAAATTGATATCAAACGATTATTATATAGATTGCAGGGAATTGAGGTACGAGTATATCTGACAGAAAACCACTATTCTTCCACTCCTCTGGGGTCTGTAGATCATCATCAACTGACTCTTGTTTCTGTTCAGGTTGACCTGCCCACTCCAGTCAGAAATCCCTATTTTCTACAAAATACCAGGTGAAGTCCACATTGGATATCCCCGGATTCCTTGAACCTCTCAACTCGGCGTCAGGTAAAAATATATTTTACCCGCTAGAATATATACAACAGAGAATAGGGATAAATCAAATAGATTATCAAGTACAATAGGTGGCAACAGAGAAATTAACAAATTATGCACGACGTCACAAGTGTCAAATATAACAAGGAAAACGAAATTTTCTCATATTAGTTGACATGTTTTCCAAGATTAAATAAAAAAAAAGTGTAAAAACAGAATCTAAAGAACACATAAAATTGCACTTATTTTACTATAAGAAAAGCACTTTATTCTACAATGATCACTATTGTTAATGATTTTGTCGGACACGAAAAAACTGAATTGACACTTGTGACGACAGAATAAAACTGTTTTGAGAGTGATACAAATTCTACGTTGCCATCTATTGTACTAGAATTTATTTGGGATAAATATTCTCTGTTCGCAAAATCATCGAAAACCATCGTTTTGCTCAACTGCTACGTTATTATCAGAAAGAATTAAAAATCATTTTGTGAATTTTGTAAGTTAGCTAAATTATGCAAGCTTACAGAGCATTAAAGTAAGGATAGGCATGATTTGACTGTTTTTAATCAGATTGTTAATCACAATAATTTTACAAAAAGTTAGATGATTATTTCGATGTAATGCTTATGCGTAAGTGAAAGAAGTCGTTATATGTAATCTGGGTAATTTCCCGAAACGAAACAACAACTACAACCCAAATGGTATATTATTGACCATAGGTTCAAAAATAAATATGTGACCACCACCCCCCCCCCTTGTTTTTGCCATTGAGTTATATTGTTTACTTACAGCTCATACAGATAAACCGGTGTTCTAAAAATAAAGAAAATCTGCCAGATTAGTGATTAATTAAGCAAATATAACTTTAAAAATAAGAAACGCTTTTTCCAATTATTGAAAAGAATTAATAAAAAAATGGTATCCCTCTCCTCAAAAATTAAACATATATGTAACCCCACAATTCCTTTGCACATAAGTATATAAACATTACCCTTTATTATCAAACGAGAGGTAATATTAGATTAGAACCTTAATATTGTCAATCGGTTAAACTGTGCTAAAAATCATCAACAAAAGTCTCAAAATAGCAGTGTATAATTGAATGTCCCAACTANGGGGGGGTTTGGAAGATATGATATCATGAATGCTATTATATAACTTGAGATAGGTCAAGCTTTCCTATGCAAATAGTGTCGTAACAATACCAACCTATTCTTCAATCTAACACATGTTTGTGCGTGTGTGGACAAATGCGTCGTAAACATAACAATTTTGTGCGTCAAAATTTAATCCAAAAATTTCCCTTTTTTCATTGTATTTTGAAATAAATCTAGAATATAATTTCCTTATTTTCCTGTGCCCTTTAAACGTGTATACACTCTACAGTCTTGATTAATAATAATGAATTATGTAAAAGTTGCAAATGTATAAGTGTGTTTAGATGTTCTGGCGAGGGGTGGACACCCCAACTAGCATGAAACATGACATAAAGTATGGAGCCTCCAATATACGGTAAGATCTCTAAACCAAAACATCTTTAAAGAAAAAAAAGAATATCTGAAGAAACAATTGAGGTTATTAAATTGTAATATTTTTTTTTAAAAGGAATGTCATTAATAAAAATATTTATGTATATATAAATGGAAAAAAGAATTTATCTCAATCTAAAAACTGTTTTCTTCTCTCTAAGATCAGATATTATATTCATAACAGAGGCTCAGTACTGTTTGATAAATCTGTGTGGCTCGTGGTGGCCAAGGTGCCTCCCTGTTCTATCACATGCTGCAACACTTGTCTGTATTGTCATATCACCCTAATGTGACATTAATATTTCAACTGTTTCGTAACAGACAGCCTTTATATTTCACCTATATTTGAAGACAATTATGGTTTGTATAAAAAACAATTAATTTCCCGCACGTTATGTGAGAATTAAAGTATTATT